TGGTGTAAAGGTAGTAGATTCTTGGTCTCCTGAATCTCAGAACTCAGGTAAGAAGCCCAGAAAATCTTTGGAGGATTTGAATTTACAGATTACTGAGGAAAACCTTACTCTAGATCAGGTAAGTGTAGCTAAAGACTTTCTAGGAAAATGGACACACTTATTTTCTGATGGCCCGACAGACATTGGCAAGACCAACCTATTAAAGCATGAGATCAAGTTGACTGATGAAACCCCATTTAAAGATGCCTACAGACGCATACCGCCAGGAATGTTGGAAGAAGTTCGACAACACATCAAGGAGATGTTGGATATTGGTGCCATAAGACCATCCCAGAGTCCGTTCTCATCTAACATTGTCCTGGTCAGGAAGAAAGATGGCAGTCTTAGATTTTGTATTGATTATCGGAAGCTCAACGCACGTACCATCAAAGATGCTTACAACCTACCAAGAATAGATGACACCATAGACAGACTTATCGGATCCAAATACTTCTCAAAATTAGACTTAACAAGTTCCTATTGGCAAGTGGAAATTGAAGAAAAAGACAAGGAAAAGACAGCATTTTCAGTTAGTGGAATAGGCCATTTCGAATGCAACAGAATGGGATTTGGACTAACGAATGCACCAGCCACATTCCAACGGCTGATGGAACGCTGTATGGGTGAGTTAAATTTAAGAGACTGTTTAGTGTTTTTGGACGACATCTTAATATTCTCACAAACTTTTGACGAACATCTTGACAGACTGACTGCAGTGTTCAAAAGACTGGAAAAAAATTGTTTAAAACTTAAGGCTAAGAAGTATGAGTTCTTTAAGCACAGCGTGACATATTTAGGCCATGTGGTAAGTGAGGAAGGTGTAGCCACCGATCCTGAGAAGACCAAGGCAATTTCAACCTGGCCGAGACCTCACAACATCAAGACACTCAGGACATTCCTCGGTTTTGCAGGTTACTACAGGAGATATGTCCAGAACTATTCCAAAGTGGTGAAACCATTAAACGACTTACTGAAAGGACATCCTACAAATAAACAGATTAAAGGTAAGACAAAGAACAAACCATCTCCATGGAAATGGGAAGACCAGGAAGAGAGAGCTTTTCAGGACATTAAAGGTAAGTTAACATCCCCGCCGATCCTTGCATTTGCAGATTTTGAGTCACCATTCATTTTGCACACCGACGCATCAACAACAGGACTTGGAGCTGTCCTCTATCAAGACCAGAGTGGACAGAAGAGAGTGATTGCATACGCCAGCAGGGGACTCAAAAACAGCGAAAGACATTACCCAGCCCACAAGTTGGAATTTCTCTCCTTGAAGTGGGCAGTTACAGAAAAGTTCCACGATTACCTTTATGGAAATACCTTCCAGGTTGTAACGGACAATAACCCCCTTACTTATATTCTTACCTCTGCAAAGCTGGATGCAACAGGTCATAGATGGCTAGCTGCATTGAACAACTACAACTTTTCTTTACACTATCGAAAAGGAGCCAATAACAGTGATGCAGATGGTTTATCGAGAAGACCCCAGGACACTGAAGAAATAGTTCCAGAAATGGTGAAGACAATTTGTAATTCCTACACTATTCAGAGAGACAATTGTCCACTGGTGGAAAATGTACTTCTACCCGTCAACATTCCAACATGTATGTCAGTGAGTTTACAAGACATTGGGGAAGCAGGTAACATTTCAAATATATCAGAACCCCTCACCCCTATCCCTGACTCCATTCAGATAGAAGATTCATGTGTATTCAGTAATGTTGATTGGGCAAAAGAACAATCATGTGACAAGGTCATTAAAAGAGTTATAGAATTATTGCAAGGTGACTTTGTTCCATCAAGTACCACCTTAAAAGCAGAATCTCCAGAAGTGAGTAAATTTATGAGAGAATCAAGAAAATTGTGTCTAATTAATGGTATTTTATACAGAAACACTATACTGAATAATGAAAATAGAAAACAACTAGTATTACCAGCTTCTTTCAGAGAAATAGCATTCCATCTACTACATAACAATTTAGGGCACCATGGCCGAGACAGAACTCTGCAACTGATGAGAGAAAGATTTTACTGGCCTGGTCTCGAGCACGACATTACGGAAAGCATCAAAACCTGTGACAGGTGTATAAAATTTAAAACCCCAGAGAAAGTCTCAACAGAACTTGTCAACATCAAATCATACCAACCTTTAGATCTATTATGCATTGATTACTTAGCTCTGGAAAAAAGCAAAGGTGGTTATGAAAACGTCCTAGTAATTACTGATCATTTTACCAGATATGCCCAAGCTTTTCCCACTCGTAATCAAACTGCTAAGACCACTGCTAGAATTCTGTTTGAAAATTTTATTGTACACTATGGCTTTCCCAACAGACTTCACAGCGACCAGGGTCGGAATTTTACCAGCCATGTCATCAGGGAGCTCTGTAAACTAGCTGGAGTACAACAGTCACGTACCACGCCCTACCACCCTATGGGTAATGGGATGGTAGAACGGTTCAACCAAACCCTACTTAAAATGCTCGGTACGCTGAACGACAAACAAAAAGAGGACTGGAAGTCATATGTAAGTACCTTAGTTCACGCGTACAATGTAACCAAACATGACAGTACGGGTTTTTCGCCATTTTTCCTCATGTTTGGGCGACATCCGCGCCTGTCTATTGACGCATATTTAGGCTTAGATACCGATTCTACCGAGAAGCCTAATAGTCATGACAATTACTCTAAGAAGCTTCAGAAACGATTAGAATATGCATACAAAATTGCTTCTCAGGAAGCTGAAAAGAGTAGTGCACGATATAAATCTAACTATGATACAAGAGTAAGACATTCAAAAATACAGGTCGGTGACCGTATTTTGGTAAGAAATGTTGGGTTGAAAGGAAAGAACAAATTGGCAGATAAGTGGGCCAAAGACACTTACATTGTAGTAGGTCAACCCAACATTGATATTCCAGTTTACAGAGTTAAAAAAGAGTTTGGGTCAGAAAAGGTGAAAACATTGCATAGAAATATGTTATTACCGATTTCATATCTCCCCAGGGTAGCTGATACAGAGCAAACCAATCCTAAGAGTAAGACTACCCCTGCCCCTGAGCAAACCATTCCTAAGAGTAGTAATAGGACTACCCCTGCTCCTGAGCAGACCACCCCTAATCAGATTATTCCTGATCAAGGTCTTAAGACTACCCATGATATGACACTCCCCAAGGAGAGTCCCACTTCAGATATGGTTGATACCGGTACATTGTCTGACTCGTCAACTTCTGATTCAGAATCATCAGATAGTTCCCAGGTATATGTGATTCCTCAGAGGAGGGTAAGGCCTGGCATTGTTCGTTTGAAAACTCCTAGTACAATAAAGGGTTCTCATGATTTTCAGGACACTATGTCTGCATCTGATCCCAGTGCTGCATTTACAGGTAATTCAACTTTGAATCGTAATGCAACATTTAGTGATACTAGTTCCTTTGTAAATAGTCCAGCTTCTAATGTACCCCCTCGTAGATCAACCAGACAGGTAAGACCCCAGACAAGTATGGTGAGTGGGTTTCACATCAGATTAATCCAGTGGTCTATTTTGTGTGAGTAACTTTTCCATTGTTCAGGGGAGAATGTCACATGAAATGATATTCTTCATTTTGGTTTTTATGACGTTTCTTGAGTATATAGGATGATGGTCTTCATTTTGGTTTTTATGACAATTCTTTTGTATATAGGAATTTGTATATTTTTGTGTTTTATTAACATTAATCTGATATTTATAAAATGTCAGGAGCCATTTTCCCAAGCAGGGGAGAATGTCACAGATGTTGTGTTTTAATTTGTACATAAAATTGGCGCGCATTGCCAATCGAATGCGTTCGCTGCGTTTGTTTGTGTTGTGTGTTTAGTGTGAATGTTTTGGGAGATCATGTGACATTGTTTATTTTTGTATTTCCACGTGTTTCCGGTTAGGTGACCTAATGTGACCTTACAGCTGACCAATAACCGACTGTTTTATCTTATTAATATGCATGTTTAAATTTCTGCACCGAGTATTTAAGCACAGTACCCGCCAATTCTTTACCCCCACGCTTTTTGCCTTTACGGTAGAAGTCTTACATATATTTGAAACATAGAAGTATTCTTTCAAGTATTACTTGGAATTAATTTACTGGATTCCTGGTAAGCTTTCTGTTTACCTTTATTATAATTATTATATAAATGTATTTTATAATTTACTTTTATTAATTAATCCCGACAGCGAACAATCATATAATTTATGTGTTGTTAATGTCTGATGTTAAATGTAAAGTATTCGTTTTGTGTGTGTATTGTGTTGTGAGAGTGTGTTTAATTTATACTTTGTAGGTTTTTTGTTATAAGCACAGTAATAAATATAGTTGTGCCGAATCCAGTGTTGGATTTTTCCTACAAAAGACCCGGTGACAACCATAAAAAGTACTTCTGCATATGCTACAAAACTCTACTACATATGGGTAGACTAATCATCTCTGTATTGTAACTACATTGCAAGAATTTTCAAACCTGTTACTGTTAATTTTCTAGAATATTTAATGCAAAAGTAATTGTATGCTTGCAAAACTTCACCACTAGTGATATGACTGTAGGTTAATTAACAATGGTTCCGTAGTCATTTGATGAGATTATTTGAATACAGATGACCAATTTCTTCCTACTCTCACAAGCTGTGGGCATCCAACAATAATGTTTATATGTACATTAGCATTTTTTAGAGCATTGTATTTCATCTGGATTTGCCCTCAATAGTTTATTAAATGGCAAAAATTATAAATCCAGATTCAGTGTAATACTGTTCAAGAAAAATCAAGCTCTTAAAGGTTTTAATGTACAAGTAAAAATCAGTGTAGAATACCCACATCGAGATACAAGATCAGCCAAGAGTTTCCTCAACATACCTGTTGAAATTGCCAGACAACATTAGCAGACCTAGCTTGTTAGTGTAGAAGTATTAATTTTTTTTTAAGGAAACACAGAGAGAGGATGGAATGATCCACCCGTTTTTGACTATCAGTCCTCTAGTGTCCTCCAGTCTTCACACAAAAGGACAAATCTGAATAGGAGAGTTGCCTACCCTTTATCTACCAATGAGGATAAAGCAATGAGTGGCAGTTCAGGTATGTTTGATTGGTGGGGATAAAAACACAATGACCAAGACTGGGTGTTTAATTTAAGTGTACCTGAATTCAAATTGATAAAACGACTTGAAGTCATCATTTATTGATCCATGATTCAAACTCATATTTGTAAACTAGAATATTCTTTTCCTATAGTTTAATTTGCTTACCTCATTTTAATTTGTAAATTTGAGAGATGTGATGTTTCTTGATTATTGATATCTTTCCAAGGTACCACATTGAATCCAACTGATGGACCTCCTGTTCTTATGCCAGCATCTCTACATGGTACCACTCTAAACCCCTCCGATGGACCCCCTGTACTTACGCCAGTAGTTAACCCCTCCCCAGTGCAGCTTCTGCCCCCAGTACCCACCACCTGTGCCCCTTCCCCAGTTCCCCTCCTAATTCCTGGAATGGTTGTGGCACCACCTGCTGTAAACACAGTTGTACCAGAAGTCACAAAGGACAATTTAGTAGGGTTTAACTGTCTAGAGGAGGCAGTGGAGGGACTGAAGCTCCAAAGTCCTGCAGAGTTAGTGGATACTATTACAAACTCACTTCACCAGAGTCTGGAGAAAGTCAAGTCCTCATTAACAGTAAGAATTAATTACCAAAAATTATTATGCGTAAATCTATGAGATGAAAAGAAAAAATTGATATAAACTCAATTAGTTTCAAAATTCAAATATACAGTTTGCTTAGGTTGTTCAGTAACCTGTATAGGATTAATCAATATTATGAAAAGCGTTTTCCAAATATTATTAGGAGAGGTCTTTTGACGATGTTAAAAAGAAGATCCAAATGTTCCGAGAGTCGTGGGATAAATTGTCTCACCCTGTGAAGTGCAGAATGTGCAGCATGGCAGATGGTACAAGTATCTTAGAGAATCTGTTTTAACTAATACATGTATTAAAGTATAATTAGCAAACACATACATAGCAGTTGGATAAATGATTATTTTTATCTTAAAGTCATTGTAAAGTTAATGAAAATGTTTCATGGATTCAAGACAGTACAATGTATTCTTATCTTCTGGTATACAGTCATTCTGTGTTTTTAACATACACCCCATAGTATTTTGTGTATCTTTCATGTTTTGCACAGCTTTAAAAAAGAACATCTATGATGCAGCATGGTCCATTCATCAAAATCTGATGGTAGACTACACAACAGAGGTGTGTAAATACATGTATTTACTCCCACAAAGATCAAAGGATTAATGCTTTTATACTGTCTGTCCTTCTTCTGCAAAACCTTTAATATTTTGCTTTAACTTTTAAACCATAGTACATAAACTCTTTAAGCTTGGCAGGCATATTCAATATTCAAAAAGCTCAAGCCAGTCAGTAAAATATGGGAAAAATACAGCAGAGACACAACACACATGTATGTCAGAAATCAAAATCATTGATCAGTACATGTATTTCTCATGCTGATGATGCACATTTAGGCATAATTTCTTACTTAAATTTTAGTACATTTTGAATTTTATTTTATTTTTTTTTCCAAGTTGATAGGTGCATTGCATACCCAGTACTTTTACTTTTTAGGTGAATGTTTGGATGGTTGGTATAAAAAAGATCATCCATGAATTAAAAAATCTCCCTGAACCGTCCGAGGCACCTGCTGAAGGTACAGAATCAACTGAAAAGAGTAACAGTCCAGTGACTCAGTCAGACTCCACTAACTCTGAGACAGGAACCAGTGTAGATCGGGCACCAGAAAACCAAGGTGTGACAGACAGTGAAACAAAAACAAAGGAAGTGGACAAGGAGCCTGACATACAGACAGACAATGATACAGAAGAAAAACCACAAAGCAGCACAGAATAATGTTGTTAAAGGCGATAGAGTCAGAAAAATGTTTGGGGTCAGTAATTGACATGATATTTCTTTCCTCTTTCACCTGTTTTCACTCCCTTAAAAGAATAAAAGCTGATAGTGTAAGAAAAGAAAGAAAAATAAGTATTGTTTGGTGTTGGATAAATAAAAAAAATTGTAATATCATAATTAGTATATGTTCAAAGAAATTGTACTTCTGTTTTTGCTAGTATTACATACTTTTACAAGGGCAATTTACACTAAAAATTTAGTATTGCAGTTTCAAAAGAATATAAAATGCAATTTAGACATAGTTGTTGCTTATTTTTAATTGTTATGAGTAGGATCTGAGATCACTTTTTAGTGGCAATATTTATTATATGGTGCTTTACTTTAGATGAGGTTACTATAAATTATGGATTGTAATAAATACAAGTAATTTTTGGTATCTTCACATCGGATATGTTGACAACCTTGGATAGGTCGACCTCCGTCCGCGGCCCCATCAGTATTTATTATATAAATGATTTGCAAAAAAATGTGGATATGTCAACCTCAGTAATGTCAACTACCCCACTTATCTCAACGTATATTCACAGTCCCTAGAGCAAAATGTACCTGGAAGATGTCAATTTTAGGGCTATTTTCTGCTCTGCTAAACCTTACTGTTTGTCAAACAGTCACTTGTCACGCACGGACGACTCCATGTATCTCAACATCGTAAGAATTTTACACCTTTCAAATCCATGTTTTGACTGCACACTGTACAGTTAATTTTGACTTTATTTGTAAATGAAGCCCAAGCAATCTCGGATGTCGATAAGACGTTTAAAGTTTTAAAAGCTTGGCTAATATCATTGATAAGTCTACTGATTCTGTGTAAACAAACAAACCTGTATTTATATCAAAACCTTTTTTAAATTTGATTTAAAAAGGGCAACTTAATTATAATGAGTAACAAACACATTGAATCCAATTCAGATATTTTATGTAAGAAATTTATTTATTTTATATTTTGTGGTATAAATGCATTCATCAGGTAACAATCCAATCAACGAAACATTTAACTGATGATTAATTTAAAAAGCTCAGATTCATATATATGTAACATCACTGCCTTATTTCAAGTAGACAAATGTTTTAAAATTTTGTGTTTTTTTAGCTCACCTGAGCTGAAAGCTCAAGTGAGCTTTTCTGATCACCCGTTGTCCGTCGTCCGTCCGTCTGTCTGTCTGTCCGTCTGTCCGTCCGTCCGTCCGTCTGTAAACTTTTCACATTTTCAACTTCTACTCAAGAACCACTGGGCCAATTTTAACCAAACTTGGTACAAAGTATCCTTGGGGGAAGGGGAGTTTAAATTGTTAAAATAAAGGGCCAAGTCCCCTTACAAGGGGAGATAATCAAGAAAAGACAAAAATAGGGTGGGGTCATAAAAAAATCTTCTTCTCAAGAACCACTGGGCCAGAAAAGCTGAAACTTAATTTTAAGCATCCTGGGATAGTGTAGATTCTAAATTGTTAAAATCATGACCCCCGGGGGTAGGGCGGGGCCACAATAGGGAATCCAATTTTTACATTGAAATATATAGGAAAAATCTTGAAAAATCTTCTTCTCAAGAACCACTGGGCCAGAAAAACTGAAACTTATGTGGAAGCATCCTGGGGTAGTGTAGATTCTCAATTGTTCAAATCATGACCCCCGGGGGTAGGGTGGGGCCACAATAGGGAATCCAAGTTTTACATTGAAATATAGGAGAAATCTTTAAAAATCTTCTTCTCAAGAACCACTGAGCCAGAAAAACTGAAACTTATGTGGAAGCATCCTGGGGTAGTGTAGATTCTAAATTGTTAAAATCATGACCCCCGGGGGTAGGGCGAGGCCACAATAGGGAATCCAAGTTTTACATTGAAATATATGGGAAAAATCTTGAAAAATCTTCTTCTCAAGAACTACTGAGCCAGAAAAGCTGAAACTTATGTGGAAGCATCCTCAAGTAGTGTACACTCTAAATTGTTCAAATCATGACCCCGGGGATGGGGGGGGGGGGGGCACAATAGGGAATCCCAAGTTTTACATTGAAATATATAGGAAAAATCTTCAAAAATCTTCTCTAGAACCACTGGACCAGAAAAACTGAAACTTATGTGGAAGCATCCTAGGGTAGTGTAGATTCTAAATTGTTCAAATCATGGCCCCTGGGGGTAGGGCGGGGCCACAATAGGTATTACAAGGGGGGAAGTCTGGTAATGAACAGCATGGCCAAAGTTACTCAGGTGAGCGATGTGGCCCATGGGCCTCTTGTTTGTGTGTGTGTTTTTTGGGTTCAGTGAGTTCTTTTTCCTGAAATAAGAAAAAGTGTGCATAAGATTGTTTTTTTTGTCTTACCTGTGTCAACTTTTACAGTTCAAGTTTAAAAAGGGGTTTTCAAATCCTTTTGAAGTAGTCTGAACATAACATTACATGTGGAATGTTTAATGGAAAACATTCCATAAATTTAGAAAGCTTTTGATATGAAGAAAGAATAAGATATATTTTTAGCTCACCTGAGCTGAAAGCTCAAGTGAGCTTTTCTGATCACATTTTGTCCGGCGTCCGTCTGTCTGTAAACTTTTCACATTTTTGACTTCTCAAGAACCACTGGGCCAATTTCAACCAAATTTGGCACAAAGTATCCTTGGGTAAAGGGGATACAAGTTTGTTCAAATGAAGGGCCACACCCTCTTTCAAGGGGGGATAATTAGGAATTAAAGAAAAAATAATGGCATCATTTAAAAATCTTCTTCTCAAGAACCACAGGGCCAGGAAAGATGAAACTCATATGGAAGCATCCTCAGGTAGTGTACATTCAAGTTTGTTCAAATCATGACTCCCGGGGGTAGGGCGGGGCCACAATGGAGGATCAAATTTTTACATAGAAATATATAGGAAAAATCTCTAAAAATCTTCTTCTCAAGAAGAGCAAAACCATGATGAGTCATATTTATATGGAAGCATCCTCAGGTAGTGTAGATTCAAGTTTGTTCAAATCATGACCCCTGGGGGTAGGGCGGGGCCGCAATGAACTATCAAAGTTTTACATAGAAATATATAGGAAAAATCTCTAAAAATCTTCTTCTCAGGAACAGCAAAGCCATGATTGATCATATTTATATGGAAGCATCCTCAGGTAGTGTAGATTCAAGTTTGTTCAAACCATGACCCCTGGCGGTAGGGGGGGGGGGGGGGGCCGCAATGAACTATCAAAGTTTTACATAGAAATATATAGGAAAAATCTCTAAAAATCTTCTTCTCAGGAACAGCAAAGCCATGATTGATCATATTTATATGGAAGCATCCTCAGGTAGTGTAGATTCAAGTTTGTTCAAACCATGACCCCTGGCGGTAGGGGGGGGGGGGGGGGGCCACAATGGATGATCAAAGTTTTACATAGAAATATATAGGAAAAATCTCTAAAAATCTTCTTCTCAAGAAGAGCAAAGCCATGATGAGTCATATTTATATGGAAGCATCCTCAGGTAGTGTAGAATCAAGTTTGTTCAAATCATGACCCCTGGGGGTAGGGCGGGGCCGCAATGGACTATCAAAGTTTTACATAGAAATATATAGGAAAAATCTTCTTCTCAAGAACAGCAAAGCCCAGATTGGTCATATTTATATGGAAGCATCCTCAGGTAGTGTAGATTCAAATTTATTCAAATCATGACCCCCGGGGGTAGGGCTGGACCACAATGGAGGATCAAAGTTTTACATAGAAATGTATAGGAAAAATTTTAAAAATCTTCTCAGGAACAGCAAAGCCCTGATTGATCATATTTATTTGGAAGCATCCTCAGGTAGTGTAGATTCTATTTTGTTCAAATCATGACCCCGGTAGGGTGGGGCCACAATGGAGGATCAAAGTCTTAAATAGAAATATATAGGAAAATTTCTTCTTCTGAAGAACTGCAAACCATGATTAGTCATTTTGATATGGAAGCATCCTCAGGTAGTGTAGATTCTATTTTGTTCAAATGATGACCCCCGGGGGTAAGGTGGGGCCCAATGGGGGATCAAAAATTTTTACAGAAGAACATATAGAAAAAATATTTCTTCTCAAGAACAGAAAAGCTATGTTTAGTCATATTGATATGGAAGCATCCTCAGGTAGCGTAGATTCAAATTTGTTCAAATGATGACCCCTGGGATAGGGAGGAGCCACAATGGGGGATCAAATTTTTACAAAGGAATATACATGTATGGGAAAATTTTTTAAAAATCTTCTCAAGTACAACAAAGCCATTTGTTACATTGACATGGAAGCATCATCAGGTTATTTAGAATTCAAGCCCCCCCCCCCCCCCAAGTAATCTTTTCAATACTGATTTGTACTTTTGCCTAGCCAATGTGCTCAGGTGAGCGATATGGCCCATGGGCCTCTTGTTTAATTACTTCTTAGATTTTGTAATAAAGAAAAAGAGGAATTGCTGAAAATAAGACAAATTACTGACTATTGACTTTGTGTGTGTAATAAACTAAGCCTAGTCATTGTTTAGCTATGCAATGAAATATTGAATTTCGAGTCTCAGATCTGATACTTTGACACCCCAGATATGTCAACTTTCTGGTATAGTCCTGCCAATGTCAAAATACCAAAAGTTTACTTGTATTTTTATAAATGTTAGTATATTGTATGATTTTTATCAAATGAAATATTCATATTAAATATTGTCAGAGACTTGCACTTTGGAATTTCATAATTAATGTGTCAATAGTTAGCACAAAACTTGAACCATTTAAATATACATGTATATACTGTACCTGATAGTGGACTGAATTTATCTAAAGTTTACATGTATGTTTGATTGCACATGTACTATTTACATAACGGTACTGTGTAATCAGCAACAATATATGATTCTAATTCTATTAAAGGTGCTTGGACACAGATTTGAAGTTAATATTTTCTAAAAGTTTCTGTATAATTTCATGACTTATATGTTGCTATAGCATTTTATACTAAAATATAAAAAAAATCTTATTTCATCTCGAAGTTATTAAAACTTCGAATTTCTGGACGCGTTGGATTGACACATCCTTGCGCTCTCACATATTTTAATTTCATTCTTAATACTTAAGAAAAGTGGCAATTTTGTTGTGTATCGATGAAAAATATTAAAACTATAATCCAGAAAATTCAGAGTAGAAATGTTCAAAAGCAAAACCCACTCACAGTATTGTAAGTCCGTGCTCAGTGGTGTGTGCAGAGTTTAACAATCGAACACACCCAGTGAATCATAAACATTAACAATAACAGAGCTCGTGCCCTGTTTACAAAAACAGTTTACGTTTCACGGGTGTGTTCAATTTGTTAAACTCTGTACACATCACAGAGCACGGACTGACAAAACTGGTGAGTTGGTTTTGCTTTCGAACATTTCTACTATGAATTTTCTGGATTATAGATGTAATATTTTTCATTAATACATAACAAAATCGCTTCTTTTCTTAAATATTAAGGATGAAGTTAAAATTTGTATAAGTGCAAAGATGTGTTTATCAAACGCGTCCCGGAATTCGTAGTTCCAATAATTTCCATATAAAATAAGTTTTTAATTATATTTTCATGTGAAATGTTATTGCAATATATAAGTCGTGATATTGATTGAGAAAATATCAAGTTCAAATCTGTGTCTAAGCACCTTTAAATATAGTTTCATATAATATCTTCAGAATGGCCAACAGTGCAAAGCATGTTGATAAGAATATATGTATATCTATTCTGAAGCTGCTAAATACTTTTATATTTTATCAGATTATAAGATCTGTATTTAGCATTTCAAAGTGATAACTAAAATCATATTTTCATGAATTAATCATTTTAGAGATTTTAAATTTTTTTTTAAACTTTTCAATTTAAAAACAGATTGAAAAGATTGAAATTGTTTTTGCATTTCATACCCAATGTTTTTATTCACACTCTTTTTTTTTCTTTTTTTTTTTTTTTTGTCTGCTGGTAGAATTATATGAATAGTATGTGAAACAGAATCAAGTGCAATATTGTTTTATTGGAACTGTAGATTGAATTTGTTTAAAATATTGACATAAAATGTGTTGAGTGCTTTTATTCTACATGTACATTAATAACGGGTTGTTATGAAATAAAAAAAGGTTATAAAAAATATGTTGTCTTCTTTCATGTAAAACTTATTACATGTAACTGGTTTTTGTAAATGTCTTCTTCTTACATATTGGTGCTAAAAGAATCGTTGTTTGAGAAAAAGGATGCACTACCAACAGAATTTGTAAGAAGTACTTATCTTACGTTGCCTAAATTAACATGGTTTTAACACATTTTCTTTTTCATGTACCCTTTTACCATATAGGTCAAGGTCAGGGGCACTATAAGTTATGGGCAACAACATTCAGCAAATTCACCTTACAGTAAAAAGATGATCATATGGAACAAGATATTGCATATGACTTCATATTTATCCAGCTACTAATTCATTACTCTCTTGTTCTTGGTGACTCATTTATGTCCATTATATGCAGGCATTTGTAATAGGTATTTTCATGACAAAGGGGTTTTACGTTCTTTGACTGTACACTGTACTTCTATGATTTTATCTTGGGAAAAATAAATGCTTCGACAGGCAGAAATCTGGTATAAACAATGACATAATCTTCCACTCTGAAAAGTCATTATAGGATAGTTACTTGCCTAGGTAATTTTATAATTTTGTCAAATATTTGTTAACAAGTAAAAATTCTTACAATTTTCAAAATTTTTTGGCCTCCCGAACAAGAATATTATTTCGTAATTTCTTAATTTTCACACTTGATTTCCCTTCTGGTGAAACAAAGCCTTCCTGCAAATTCCAACTAGATTTATATTTGGTAAAGGTTAAATTTTGCAGGTACCCCTCTTACCTCACATTGATGGGCTATATCTTTCATAGTTCACCCATGAAATTATATTAAAGTGAGCCCTTAGACTTTAACAATTCACAAAATTGGTCTCCATGAATTAAAGTGACTCCCCAGTGACTGTTGGTTGTTATGTATTGTCTGTAAACAATTGAACATTTTCAGCTTCTTTGAAACACTGTACATGTACCAATGTTGGTACATAGCATCCATCATTAATTTTGGACAAAAATAGCAAATTTCATAGTCCCCATCTAATCTTCTTTCGGTTTGCAAAGAAACTGTTTACTAGTACATAATTTTAAACTACATGTATCATAAAATTTGTCCTTTTGGGTCTAAGTGTTCAGACCTCAGGATAAGGCGATGTTGGTCAAACGTGTATAAAATGCAATATCTGCCTCTCTTTGAGTTGACACATCTCTGGTATTCAAGGTTTTTAAAGATACATTGTACCAAAGTTCATCAATATTATAATCAGAGACTGGTTTGATGTTCATTCTTATTGCAGTAGCTTTACTCTGCTTTCAATCACATACATGTATTCTGTTGGACTTTTCAAAGTCCTTTTATTCCTCTAGAATGAAAAAAACCAACAAAATGAAGCCTTCATGACAATTCTATATTTGCACAAAACATGTGTCATTCTTCCCGTATAAAACTTGTATTATTGCTGTATAGATTAAATCAGACGAAACGACATAAGTTGTCTCCCCTTCCTCTTCCCAGGTCTACATGGAGAGTGATGAATAAATGTACATACAGAATGTGAGAAATGAATGGTAATATATAAATAAAACAATACAGCAGCCTTCATCTAACAAACTTAGCATTAATAAACATCTAAGGTAAAACAGTGTAGCCTGAAAACATGAAGAAAATGACACATACAAGACTGAATGTCCTAAAATTTTCTCCTTCAGAAAGAGTAATAAATATGTAAAATCATAAATTGAAAATCTATTTGCTCTAGTTATACCTTATTTTCTGCAAAATGCATACTGTACATGACAGAAGTTAAAATAATTGTAAAGGTAATTCATCACATATCTAGGACTGATTTTCTTTTATTTAGATAGTACCGATCAATTTGATGTGGGAATTTGTAGATGTTAGCCAATCTGTTAATTAACACATCTATATAATCTATGTATAACAAATATAACAAGATAGACTACTCTGTATAGATAAGACAGTACACTACGACAAAAAAAAAAATCTGTACAATATAATCTCTGACCAGTAACAACAAACACAGACAGACAAACACATCAAGCCAAAAATGTACAATCACCGTTTCTTTTATTAATACAGATAAATTTATTTGCAAATATCATTTAAATAAGAATCCATGGAATTACAGTCAAACCTCGTTATCTCGAACTCGATGGGACCAGGAAAAAAAACTTTTGAGATATCCGAGGGTTCCAGATATCAAGAGTAAAATATTTAGAAATATGTGGTAAAGACTTCCCAGTCATTTCAGCATATCCATGGTATTTGAGATATCTGTGTTCGAGATACCAAAGTTCAACTGTAAATTGTCTCATTATCAATAAAGTTAAAAAAGCCTTCAAATAAGATGATTTTTCAATGAATTTGCCAAACAGTGACTAAAAATATCTTGGGAAATCCCTTTAACCATAAATAAACTACCATTCAGATCTGTGTGGTCGACCTCTCTTGGTTTGTTGTTGAGGATGAATACAATGATATAGAGATTAAGTCAGAAGTGAAGGGCTATGCTGCAGCTGGACAAAAAAAAAAAAATAAAGATCAGCGGTCAAGCTGTCCACTACAAATTCTACAGAACTTCTACACAAATCAACAAAGGCTAAAACAAAACCAACTAGGGAAGAAAACATTGGTATATGAAGAAAACATGATGTATAAGTAATAAAAAAAAGAGCCACAGTTAAATTACTCAACAAGACCATAGGTGAAAAGTCTATCAAAGATCACAAATGTACACAAGGAAAAGCTAATATATAATTGTCAACTACTTTTTATTCTATTAAATATGCAAATATGATGGCTGTATATATACTTGTATATGTATATAATTGGGAAATGAATTGAGTAACTGATCAATAATCAACACAAAATAGTACTGAATATTGGTTTTGAAATAATATATGCATGATTTAATTTATATCCTTACAATTATTAATTCACATGTTGATACACTAAATTTACATACAATTTACATATAACAGCCATGCTGCCTAGTGCTGGTGAGATCGTTAGAAGGCCACATACGTCGTCACTAACACACAACGTTTCGACACTGACCACAGAAGAATATCCAGTAAGAGTAGCCTGACCGATGTATCACTCCTCGTGGAATGCAGAGCTGTGATTAGAACACTCTCCTGTTATTAAATTCTTGTCAGCATATGACTCCAGCAGCCATAACTCACAAAGAAATTGGATGAATTTATACAGATGAAGATAAACACAGGCAAAACAGCACTTTCTGAAGTTTGGGATTTCCATTATGATGTATTATACAAAATGTCAACTTCCTGAGGTAGTCCATAATTACAGTACGATCCAAAATCAGTCTCCATACCTAAATGTGCTAAAAAATTACAAAGTACAGTACAATCCAAATTCCAATGCCTAACCGTGCTTCAAATTTGTACAGTGATTTCCATTATTGTTCTACATATCATGTGCGTTATCTGACAGACTGAAACATTCATTTCTGTTGACTGATTTTTGATTCACACTGACCCATTCTTTATTATGCTTGGTTAATACTAAGCATTAAAAAAAACTGAGTCTTGTAACATGAGAGAGATATTTCACAAATCTAAACAACATATCACTAACATGAATCAAAGTGAAACCACATCAAAGGATTAAAAAAGCTGTTTGGTAATCAATCAGTTTTGTTTACACAACTTGCATAAGGGATATTGGAATATTCATTTGTACAAATTTATAATACTATTAGCATCTTACAAAACAAATCTGATTTAATTTGATGAATAATATTATATATATATTTATATAAAATCAATTGCACTCTTCAACATTCCAGTGAAAAAAAATATCACACACACTTGAGGAACACCTCAATTTTCCAGCAATATGTATAAATAATATACACATTCCACACAACACACTTATCAAAATCCACAAATAGTTCTGCAGGTCTCCCGTGGAGTCCAACCAATCTCTGCAAAATCACTAGAGTCCCATTCAGGGGGACTGACTACAAATTCATCACAGAACATCAGTAAGATTATTCATATCACACTGGGTCTCCTTATTTGTTGTACATGGCAATCCTAGCCTATAGTTCTTGCGCCAATAGTAATATCTATCCTATACACAGACAACCACTCACTTCTCTGTCACAGGACCCTGTCTCACTTCAGAGAGTGACAGATTCTACCTGACCTAGGGTTTTTAAGTTGACAGAGTATTTGGAATCACAGCACTTAATACACCCATGGAAGCTTCAATTCATCCACTTCCTACAGTTAGGAGCTCCACAACAACATGGGATCTTGTGCTGCTCATCCTCAAAGTCAAACTTGTAATCGTAAGTCAGCTAAAAAAAAAAAACATCTCATAAAATCAAACTTCTAGGAACTTTTTCATTATTGATTAAACTAAAACAGATATCTCTACATTCTCCAATCATACTCTTGGTTCTGACACAATGTCCTTAATAAAATGTTCTAAATTAAGATCATCTCACTCATTCCTTTAAACAGTCACATGCACAGATGCACAACTGTGCCAAAACTATTCATGTATCTCTCTTCCCAGTTAGAGATATAAAATCCAGTTCATAATCAAAGAAGAAAATTACATAAGTAGTAAAATTGTTTAAAACAACTTTCTTTGATAATAATCATTCATTATAACATCTTATCATGATAAACTTTACACAAAGTCCCAGCCAGTTTTACCTCTTCCCCTGTTGGGATTCGTCTGTTGGTGATGATGATAATTTTGCTCTCTTTATCAAATGGTACAACCTCTGCCACACAGTTTGGGTTACAGGAGTGATTGATGTAGCGAGCGGGACCTCCCGCCATTGTAGCATCCACAACTGTGTCATTGTCAATACGGAACATGTACACACCACGATTCTGTCAAAATAAATTTCATTATTAGAAATGTGCAAAACTCCAACATTTTATAGATCAAAACTTAAACACAGAACTTAAAAATGGAAAAAGAAATTCAATTTTCTTTAAAATTTCAAGAAAATAAATGTAGACACTCTGTACTCTTTTTTACAAAAACTTCTTACCTGCTCCTCGTATGATATCTCTTTCCTGTTGGCCACCTCGTTCCTGATGAGATACCCTATATATTCTATCACCATCGTGTGCTTCTCCAAGTCATGAGCAGCAAATAAACCCAGACCCTGAAATACCACACCATCATCTCAATTTTCACCACAAATACTTACAAAAATGCAGGGTCTGAAGATAATAACTATCTCAAGTGATGATGATCACTTTCAATAATAATTTCAATTAATACACGTATATTGTGAATTCCCATCAGTTTAATGTACCTGAATTCTGGATCGGCCAAGATAAACATTTGTCCTCCACTCCGTCTTTAATTTCCTGTATTGTGCAGACTTGGAGTGAACAAACTGCTTCATGTACGGGGAGTTAATGTCTCCGGAGACCCCAGTCACAGTCTGAGGGAGGGACCGTGAGGTGTTGGCCGACTGAAGGGTGTGGGGCCTAAAGCATATTCAACATTTACATTAAAACATCAAAATCTTAAGGCTATCAACTATATTCAAACAAGAGCAGCTTCCAATGGATATCGTGTTCAAGAACATTAGCAGAGTAAGTTACGTATGTTTTTTTTTCTCTTGGAAACATTTGGCACTTTTCATTAATACTAATAGCACTCACTTTCTGAAATGAGTCCTCAGTTTTGGCTCTGTGCGAGCACAACCAGTGGGGTTGATAGTCAGAGGCATTTCAATTCTCAGGGAGCGTGGAAACTTAAAATTATAATTTGTGAGCAGATCTGTTCCAGGAAGCTGTAAAAGAAATAATCACATTTTGAAAAATATATGTACACTGAATGATACATGTAAACTAATTAACACAAGGGAAAGAAAAGGTCCACATCTTAGAGTATAAATAGCCTACCGATTCAACCACTCTGACAATAGCCTGCTCTGTCAGACCAAACAATTCCTCCCCACTAGTAAACGATGGGAAAATTTTCACCAGATCTGCATTCCGCCTGAGTTTATCTAATGGCTCCAGAATTTTGTTCCATACAGCTTTAGGTGACACATCTTGGAGGATCACATCTTCCTGCCCAGGTTCAACAATTCTGATCACAAATCCAGGGTGACCATCACTCTCCACAATGCTGCACACATACCTACATCTCTTGTATAATCGCTTCATGCTCCAATAATATCGACTAGATTTAAACCCCACCTGCAAGAGGAGTAAATTTGTTACAATAAAGTTTTACACTGATACATTCACATAACATTCAGAAAAGCAAAAGTCTCAAATTGTTCTACAGATAAATCAGACATCAAGTGCTTTGAGGTACTGACATTTTAAAGATTCCTCTTGAAACTTTTTTTATTTTCCTGCATAACTGTTATAACTACCTGTACAGTTGAATGACTTACAGGATAAATGCAGTCCCTGGTGTGGAATTTTCCTGTCTGCAATTGATGAGGTAGGAGTTGACCCACACTGTGTAATGTCAGGGATCCAATCCTAAGGATATACTGTCCCTCCTCTTGTCCATGCACCATACTACAATATAAATGCAATATTACGCATTCAGTTAAGTAATCTCAGAAAGCTGTATCAAACAAGTTAGTATTCATTTACTCCAGAACTCAAACGAGTACCTACATACAGTCTCTAAAACAAACACATGTATCTCACTTTAAGATTTTCATTTTAAGACCTCTTACTTTGCCACTTGTTTATCCTCGCTCCTATTGATGTAGACTCTTCTAAAGACTGACAAAGACTCCAGGACATTTTCAGCTCCTTGTTTAGCTGCATGGGAAGGACACAGGATTGTCTACAAATACAAAAGTCCAATGCTCAATTCACGAACTTAGCACCTTTTTCTCAGAGATCAGAATCTTACCATATATGAATATTCAGAGAAAACTGCAATACTGATTATTTTGATTTCATAGCCTAAAGCTTTTCAGAATTTTTGAAATAGAAAATAATTTTCTGTCCATCTTTAAACATTCCAGAATTATTGCAATAAAAAACAATTTTCTCTCCATCTTTAAACATTCCATTGTGTTGAAATGAAAAAAAATGTGACAATATCTTGAATAAATAAACTATTAGTATACAGTTATTCTTAGATACATACCTTATCTTGAAAAAACATGCATCCCACTTTTTTAGCACAACCAAGATGATAATACTTTGGACAACGATTGTTAAAGCAACCCACAGTGGCCCCTTTGATGCCACAGGCAGTACATTCTATTTTTAGCCCACGCTTGTAAGCCATATCAACATTCATTAAGGCGCCATTCAAAGTCTCATACACCTCTGAGGACCACAGAGCACAGTTTAGATGGGCATAGTTATCAATGTCCATATTCAGCAATCTACAAAATGCATACATGTAAAAGACTGAGAAACATTTCTTGGTGAACCATAGGTCTACTGGATGCATAATGTATAATTATCTCCTCGATTCTATCTTCAGTTGGTAAACTGATTATAATCAGAGGCATTATGCAGTATACATCATGATAACTAACCTGCCAGGCCCATCAGTCTCTCCATCTCCTTGCTGCTGACAGAAAACACACTTCCTGGTGTCTTCAGGCAAAGATTTTGGCACAATGATTGTTCCCAGGGCTTTCCATAGCTGAAACAAATAACATTTAAATGTATAATCAGTATGAAATCCATGATTTTTTTCTTCAGAATTATTCACTGGAGTCAAAACTGGCCAGCTGCAATACAGAGCATTTTAGCAACTTTAAACACTGCAACTCACATTTTGTATTTCTTTATCTGGGACCCCTGGTTCATGGGGAAGTGAATCTGTAAATGAAGGATCCCAGCGTCTGTACCTCACATTCTTGTGCTTCTTCACCAAAGGCTAAAAAGCATACATATATATAATAATTAGATCAGTCTTCAATAATTCTTAATTCAAGATGTGACTCCTTGATACATTATAAAATGATACTGCTAGATATTAAAAATGTGCTGCATAGCTAGATTTGTATATAACCAAGAAACACAAATAATGGTGAAACATTGTGTAAACCTTTGGAGGCTGAGCATCCATGCTGGCAGTCCGACGATGCTTTTTGCCGAACTTATCCTCTAGTCGTGACCTAATGGGGGGACTTGGCTGGACTGGGGTCAATGCTCCTGCAGAGTTAGGTGTGGTGGGGGTGAGGGTGAGGGTGGAGTCACTCTTTGTGGGGGTGGTGGGAGTGTGACTACCCATGCTTCTGGGACTGAAGTCTGAGGAGTGATGCTTTGAGAGAGTGAAGCTTCTTAATGGATCCTCTGGAGGAGGCTTGTTTATCTCCTGATAAACAGTGGCAAACTTAGTGTAGCATTTCTCTGTACAAAATGTCACTTCTTCATCATCAAAGTCCTGAAAAACAGCATCAATATTTAAAATCAGTTTCATTTTAACATGAGATTTCTATATAATAAAAAATTGACAAAATTAAATTTTATCTGTGCTACTATAAATCTATAAATCTTATATAAAAGATGTACATAATTTACTTTATTGTTTGACAAAATAAATTTTATCTGTGCTACTATAAATCTATAAATCTTATATAAAAGATGTACATAATTTACTTTATTGTAAACAAATGAAATCTTATTCCTTTACCTTGATACTGAAGTAGTCTTCTTTTGCCAGGAATGGTATATCACACTTTCGCTTTCTAAATCCTGAGTCGTAAACATAGGAGTCACATAGTCTACAAAACTTGGCCTTGGTTTTGATGAGATGCTGAACATTAACTTTGTCTTCCAAGTCTGCAAAACCATTAAATAAATAAGACACCCCCAAAAAACAATTAACAATGAGATGTAATCTGTACATGTATAATTGTAATTAAACAAATTAGTATGTAGAGTTCAGACAACTTACGTTTTGAATTGATTTTTCCCTGCTCTGGGGAGGGACTTCGACTGCCCACTTCATAAGAAGGTGGAACTGCAATTTTCAACAGCTCTGCAATCTGAGACAAAACTCCCCCAATGTCATCAGCAGCATTGGCTGACAGAGTCAGAGTTACAGAAATGTCTTGATTCAGATTTGCATTCTGGAAAGGTCTAGTTAAAGCTGATAGGTTAGGTGGCAGTTTGCCATTCTCATGCTTTTCAGTTAGGGTCAGTTTCCTCTCTGCTATATCAGAATCAGTGACAGCTTTGGGTTTATCTATAGGTTCAGACTTGGGCTCTGTTGATGGCTCTTCTTTGGGCTTTGATGGCACAGATTTAATTGCGACTGGTTGTAAGATAGGGACCAATGGGGAAGACCTGTCATCAGCAGCTGAGGGGGGCTCTATGGGTTTCAACATGGGGAATTCTTCATCTAGTTCACCAAATTCGTGCTCCGGAGAGGAGGAAGATATCACTGTACAGGGGCTGTCACCTCCCCTGAAAATAAATATAAATATTTGTTAGTTAACTCTCCACATATGGAGCAATGATGTATTTTTAAGCTACACAAACGTACAAGAATCCTACATGCTTTAATGCTCACCTCAATTACTTTTCCCATTATACCAATAAATGAAATCTCATAACTGCAGTCCCCAAAACTATGCCAAAAATTCCTTATTCAATAGTTTTAATCATTAATGAAATATTGATGCTTGTAAATTAATTTAGCAAATAAAAGTTTTGTTCTTCTTGACTAAATTTATGTATTCCTTCATGAAACTCTGACAATCTTTCATGGGCCTACACAACACACAGTGACTGAACTTTCAGCTCAGGCCTATTAGATGATCCAAAAAGTATTATGAATTTGACCATTTTTATGTTGGGGAAAATTGAAATATATTCCAAAATCCTGTGTTTTAAAATAAGTTAGATTACACCCAATTTCTAGCCACAGTGAAGGCAATATCTTACTTTAAATACTCCAATCTTGGTTCTATTCGTGGTGAAGAGGGTAGAGATGGCACAGGAGGCTTCTCTCCCCTGCCGAAGAAAGGTGGCAGACCAGGCAGTCCTAATGGGGGACCCGATACAGGGAATCTGTCAGGAGTCAGCTGGTATCGCTGTTGATCAGCATTGGATCCTGAAATAGAGCACTTCAGTGTTAGCCATATATGCTGGTTAAAGCATTTACAAGGCAAAGTTGTGCCAAAACTCTAAACATAATTCTTCTGTGTAAAACATTTTTTTTAATTTTGTATCATTGAAAGTTGCAGTCATTATGCCCTTGAAGAAAACTTGAAAAGAACGTAACATTCCAACAGTCTCTCTGTCGAAAATGTACTTGCTTTAATGTATGCGACAGCATTACCTATATAATTGTATTTACAGTACATTCTATCTTTTAAAATCATTTTCTTTTTTATCTGAGTAGATATTAGCCCCATCATTATTTTGTCAATGATTATAAGATTAATACTTAATTTGCATTCACAGATACCTTGGCCACTCTCGTCCTGACCAGCTCTAATGAATTGTCTTCTGGACTCTATATCCCGAGGTTTGGGCATCCTGACAAAGGATCCAAGGGGAGGTAATCCATGCAACAGGGTATTTCCATAAAAGTCAGCCACACCCTCAAGATAACTATTTCCAAAATTCCCTTTCAAACAGTTATCCCCTGCAAAAAAAAAGTTACAACTGTACTATTATCCATGCATTTTACCAGCATATTCATTAATCAGTGTAATATCATTACTTGCAGCATATTCATATAAAGTGGCAAAGTAAGTGGCTAGCATTTACCTGTGAGAACATTTGGACTTCCAGGAACTTGTAAGACAGAGAAGAAATTCCCCACTTTTGGTTCCTGCAGTGCTACAGGTGGAAGTGTCCCAAGCATTTGCAGGAAATGGTTTGCTTTGGCATCCAGATCTTCCTCCAAGGACTCTCCCTTCTTTTTACGGGGTCGCTTCTTTGCCGGGGGCACTGGTTGATTAGGATCCATCCTCATAGCTGCTTCCTCAGCTTCCTTCTCTTTTCTCTTCCTCTTCTTGTTTTCTGCATTTTGCTGCTTGCGTTTCTGCTTTCGTAGAAGTTCATATTCTTTTCTCCTCTGTTCATAAGCTTGCTTTTTCAGTTCTGTGAGAATTGACAATTAGTGAATATTTCTTTAAATAGTTCCTTGAATTTAATATTTTACTGTGAGGGCAACTTATTTAAAAACATTTGGTTCACCTCCTTCCATAATTTGATTACATATATAAAAATCATGTCACAAATATATTAACATCCATATGCCCTTTTGGGTTAACCTACTGACCTAACAATCGTTCCTTTTCCTCAGGTGTCTTGGCCTCTTGCTCCATCACTAGTGGCATGTTTTCTATAAGCTCCAACTGTTTCCTCTGTTCTGGGGTTAAGGCAACTCCATCCTCTGATTCCTACAATATTATCCAATATTGACATTGGTTACTGAGCTTGCTTTTATGTCTTGTTCTTAGGAGGTACAAAATGATCTAAATAAACTGGTCAAGATTCTCATTCTACAAACCTCAGGTAAACCTCCTTGTCCTTTCTTTCCAAGAAGTTGTTTCAGTAATGCATTTTTCTCCTCTTGGGTCATTTCTAGAACACAAAACATATTTATGATATCCAAAAAATACAGGCGATAAAATAAAAGCTTATAATATTTTTTTTTCCTGCAATAATTTCATACCTGTTTTCATACAAGAATCTGTCGGTTCTTGTTTAACTTGAGTATTTTGAATCATTTCATCCAAAAGGGCTGGATCTACATTGGCTGGAGGTGTTGCTGATACTTTGGGACTAGGTGTAGAGCTGTCATGATGGGATGGCTGTGGTCCGATACCTATACTTGGAGGACGGACCTGGGAATGTACACTTGGCATGCTAGGATCAGGAGGCAGACTGCTGTGTTGACCTGGCATCATTCCTTGGCCTGGGGAGACCATACTATGCTCTGAGTTATGTGGCATATTAAGATGCATCTGATGTGGTGGAGGACGAGGTGGACGTGGCCCTTTAGGTCTGGGTCCTCTGGGGGGATGTTCAGCGGTTGGGCCACTTGGGGGTCTCTGTTGGGGACCCATAGCAAATGGCATTCTGTAAAACTCGTATGCCTGAGCTCCATCCATGGAAGCTGGAGGCACTGCTGGATTTATGCCACGTGGTCCCATCCCAGGCTGGCCAGGGGGCATCCCTGGTCTGACGTTCTGACCACTGACAGGTGGACCCTGCATTCTTTGAGCTAAAGAAGCCATGGCTTGCATAGAGTTTGGAGACAGTGGTCCTCCATGGGGAGGGGGCAGTCTCTGCATGTGGGGTGGCATTGGGAACCCTTGACCTGGAAATCCAGGCATCCGCATATGTGGAGGCATCATTCTATGTCCACCCATCCCTGAGAAAGGCACACCTCCTTGGGTCATTCCGGGAGAGTGGTGAGGAAGCATGCCAAATGGGGTCTGCACATAACCCTGTGGTAAAGTTGCCATAGACGTGGGAGGTCCAAAAGGAGGAGGCATGCTAGGAGCAGCAGATGATGTGGTGGAAGAGTGGGGAGGTGCAGCTAATCGCTTCTGTGTAGTTTTCTGCTGCTCCCCCTCTGAGGCTCCCTCTCGAGAGGTTTCCTCAGTATAAGGTGTTTGTGTGACTGCACTTGACCCTGCAAGTGATGGTTGACTAGATGAGGTTGTTAGTGACTGCATACTGACTGAGGATTCCGATTGGAAGGGTTGTGTTGTACTGGTTGAAGGAAGTGAGATTTTATCTGCAATGAATAAATCATCAGATAAGATTACAAGCTAGTATATTTTTATGTGTAAAATTTTCTAACTGTGATCTTTTTCTATGCTGCATTTTTTTTACATTCATTTTAAAAAATATTTTGTCATACTTTTATAATATATATACCTGAAGTAGAAAATGCTGGTTCTTGAACAAAGCTAGCTGAGGATACAGTGGTTCCTAGTGAAGCCTCTGATTGTGGAGTGGATGGACTTTGACCCACTGATGGAGGTCTACTTGATAGGTCAGCAGATGGTGGACGACTATTACTTGATGAAGGACGACCAACAGATGGGGGCTGATTTAAGGGTGGCTCTGTTGATGTAGGCCGTCCCACTGAAGGAGGTCGATTGGCTGATGATGGTCTTCCTACTGAGGGTGGCCTCCCAGCAGATGGGGGTCTTCCACCTGATGGGGGTCTTCCAGCAGAGGAAGGGCGATTCAGGGCATCACTTGGTAAGTGAGGGGCAGAGGTTGATGCTAGTGCAGTTTGTACGCCTGACTGGTTCTGAATCTCTGTACCATTTGTAACAGTTGAATTTATGTCCACTAAATGGCTGCGTGAAACAGGGGCTTCTTGAGCTTGAGAATTTAGCCCCTGTTTACCAGAATCAAGTGGATGCTGAGACAATGGACCATGTGGGTAGGGTTGTCCTGGATGAGGAGGAACTGAATGATGAGGGTTTTTCACTGCATTTGAATTAGCTGGTTGAGAGCCTTCAACACTCATCTGTTGACTAGGTATTGTACTGGCTTGAGACTGGGGAGGTATGCCTTGAGGATGTTGTGGTAACCCAGGTGTCACAGACACACTTGTTGGTTGGGATGGAGGATGTGCACCTCTGACTGCCTGCTGTTGTTGCTGCTGTTGTGCCTGCTGTGCTTGATGCATTCTAGCAAATACTTGCATTTGTTGTAGTAATTGTGGAGGCATCATGCGAGGATCAGGGTAACGCATTTGCAGCATCCTGATGTTCTCAGGGCTAAAATAAGTTGACATCAATCTAGGATCAAACATTTGCATGGGACGCATACCCCTGTTGAACTGATCAGGCATCCTCGGCCTCATTACCTGGGGTAATTCTTGCTGAGCCTGACTTGGCCTCTGTTGCCTCCTTGCTCCTCCTTTCTGTGGAATTCTTGGCTGTTTGGTGTCTTGGCTACTTGGGATTTCATTGTGTGGCCTTACATGAGCAGCAGGTGCCCCCTGCTGATGCATGCTCCCTGGGCCTGGTGGATGCATTGGCATGCCACTGTTGGGGTCATACATTGGTCTGTACATTGGTTGGTGATTATACATTGATGTAGGAGGTGGAGCATTTGGATGTATCTCAGGTCTGATTCCTGGATGATGCCCTGACAACTGTTGATCATTTGGTGCATGTTCACCAGAATCCATAACATGAGATTTTACTAAACTACTTAGCTGTTCAGAAGCACTAGCAAGAAGGGGGTTGTTAGATACCCCATAGTTTGCACTGGTTGGTATTGTTTGACCCTTTAAATGTGGGAACATTTGTGGGTTGTATGGTTGATTCACTGTCCGTGCACCATAGTTTGTTTGTGGAACATGTGTTTGTTTCGGATTTGTCTGATGCATGTAGTGAGTTTGATGATCATAATTTTGCACAGTATGGGAATCACTTACAGTAGTTTTAGCACTTTCATTTGTATCAAGTTCACTAGGTTCATCAGGTGGTATATTATGAGCAACAGAGTTTATAACAGCATCAATGCTACTCATAAAAGGTCCACATGTTGCCACATTTCCATTGTTAGAAGACACTAAATTTGAGCTTTCACTTTTCACTGGCTGAACTTCACTTTTAGTTTTAGAGACACATTTTTCTGACTGTGTTACCTGTATTTCAGTTTTTGGTGGGTTTTCAGTGTGGGGAGTTAAGTCCCTGTGTTTCGCTTTCTCTGTGGGACCGTTCTGGTGTGCTCTTGGTTTGTCCACAGTTTCCACAGCAGATGAATCTGCCGAGGAACCAGTAACCTCCATTTTAACTTCATTAATAATATCACATCTTGGTGATTTTGCATTAATCAAATGTGCACCATTTTCCTGTGATTTACTTTCTTGGAGCGTCTTTATCTCCAAATTAGGCTCTTTCTCGCTTTTCTCCGTTGACCCATTTTTACTTGTTGGTTCCTGAACAGGCTGAGATTCGGTAACTTTCTCGACCGCTTCCATTGTTGAACGATTTTACAAATACAAACAATTCCAACGATGCAGTTATAAATAATGCAATTTGAAGATACATTTGTTTTGTGCTCTTATCCATTCACAAATAAATCATGAATCGTTACCATGAAAATATTAATTTCAAAGAAATGTCGCCATCGCGGCGGCCATGTTGTTTATATTTCAACACAAAATAGCAGTATTAAACTGTCCATTTTGCTTCCTAGTTGATTTAAACAACAATCCAAATCATCAATTCACATTGTGACCTACTGTTTTTGTCAGCCCTGTTTGTCTTTTTTCCATACATTTACCGTTCCATTATGTTTCAAGCTTAAACATTGTTAGGTCATCGAACAGGAAGCGAATATGTTACTTCCCTTGTTGATTCCGCTAAAAAGCGAGAAAAGGAAAACGTTTCTCAAATTAATATTTTTTTTTTGGCAGATTGTATTTTAAAAATGTTATGACATTTAAAAATAAATTGCACGCATTTTCTCCAAAATAAGCATTTCTAAACACTACCTTACCTTAGTCATAAACTTTGGAGAAAAATATACTTTTTAAAGATGCACGGACATGTTTAGTATAACATTATTTGTATTTTGTTCTTTTTGTCTAAAGATTGGATCCAAGCATAATAATGACACTTTCTGGATAAAAAAATATTTTGTGTGCATACACTTTTATATGATAAAGGGAAAATATACATTGGGTTATATTAGCGATAGTCGATCAGATATATTGTTTTCTACATATTTCCTCTATAAAGCTAAATAATATCCTTTTAAAATGGGTTATAATATATTTTGCATTTAAAATTTTATTTTTAAAGAAAAGTTTCACTCTTGGTTTAATACACATTTTATATTTGACAAAAATCGTAAACTATATTTTTCTCCCTCTAAGTTCAGCATTTAATGTTATTAGTGCAAGCCGTTTTTGCCTAAATAACAAAAAAGTATTTTTGATTTATACTATCTGTGATGTTAAAAGTGCAAAGTACAAATGCAAGGAATGTCAATACTCTGTCCAGAACAAAAGTATGAACGTATTTCATCAAATTCAGGCCCAAAAAATATTGAAGGAGCTAAATAGGGTCAGTGGGTGACGCATGCGCGGTGACCGCAAGTACCTGCTTGATTGGGGGTTGACTTGGAAAACGATAAATATATTCATAGTTCCATTGTTTTATTGCATGTAGGTCTACGTTATGCTACCATGACTATTTTTTTAAAGTAAAAAATCTTCAGTACTTCCCTTTTATCAAACGAATATGCAAAAACATTTCCGTCATAAATAATTTCGGTCCATCTGAATATTCGCTTTTAAATTAATTATATGTTTGTACATGTACAGGTAATAGGATACCCAATCAAGAATTCTCCTTTTTTCATGTAAAAAGAAGACTGTTTTTATTCCCTCCGCATAGTACAATACTGTGTATAAATATTTAAAATTGACGAACTAAGAATAACTTGAAAAATAAATCAAGAATTTAAGAGAGAAAAAAGGGGGGCAGTCCGACAAGTATTTCCAGAGTACAAAACAATGTCAACGTGACAGAGCTTAGAAACACGTATTTTACCGGTTCAGAAAAAATGATCATTTAGTCATTGCTTACAATTACTTTGAAAAAAATGTAATTATTTACACTCAGTTACTATAACTTTTTTTCTATTACCCCATCTCAAGTACAGTTAGACAATTTCAAGAACAAGGGAAGCTTAAGATGTCGAGGGAGAGGGGTCTCTATTGAGTGGGCACAGTTATGTCACTTGGAAGAGGTAAGGAAAATATCCTGACGATAAAAAATATCCGGCACAATAAATAAATCCTATATTCTCTCCCCCCCCCCCCAATCTAGTTCTATTGAGATCGGGATTGCCCTAGCTTAAACTTTCAATACCGATATTCCCCTTATTAAAATCATAATCCTTCGTCCCTGGGAAAGGGAGGAGGGGTCAGATACTATAAATAAGCACTGATCTAAAATTAATATATTGTATAATATATAATGGATCCCTTCCTCTCCCCCTTTCAGCTTCTTCTAGCCATGAATTGATGATGACTATATATAATTATGGAATTGAATGCATTTTATTTTGGTCGTTGTTCTTAGTCTACCTACCATTTATCTTTGTATACCCTTCTGCTTCTTTAATTCAAAGCATATCATATTTCTAAATTTCTAGAAAGGAATATAAACATAAATAATGAAAAGAATATAAAATAGGATTCGGAAACAAAATATCTAATCAACATACTAATCGGTCTCTTTATTATTTATTTCGTATAATGTAGTGGTAGACGCTTTCATACAAAAAATGAATGTGTTGTTAATGTATAATTTATGTAGAAAATAGAGTATGAAGTTTTACATGTATGTACAATTTGAATATTTGAAATATAACAAATTTACAGATAAATCTTGAATAATGAAAATGTAGAAATTGAATCCAGAAAACAGAGTATGGTTGAAGTAATAGATATACCATACAACTTAAGCTGTTTTGTGCTATATTAATTGTAAATATAATATACACTTATCCACTGGTTGTGAGTGGGATAGCTCTTTTATCAAACCCGCGACAGGAACTATATTCCCCGAGGGCTTGCCCGAGGGAAATAGTTCCTGTTAAGGCTATCCCACTCGATCACAGCCAGTGGATTGTAAGCGTTTTATTACACTGATGTATATCATAATTTCTGAGGGATGTATAGCACATTTTATACCCCGGGGTATAGCTTTGTGTAACTCTACAGTGTCGTGGAGAAGTCACGAGGTGTTTTCCGTTTATGGTGACGTAGTTTGGATACTTGAGGATATCTTAGACCGCCTTCAGACTCAGTGAGTCCAGTCCCTCAAAGTTTCTTTGATCTTTTAAACGTATTTCATGAAATTGTTGTGAGAAATTAAAATCATGTTTTCTGAATTGTTCAAAGTCCACACAGTAAGATCATACAAATCGTATATCCTAATTGAATTTTTAAATGCCGATTATGACGCTATGAACTCGTGCATTTTCCTAAAAAGTCGCAGAAGACACCAATTTTCCAGTGGAATATTCTTTCAGTTTAGACCACATGCATCCCCCACAAAGATTTTAAGGTTTTTAAACTATGTGATTTCTTAAAAGATTTTTACGTAAATTGAAGTGGGCGACGGTTATGGACATAATTTTTTAAGGAAAATAACATCTTAAATGAGTCGTTTTGAGAATTTTTCTGTTTAAAACTTAGAAATGTATAAATTAATGTCGTCATATTTTCAGAGCGTTCCGCAAAGCACCTACTTCTAGCGCTATAATTTTGGTATATATAGTGTGAATTAAGTATTCAAAATATCGACTCTTATATGATATTTACATTTTAAAAAGTCTTTTGGGTTTTTTTTAATTAATTATTCAATTATTATTATTATTTTTTGTTTTGTTTTGTTTTTTGTTGTTGTTTGTTTGTTTGTTTGTTTGTTTTTTTTTTTTTTGTTTTTTTTTTGTTTGTATTTTACATAGAAGCGATAAACATTTACTTTGTTTATTTTCAAATTTTCAACAAATAGTACATGGTCTTTCCTATGGGTATTAGGAAAAAATTGTTTTCTCATGTAAATTTTGAATTTACCGGGTGGCAGTAAATAAAAATTTACCACATACAACTAAATTTTGTACTTACTGCCACCCGGTGAATTCAAGGTAGGTCCCTATTCGAGTGACGTCATCAATAGTGGTACTTTATTGAAAATACATGTATATAATTATCAATAAACCTTTTCTAATGATATTGCATTAGTAGCAGTGCAGTTTGAATTTGATTCCATTTTTAAAAAAGTTTTGATCTTCAACTTAACAAAATGTTGTTATTGATGAACATACACGTGCACACTGTACAACTTACATCTGCTGTTCATACAGTATTTACAATGATTACTAATTTCATAAAAATATTAAATAATGCAGGGTTTTTTTTTTCTTTAAATAGAAATGCTTATTGTGTATCAAAACAAACAAATGAATTCATTTAGCTATTTTTTGAAGAAATATGTTTCATTGATCAGTTGATAGTTTTTAACCTTATGCTGATTGATTTGAAGGCAGTATACATGTTCTAGAAGCTGTAGGAAGAACAAGAGCTTGTGAAGTATACAACATATATGTCTAGCTTTTGAAACAAAACAAATGAAAAGTTTATATTTTAAAGAGGAAAAGAAGGTGTTTACCATGGAATTCAAAAAATATATACATAAATGCTAAATTTTGAGATAATTTAAAATTTTCCATTTGTTACTCTTTCCCAATTTTTCATCTTTATTAATATATTAATGAAAGTGACATATTAAATATGAATACTTAACATGAAAGCAGATAAATTGATAGAGTTTAAAAGTTACTTTGCTTTAATTTTGTTTTTAGATTAGCCAAATATTTTTTTTTCCGATTGAGATAGTGTGATGAAGTAATTAAAGGCGTTTACGTCTCCTAGTAACCTGTCAAGATGTGTACGGTATGTAATGGGCTTTTTAATTACATAATACAGTATATTAATCTAATGATTAAAATAGTATAACCTTACTGTTAACAAAAAATATGCCGACTAGGTACCTACCTTAAAAAAGAACGGGAAAGGAACTTTTAAATAGAGAAATATCACGTTACCAATACGTATATACATGTGTATTATCTCGTAAATACGAGATCTTTTCTCGCAATTACGAGATAATTTTCTCGTAATTAAAGTTTTTTTTTCGTTTTTACGAGATCTTTTCTCGTAATTACGAGATAATTATCTCGTAATTACGAGATAATTTTCTCTTAATTATGAGATCTTTACTCTTGATTACGAGATTTTTCCTCCTTTTTACGGGATCTTTACTCACAATTACGAATTAATTTCTTGCAATTACGAGATAGTGCATGCGTTTGTTTGTTTGTTTGGTTTTTTTGGATACTAATTGGCTTTCATAAAACGCACTTTGTGCAACAAATTTAATTTTTAATTTTTAGCTCTACTGGTCAGAAACAAGAAGAGCTAATGCGATAGTGAGGTGTCCTTCGTCCGTCCGTCTGTCTAGCTGTCCGTCCGTCTGTCTGTAAACAATTTTTTCAAAATGCTATTTCTAGTACAGTTTTGATCTGATTTCAACATAACTTGGCAAACAAGTTGACTACACTAAGATACATAATTCTATTTATCGGTTTTCGATTCCAATGAATGGTGTTGTTGTGGTTACTAAAAATAGAAATTTCCGTGAAATACTTTCAAAACGCTACTCCTCCTACAGTTTTAGTTTGATTTTACTATAACTTGGCACACAAGTAGACTACACTAAGATACATAATTCTCTCTTTCGGTTTTCGATTCTAATGAATGGTGTTGCCATGGTTACTAAAAATAGAAATTTCTGTGAAGCACTACGTTTTCTTCAACCTTTTCATTAGATCTAACAATTGAAATAATGTTTCTTAATGTATTTAAAGGACGTTAGTGGTGTTTATCATATGTAGTACCAGCTACAAGGGCACAAATATTGTAGAAAAATCAACATGAAATAAGAAAAAATAAGTTTTTACTTACCTAATCTTCTTCAATCCTCTTTCCCGATCGCATCCGAGTTGCCGATCGCGCGTTAACAGGGGTGGTAATGCGCAGTGGAATCTGAGAATGATTCATGCGAGTGGTGATTTCAAGGATTTTTTTCGTGCCTTCCAATAAGAAAGAAGCAGTGATATTTCAACCTATTCAGGGATTTTATAACCATGATTTTGACTAGAACGCAGGCAAGTACCCCAAAACGGGCACGTAGTTTTTTGGGGGTAGTTATGGGTGTTTCCCCTTTTTCAAACGTTATTTTTAATAGGTTAGTTGCACCCATCCCCTCCTCCCCAATTTTAGTCCAGCATATAGTCAAATTCTATTGGTAATGTATTTTCAAGTTTTTTTTCCTTCGGAGATAGAACTGCCGTCCCCCCTTATCCCCACAGAATAGGACTTTCGTGTTGGGTGAGAAAACTTTCCCAAAGACTTCAAATAAATCGTCAATTACTCTAAAAGTACTTTTTTCCGTGTAATAATAATTATCGCACACAAATTTTTCCCAGCGTACTTAGTGCATTTAAGGCATCTACTGACAATCTAACAATTTTCTACCATTGGATTGAAGAGAAATTGAGATTCCGCGGAATTTTGACCCCGTGGAAAAAAGGATTCTTATGCCTCCTCTCAATTTATAAATGATGCTACGTGCCTGAAAAGTTCAAGTGTTTGTAGGACTCCGTTGCGGTTTCTTTGGCTTGCAATTATACCAATTGGGATGATCAACACGTAGATTCTAAGTAAGATATATTAGTTGTTTGTCGAAAGTTGTTGCCACGGGCTTATTTCAAACAATAATATGACATGGTTTATTTTGCATAATCGCAATTTTAATAATTCTTTTACAACTGTTGAATAATATCTTTCTTGTATTGTTGCCATGGAGAATTTGCTGTTGCCATTAAGATAAGCAGATACAAGATTCATTTGCTTACATAGAAGTCTGAGTTATATTCATAGTTTGAATTTGAACTGTGAAATTTTTTCATATGTACACGAATTTATTAAATCTACTAAGAGAATAAACTAAGTATATTTTAACATTAATAATATTTTAATATTTTAATATCAAATACTATAATATTAAATGTACAGTTTCAGGATACTTATATAAAAGCTGAAACAATAAGTAAATAATTTTTACATTATCAGGGGGTCATTATCTTTTTTTTTAATACGATATTGAGGAATGATACATGATTGTGAATCTTAATTTTTGACTATTAGTATTATTATCATGTACAAATATTATTATTTACTGTCTTTGTCTTGACCTATTATACAAGGAGAGGGTATAAATGGCTAGTTGATTTTAATCCAAACAAAACTGTTAACGTGGACTTTAGTCGTAAAAACATGGTATATCCCCCTATCAAAGGGGAACGTGGTCCAAACATAATTCAGAATATATCTCATACCCATTTAGGTCTACACTTTCAAACAGATGCTACGTGGACATTGCATATACAATCAATTCATGAAAAAGCTACAAAAAGACTAAATATCCTCAGAATGCTTAAGTATAAGGTTAGGTGGAAAACACTTGTTAAGATATATTTTGCATTTATTAGACCTGTTTTAGAAAATTCCGATGTTGTTTGGGACAATTGCTCTGAAAAAGACTCAGAACTTTTAGAAGATATTCAAGTTGAAGCAGGTAGAATTATCACTGGGTTAAGATGTAACTCCCCTCGTTCAAAACTGCATGATGAATTAGGGTGGGATCTTTTACAAACAAGAAGGAAGGTTCATAAATTGATATTGTTTTATAAAATTATAAATGGCTATTCACCTCAATATTTGCATGATTTGATTGAGCCTTATCGCCCATCAAATCATTCCTATAATCTTAGAACCAGTGATGCACAATTTAAAATTCCTCATATTAGAACTACATCATACATGGAAAGTTTCCTTCCACCAACAGTTAAACTATGGAATAACTTGCCAGATCTTATTAGAAATGCTTCTGGAATATCATCATTCAAAAGTCTTTTGAATTCTTATTTTTGTAAAAAAAGTAATGAACTATTTCATATTGGAATAAGAAAATACAATATAATACATTGTCAGTTAAGGAACAATGCAAGTAATATGAAGGCAGACTTATATAGCCAATGTTTATCAGAAACACCAATGTGTGAACACTGTATTGATTCTGTTGAAGATGCTTATCATTACTTTTTCGCTTGTTCAAAATATACATCTTATAGAGATATACTTTTTCAAAGAATTCAAAATATTATTGACTCTAATCAGGTTTCTGAACTTAAATTATTATTATATGGTAGTCCTGATCATGGACTCAATATTAATATACAAATTTTTGAAGCAGTACATGCATATTTAGCAGCAACAAAACGTTTTACTTGAACACTGTCATGTAAATGTATATATAACTGTTGTCAATTTTTCCAAACCGGTACTTCATTGTATTTTTTTTCCCGTTTTTTTCCTCGCATTTTTTAAATGTTTGTTTAATTGATGTTATGCAGTGTATTTACCTTGACCTTGCTGTAGGGAGAGGGCTAAAATAGGCTATGCCTGCTGCCTAATCCCATTCACTTCATGTGAATAAAATTATGTATAAATAAAAAAAAAGGAGAGGGTATGTATAGACTTTGCCTGTTTCCCGATCCTTATTGATTTATTCAATAAAATATGTTTAAATTATTAAATTATAGTTTGAATTTGTTTTTGGTTCCAAAAAATAACAATTAGTACAATTTTCTTTCAATATTTTACATATTCTGTTAACAAGCAATTTAGGTAATTCTCCGGGGGAGGGGGGGGGGGGAGGGGTGTTAAATGTACATCATTAACCAGAGAGAGAATACCAAGTATGTGTAAATGAAAGATTCCAAACGTGAAAAATCTATTTCGTGAGTGCCTGCATGTGTGTGTTGTGTGTGTAAGGGTACTGTCATATAACTAAGTGTATGTGGTTTGAACGACTTATTATCTCGTAATTACGACTTACGAGCTAGTTTCTCGTTATAACAACTTTATATGTCGTTCGTGCGACTGATTATATCGTTATTACGAATTATTATCTAATTATCTCGTTATAACGACTTATTATCTCGTAATTACAACCTATTATCTCGCACGTACAACTTACAGTATTTCGTATTACGACATAGTGTCTTGTTATTTCGACTTGTTATGCCGTACGTATGACTCATTGTATGCCGTTTGTACGACTCATTTTAAAACTCGTGATTACAACTTATTAAGTCGTTTGTACGACATATTATGCACAATTCGAGGAGACGAACAGATTTTATTATCGACTCGACTCCGATTTTTACTATATGAAATTACAAAGAGTTATAAATTCAATTATTATCTCGTAATAACGAGATAACTAACTCACGAAAACGATACTGACTCATTATAAGGAAACAAATAACTCGCTATAAACGGGATACTAATTCGTTAATTTGTTTTACCATCTCGTATCTGGCTTTGTAGATCCTAAATTTAGTCGACAAAAATAATGATAATTTAAAAATAAAAAAAAGCAAATCAAAACAAAAATATTAAAATGTGTGCTCGTTAATTTCCTCAAATGAAATCCAATACAATGCAGATATTAATTCGATAAGAAGTTAAAATTCGTGATCATTAAAAAACTTTGATAATAAAAAAATGAATAAATTTATACAGATGGATTAACGAAGTGAAAAGAATCGCTGTTTTTAAATACATCTTTGAAAAGTCTACTATATTCAACAGATTTACAAATAAAATCACACAGTTAAGGCATGTCCCAACTCCTGGGTTCAGGAGTGCTTATCAGGTACGCCGTGCATGATCCGGGGTCGATTCGATACGACTGAGGTGATGCAATCATTGAATGGTGTATACTTTACAAAAGCTATGGACACATAAAAGTTGCCATCTCAGTGGAACGGTCAGTGTTACAAGTTTAAACTCTCTGGGGTTAACGTACATTTTATCTCGCCGGACCCATATTAAATTTGATTGTGTTTTCCAGGCGTGAATGCAGATTCTTTTTTCTAACGAGATATGAAAGGATCAGTTACTGTTAATCGATATCCACCTAAAAATTAACCATTAGATGCGCATTCATATAAAGGAATTTTATGTTTATTCTGCGACACATCTTCCAAGACAAGAGACCTAAAAACAAACATGTTGCTCCAAAACGGCGACTCTTCCAAGAACAGAATGGTGAAAACGTCATCAACTTCGCTGACGACTGCGTCATCAAACAAAGTGACAATAGTGCAATTAAAAAAACAAATCAATTTGTTTCATGCTGTTTGCATAATAGTGGGCATTATAATAGGATCTGGTATTTTTGTTTCTCCTGTCGGCATTTTACAGAATGTGAAATCGGTAGGAATGTCCTGTGTTATGTGGAGTGTTTGTGGAGTATTCTCGGCACTGTGTGCACTCTGTTATGCCGAGCTAGGAGTCACTATTCCAGAATCCGGCGGAGAGTACACGTACATTAAACGAGCCTTCGGCGACTTTCCCGCCTTTTTGTCCATGTGGATAAATTTTATCATCATCTGTCCAGTTTGTGTGGCAGCATCATGTCTTATTTTTGCGACTTATATTCTTCGTCCATTTTTCTTGGACTGCGATCCTCCAATTCTTAGCATAAGGTTGATCGCGGCCCTTGTAATAGGTATGAAAATGTCGTAAAAATAATATAAATCAATTCTACAACCATTTATAACATTTTGTTGCAAACTAGCTTTTAAAACTTGCTTCTGTGATCATACAGCAAGGACATTTCTTTAGTGTTATATTTTTGCAGAAAAAACAGACTTTTGAAATCTTATGAGAGCGTTCTGTTTGTTTTCTTTCACAACTTTTAAATTGCATTTTCTTTTTACCTGTTTCACTATCTATTATAGATGAAATTTGTTTCTTGATTTCAGTATTTTTAATTTTGATAAATTGTGTCAATGTGAAATGGGCCACGAAGATTCAGGTTGTTATCACAGCCAGCAAGCTACTTGCTCTCTTTCTCATCATAATCATCGGCTTCGTTTCCATGGGTCAAGGTGAGCATTTTTATATAATAATGTGACAACTTGCACAAAATGCATGCACAGCATATTGCAAGTTCAAGTGTACGCACATGTAATCTGATAAGTGGTCCGTTATATAATGCATTGCTTAAAGTCCTATCTTTGTTGCGCGATGACACTAAGAGTCTATGGGACACTTTAAGAGTGCTATGTTTGTACTACTGATAAGTCATAAATATCAACACGAATCTTGTCGTTGACCCCCCTGATTTACCTTGAGGGTCAAACCCAGTTTATGCAAGGGTTTTCTAGCGTGATACCGACAGATAAAATTAAAAAAAAAATAGCAAGGACAACCTGCATGCACCGAAGAACACGTGGAACCAAAGGCCGGCCAGGAAGCAACCAGACTCCTCAAACGCAGACTTGAGACATTTGTCCTACAAGCACTCGTTTGTCCTTTATTTTATGGGATGTTTATCTTGGAAATGAAACCGATCATGCAACTGTCCCGAGGACTTTACTTTCTAGATTGACACGTGTCATAAATATTTGAGTACGTTATATCAATCCCGGAGAATTTCCTCAGATGACCGAATTTGCTCTTTTGTATAATTATATATAAGTGGATCGTAGTGTGATGTTGACACAGAATCACACACTTCCTTTCAATGATGATGATTTTATTTCTCTTTCATTGAATTTTACAATATACAGAACATATACAATGAACAATACACTGTAAGATGTTTACAGGGTGGTACAGCTGTTAAAATGCATGTTGTTTGGATGGTATATTATCCATTACCCAGGACTTGGATATGTAACTAATTGGGTCATCCTAAATAGATTTTTTTTTGTTTCATTAAGCAACATTTCACGAACACCTTGAATTCAAAATATTATTTGTAAATCATTTCTTGTTTGTTGAATAATGACAATTTTATTTTGGGTGTATTTAAATAATTATTACAATTTCAGTTTATGACGAAGATTTGACCTATAAGACCTATACATAATGATGTATCTAAATATTTTTTTAAATATAAACTGTAACTTGCTATTAAATTCTAGCATTTTATTATCAACCAGAAAGTCAGAAAAGGAGTGCTTTCAAATTACATTCAAGGGCCCTCCAAGGGGAGAAACACACTCCTTTCATAAGAGAGCATCTATGTTAATAGTTAATTAAATTTTCACAATAAATCATCGACATCTATAAGGAAGAAAAGACATAAACAAGGATTTAAAAAATTAAACATTTGAATAGAAAGATACGAAAACTTACGAAATCTACGATTACATTCTTGCAGATTTGTATAACTTAGCTTTCATCAACAAACACTTGAGGGGTCATACAAGTGCACCATCAAATAGTTTCCGTCAATTTTATAAATTGAAGCAATCATTAAATATTCAACCAAACAATATCCCAATAGATATTTCAGTATAATAGTATAATATAATTAGATATATATACCATAAGTCGATTCAAATCGATTATCATATTCGACACCATTCCAGTTTTTATTGGATGTCGGCTTAAACAGGTTCTACTGTATATCTGCATCTGATCGCTCATGTCTGCACCAACCTGATGCAAACAAATCAAGTTGGAATGCCCCTTCTCTAAGACTAGGGCTGGACGATATATCGAGATATCGATTCTGATTGATGAAGATACGCATATCGATACGTATGAAGAAATATCGAAATATCACCCAAAAAAATCTGACATATTTTTCTTTCTTTGCTTAACATTTTGGGTTTAATATATAAAATGAATATTATAAATATAAATATGAAATACAGAATAATTAACACCACTTGTGTAGAATAATTTTGTTTTACAACAGATATACAACTTCTTTGAATAATTATTCTTATTTGGTAAGAAATGTTTTGTTCATTTCAACCCAAAAAGATTTTATAACCAATTCAACATATCGTGATACATATCGTATCGTGGCTCAAATATCGTGATACGTATCAATATAGGAAAAAGTTGTATCGTCCGAGCCCTATCTATGACAGTGACATTAAACTTTACTAAAAAGTAAAATTTCAATAACCATATCGAATGGGGCTCGCACATATTTGAAATGCAAAGTTTCACAAGAGATTCCTCTCATGTCAGGGGGAAAAATGATGTATTTTTTTTTCAAATCGGCGAGCTACAGACTAGCGTGAACAATTTAGCTTTAGAACTGCTTTTGATAAAAGGCTTTAATTCATCAATATATAATCAACTGCGAAAAAAGAGTCAGAAATCGCCTTTTTTAACAGAATTTCCAAAGAGATGACTTGTTTTCTGATGAGGAATATTTGATAAGATCACTTTGGACCTGTTGCTTGTTCGTTTGTATGTTGGTTAGTGTTACATGTTTAAAATGTATGTTGTCTATAGAACACTAATCATACTTACCACGTATAAACTTATAAGTGGACAAAAATCGGTAATGCAATGAATACGTTTTGTCTAGATAAATTGTTGATTGATAAGTTAGACGAGCATCCGCTGTTATCATTAAATGAATATTATAGAAAGGATAGTTAGGATAAACATACGTAGTCAATATTTTAAAACTGCTTTTGTGACCTTTAAAAATTGATGTCTAGCATCGGCCTAAAACTTGACATTTTTCTTGATAATTTATATTTTATTCTCATGCGCCCTGGTCCTTGAATCAATTTTAATACACAAAAGTGAGAATCCGGGGCTCAGATCGCACTCACACGTTTCTATTTGATGGTTCCCCTGCAATTAGATCTCATTCAAGTTTGACAATAGTGGACATTTCCGTTTGTAAGAATTTGAAGAGGAATCGTCGTAGTAGAAGTATTAGAGGAAATTGACAGAAATGTTTTTGAAGGGGCTAGCTGTTAGAAATTTTTAAGTGCCAGGGTTCTAAACAATCGTAGTCATCCTGAATATCTAGTCCACTTGACACGGTCATAGATGGGATTCCGACGGAAACACTCCATATTTGTTGTTTAAAAATAACGCAAGTTCAACAGAGCCTATTTTGAATCCTTGGTAAATGGCTATTGTTGATAGCACAGTCGTCCTCTCATATTTATAATGGGTCAAAATATCTTTAATTAAATTCATTTGCTTTATAACATAATCTGAATTTTTTTAAGGAAAAGTTGAAAATTTCAACAAAGCTTTTGACGGCAGCGACTTTAGTGCTGGTGCCATTGCCATTTCATTTTACTCAGGGTTTTGGGCGTTTGGGGGATGGTAAGTTTTCCTAAGATCAAGTTCAACTGAAAGTTACCGTTTTTATTCCTTTTTACTTAAGCAGAACGTCACATTTAATAAATATATTCTGAATTTCAGGAGCTATCTGAATTTCTTGACAGATGAAGTAATCAATCCACATAGGTAATTGTAGTATCAGATTGTACAGTATCATTGGTGTACAAATGATCATAGACAAAGTGTTAATCCCTGCCATACACTGACATTTAATAAGATTCTACAGTGAATGGATGTGTATATATAAAATAATAAATACATGTAAATTTTAAGCCAAAGGCGGATCCAGCGCCGGGTGCGCATTCCCCCGTTTGAATTTTGTTTTGTTTTGAAATTTTGTTTGTATAACAAGGATTTACCTTCAGTTTAGTACATAAATTGATAAAATTAATTCGTCAGCTTCCGGGGGCTTTGCCTCCGGACCCCCACTAGGGTTTTGTTCTGGACATACTTGGGCTTCAATGCAGCCCCCAGACCCCCTGCCTTCTACCCCCCCCCCCCCCCCCCGTTATGAAATTCCAGGACCCGCCAATATAAGTCACCTCAAATTTAAGTAATATTGATAAATCTCCTGTGTAACATAACACTCTGCACCCTGTTAAAAAATTATCCATATTAAAAAAAATTTTAATTTCCCTTTTTATGTACTGTGCTCCAAAATTGGCCATGCTATTCGTGTTGCATGTCCTAGTGTTGTACGGTAGACCTCAAAGGAAAACCCACCTGCTCATGTTGCAATTATCATAAATCAATATAGAAAAAAAAAATTGTCAAGAAGTGTTAAAATATTGATTCTAGTGTTTGAGTTTAAAGGGAGATGATAGGTCAAGAGATGTACATGTACATTTCCCTATTTGTACCACGGAATGCCTAAACATTAAAATAAGGAAGCAGGCTTTTTTTGTTTGTTTGTTTGTTTGTTTTTTTTGTTTTTTGTTTGTTTTGCTTTTGTTTCTTTTGTTTCCTATTTTTTTTTTTACTCATGACCTACTTTTTTAAGGTTGCAGGTCTTCAATCTCCATATTTTTCGTCAAACTGTTCATCACCAAAGTCTTAGGCATTATTTTTTCATCATTGACTTTTTGAAAAGTAAATGTTATCGGAATAAAAAATAATGTCTCTATCATATACTTTTTTATGATAAATTTTGTTCAAGATTCTTTCACTTTTCAGTAAACAATGGATCAGGGATCAAATTTTTAAAAAATGCAAATTTGGAGGAATGATGCATCTAGGAATATGCTAAGGATAGTCATGCTCTTGTTGTTGACTCGGACCTACATTTTCGAATAAAGATTATATAAATATCGCATGTAGTTGAGTGTAACATTGAAAATTTTCACCCAAGAAAACCATTGTCAACCAAGGCGCAGCCGAGGTTGACAATTTGTTTTCGAGGGGTGAAATTTTCAATGTTACACTCAACTGCATGCAGTATTTATTATATTATATTATACTTTCATGTAAATTAGTTGAATCGGATTTATCGAGAAACATTTGTTAAAAAACACTATTACCCGCTGAATAATGAAGCTACGTCCTCCAGCGTAGCAACAGTCAACATTGCTTGACGACGGGAGATATTCAAAAAAAATATTGACTGCGCAGAAATTATGCAAGCAAGGTTCAATGTAATATGTATTTGTATAAAACATTCAGCATAATATAATAAATATTGCATGTCGTTGAGTGTAACATTGAAAATTTTCATCCCTCGAAAACCATTGTCAACCTCGGCTGCGCCTCAGTTGACAATGGTTTCCTTGGGGTGAAAATTTTCAATGTTACACTCAACTGCATGCAATATTTATATATTATTACCCGCTGAATGATGAAGCCACGCCCTCCAGCGTAGCAACAGTCAACATTGCTTGACGACGGGATATTAAAAAAAATAGTGACTGCGCAGAATTTATGCGCGCGCGCGGTTCACTGTTATATGTATTTGTATAAAACATTCAGTATAATATTTTTAAATAGATCCTATTCTTTAGTCATTTTACGTCTTACTTATACCATTAGTTAGAATAATCTGTGTCTAGGGACAAACCATCGTCGGAAACCCACGGCCAATCTCGCATAGGCTTATAAGCGTGATTGGCCATGACTAGATTGGCCATGACTTTCCGACGATGGGGACAAGCCCTCGCCAATGATATTATATAAATATTGCATGTAGTAGAATGTAACATTGAAAATTTTCACCCCAAGAAAACCATTGTCAACCGCGGCGCAGCCGAGGTTGACAATGGTTTTCGAGGGGTGAAAATTTTCAATATTACACTCAACTACATGCAATATTTATTATATTATACTGAATGTTTTATACAAATACATATAACGGTGAACCTTGCGCGCATAAATTCTGCACAGTCACTGTTTTTTTGGAATATCACCCGTCGTCAAGCAATGTTGACTGTTGCTACGCTGGAGGGCGTGGCTTCATCATTCAACGGGTAATAGTGTTTTTAACAAATGTTTCTCGACGAATCAGATTCAACTAATTTACAAGAAAGTATAATATTGTTTTTTAACAAATGTTTCTCGACGAATCAGATTCAACTAATTTACATGAAAGTATAATATAAAACCGGGTCCGTAGGACAGTAAATTTTAACGATAGAACGTTCTATCTGCAAGACCATCTACCAGTCATGCATAGGATGCTGCATCTGACCTATACTTTCTAGAGTGTTTGGTGCACATTCTTTCCATAGTAACATCAGTCTTGCTTTTGAAAGCTGTTTTACTTGATATTTTCATATAATCAGGCTGTTTCGTTGAAAATACATGTAACCATTACACCCTACTATAGTATTTTAATTTCCATTTGATACACGACTGAACCCCTCCTTGTATAATAAATTGTTTAAGATGAACTTTTTAATCTATGATTTTTTTTGGTTTTATGTTTAGGAATTTACCATTAGCCATTATAATTTCGATGACCATCGTGACTCTTGTATATCTTATTGCAAACATCGCCTACTTCTCGGTCCTGACGCCAACAGAAATGCTAAGATCGTCTGCCGTGGCTGTTGTAAGTCAGGATTAACATCTTTAGTCTGTGCACTTAGTACATATACTCATAACAGTCATTCCTCTCTCTCTATCCCCCCTTCCCCCAGACTGTTTAGTCCTGACTTGATCTAATTTATTCTGCAGACTTTTGCTGAGCAGACAGTAGGAGTCATTGCTTGGATTATGCCGATCCTGATCGCTATTTCAGTAATGGGGTCTATGAATGGAACTTGCTTATCTATGTCAAGGTTTGTAACATGCAAATGAAATATCAAAGTGCTTGTTTTAACCCGATAGACATAGCACATTTTGCTTGCCTGTACCAAAAACTGATATGATGCATTCTGATCGAAGTGGTTCCCACGTCATTTTGTCTGTGTCATGAAATATGGAGATAATGTACAGTAATCAAGCATAAATGTCCATTGAAACAATGTAAAGCAATGTAAATCGGGAGCAGAGCAAACACAGACCAGGTGGGATCGGGTGCCATGGAGGAGTAAGCACCCCCTGTCTACCGGTCACACACACCCGCCGTGTACTCATTGTCATGATCAGACAAACAGAAAAAATCCTTAGACAATTCAGTGTTTAGAAAATTTAACTTCGCTAAATTTTTCAAGAGTCAATAACATCAAAACATACAACTTTTCTACACTTAATACAGTCCTTCCTCACTATTAAAAAACTATACTTTTTGATATGATAAACAACAGCTTCTTCAATAAAAATGGAAGTCGAAAATTGTCCTATCTTGTGAGTGGTCATCAAAAAAATTACTTCGTTAAAAATCACTCTGATTCTACACACAAGTACTCTGAAGTTGATATTAAAAGAATGCTGGGGTTCCTCATTGACAACATGTATGTAATCTTCGGAGTCCAGGTCTTCCAACAAACTGTTGGCTTTTCCGATGGGTACTAATTGTGTTCCTTTATAAGCCGACCTGTTTTTATATTCCTATGAAGCAGAATTCATTCAAAAACTTCAAAACGTTTGCAGTGGCCTTCAACTGGACATTTAGATATATCGACGATGTATTATCAATTAACAATAGTTACTTTCATTCATGTGTCGATTCGATATATCCCAGTGAACTTGAAATAAAAGACTCCACAGAGTTTGCAACATTTGTTTCATATTTGGATGTTTTACTGACTATAGACGATAAGAGCGAACTAACAACAAAATTGTATGACAAACGAGATGAGGCTTTTCTATCGTCAACTTTCCTTATTTATGAAGTAATAACTCCTATCACCTGCATATGATGTTTACATCTCCCAACTTTTTTTGTTGCTATACTCAAGAGCATGCTCCGAATACGATCAATTTTTAAATCGAGACATGCTACTGACAGATAAGTTGATCTTAAAGGGATTTCAACAACCTCGTTTAAAGTCAGCATTTCATAAATTCTAGGTCGTTACAATGACCTTGTTAGCAAATATAACATACATCATTGGGTCGTATTTGGCTGACTTGTTTCTTACCAATTGCTAGGCCTTTGTCTTGTGTTGAATTTGACTACGGAATGTTCCGTTTACCTTATCAATATATAGGGTTCACGGCGGGTGTGACTGGTCAACAGGGAATGCTTAATTCTCCTAGGCACCTGATCCCACCTCTGGAATTTCCAGCGGTCCGTGTTTTATGCCCCTTTCACAGATTTGTATTGTTTTTGCTGACAAGGTCTTGATATGATATATCAATACAAGGTATTGATATGACGAATACAGGTCTGCGTTGACTTTCTTAAATATTTGATGACTTAAACCCATTTTCTTTCCCTTACAGGTTGTTTTTCGTTGGCGCTAGGAACAACCATCTTCCGAAGATAATTTCCATGATAAATTTCAAATTTCTAACCCCTGCGCCATCTCTTTTAATCATTGTACGTATATAAATGCAAATATTCAAAGTTTTCGGCATACGTGTATTTGCTAATACGGTGTATTTATGTTCCCCCTTTTTTGATTGATATTGTCTGTGATTTTCAGCTAATTTTGACACTGGTTATGCAGAGTTTTGAGGAGATATTTTTTCTGATTGAGATGATGGGTTTTGGTTTTGCTATTGTTCTTTCTTGTGTGTTTGCTGGTCAGATTTACCTAAGAATCAAGGAACCAGAACTTCCTAGACCTATTAAGGTAACCGTAACGAAAATAATGCAACTACAATAGTTATAATTTACCAAGATGATTTCAGGATGTCATGACCATATTTAGTATAACACTCAGTTGACCTGTTGCTAACCATTTTCGTCCGTCGTCGTTAATATTTGAACATTTTCAGCTTTGTTTTCCCCCTCATGTATTTCCTTTTTAACTCTCAGAGTGCAGACACAAAAACATAAATAACAGGGGCCTTAGAGGGGGGGGGGGTCAAAACCATCAAAATGAGAGTAAATTATTAAATATCTTTTTACTCCTGGACATCAAGCATTCAAACTGTTGGCATGATTGTAATAAGCAGTGAGCCCTCTAAATTGTGAAATTCATGGCCCCGAGGTCAGAGGTTCTGGAGTTAGGGTGGGGCTCTAATGATCATATAGCATGGGCGTCGGCAAAGGGGCGGCGGTCGCCGCCCCAATAATTTTACAAAAAAAAGACAGAAAGAAAAATGAATTTTAAATGAAAAATACAGAATTACAAAATTTGTAATGGCAATATCTGTGGTCAATTGAGCGGCAAGAATAACGGTAATCTGTGGTCAATGGAGTGGCAAAGTGTGAAAGCTTTTGATTACACAGTTTCCGGATTTTTTTTCTTTTCAAATGCTGGAATTTGCCCGAGTTTGACCTAACAGCAATTAACAAAAGTGTGTATGAAAAAAAGGGGGAGCAAGTAGCGTCTAAATGAATAACTTTTTATTTATCAAAACTTAAGCAAAAAGACTATTCTCAGAAAAAAAGTGGAGAAATTGAGAGAGAACTGGAGGCGCCCCCCCCCCTCCTGACATCTTCCCCCGCGTATATTAAACAGACCTGTTCATTGTCTAATTAATTGGTCGATTGATGTTTTGAAATCCTTGATGAATCGAAGTTGTAAGCTATTTTAAAGCAAAATACTAATAAAAATACTGGGAAATGTTACTATTTAAAACAACTTCAGTTGATTTGTTTATAATGTCATACATATTTCTGCATTTCAAAAATGGAGGGATTATGAGGGATATTAACCACCTTGTTTATTTTAAATTTTATAATTATGCATTCTCTCTGCAAGTAACAATTAAATATTATACTATAATAGAAAACTATATGTATTTAATTAATCCTTACCTTGTCATACATGTAAATCCTTCAAAGTTCTTCTATGCCGTTTCGGGAAAAAAGCTCTTAACCATTTAAAAATATTCAGGTTTTGTTTTATTTATACTTACAATGTGTTTTTGTTGTTGCATGTTTAATTGTTCTTTTTTAATCAGAAAATACATCTAGACTATTGACTTAATAGGGAAAATGTCAAGATTTTGGCGTAAATTTCAAATATTTAGTTTATGTCACAAAAAGTTGCTTAGGACCCCCCCCCCCCTTTTTGGATCAAGTTCGCCTCCCCAATGTCAAATACTTGCCAACGCCCCTGTATAGTAAAAATGCATAAATTCTGTTAAAATCTTCTTTTCCTCTGTATATAAAGCAGATAAACTAGGTGCAGTAAAACTCGGTTATAGCGAAGTCCTGGGGACCTGTGAATTCACTTCGCTATATCCGTAATTCGTTATATCCGTATAACGAATTCGTTAAAGTATATATAACGAATTCGCGATATGCATCTTTTCATTCAAGTATCTCTACCAAATATGTTCTTGGAGGTATTAGATACAAAATTTTACTTGGCGTACTTAATATTTCTGATGAAAGGAATTTCAAATCTAAATACTTATAAAAACAATGTCAGTTAAATATTTTGAATGTTAAGATATTGAAAATTCGTTATAAAAGATTTAATTTTCGTTATTTTTAACCACTACGGGACAGAAAATCAGTTCGCTATATCCGTAAATTCGCTATATCAGAGTTCGTTATAACCGTAATATTTTCCTAGGATTTGTTAGGAATTTCGCCGGGGATTTTAAAAAAAACTTCGCTATATCCGTGTTCTTACTAAACGAGTTTTACTGTGTATGGTTAAAATGATTTCTTCCAAAATTGTGAAATTTGTGGCCTCAGGGTGAGTTCTTCTGCGGGGGGGGGTCTATTGATTATTTAGTAAAGACGCATTATTTCTTTGAAAATCTTCCTCTCTGCTCCTGGGTATTTAGTAGATAAACCAAGTTTATAGTTATTATGAGCAAGGGTGTCTCTTCCAAAATTATGAATATTTTTTAAAAGTTTGAAATTCATAATCCTGGGTCAGGGGTTTATTTGGTGTTAGGGTGAGGCTCTTCTTAATATATAGTAGAAAGGCATAATTTCCTTTAAAATCTTCTCTGCCCATTGTTATTAAGGAAACATACTAAGTGCTCGTTTATTATGAGCAAAGGTGCCTCTTCCAAAGTTGTGAATATCTTGGCTCCTGGTATTAGGGTATGGCTACATTGAATCTATAATGGATTATTTCTTTGAAAAGCTTCTTTGCTCCTGTGCATCCAGGAGGCAAGCAGAATATATAAAGTTGTAATAAGAAAGGCGTTTTACCAGGTTTGGAAATTCTGTACCCTTTGGTCAATTTATTAATTTCTACTGAAAGAAGTTTTTCCCTTTTGCTTTTCACGTATGATAGATAATCACTGAAAATGATGAAACTTAAAAGGTCAATTGAATAACAGAATTACACAAAATTTTTACAATATTTAATAAAAAAAGTACTTTCATAGCTTTTAATGGTCAGGTAGACTTTTAAATAATAGATAAATGTAAAATGGGACAAAAATACTGTATCTTTGTACGTTAAATAATCTCAAAGATTAAGAGAGGTCAATGTGAGGGAGAATGAAATAATGCTCTAGAATCACTGGTTTGTCTAGTCCGTATGGGGATAGTGACAAATGGGGGAAAGTACAGGCAAATAAACAGATGAACTTTAAGATTCATTTTTGATGTTTTGACCTTGACATTGGAGTTTTACCTACTTTTGAAAAACTTTAACCACGGCCCCAACTTTTGAATGGTTGGTTCTAGGACTTTCATATTTCATATGTGTAACTCTTGTGACAACACCTATTTTTGAGTACCAATATTTGTGACCTCGAAGTTTGACCTACTTTTGAAAAAAACATTAACCTTTGTCATACCTTTGAATGGTTAGTGCTAGGGCTTTCAAATTTCACATGTTTATTCCTTGTGACAAGACCTTTCTTTGCGTACCAGCATTTTTTATCTCAAGACCTTGACCTAGGAGTTTGATGTACTTTTGAACAAGTTTAGCCATAGCCATATTTTGAGAACATTTTTGCTATGGCTTTCATATTTCACTTGTGTATTCTTTGTGTCAAAACCTTCCCTCGGGTACCAACATTTTATTGACCTTGACTTTAGAGTTTGACTACTTTCTAAAAACTTTAACCTTGTCATAACTTTTAAACTATTGGTGTTAGGGTTTCGTATTATACCTGTATATTCTTTGTGGCAAGAATTTTCTTTGGGTACCAACATTTTTGATATCTTGACCTTGAACCTAGAATTTGACAAACTTTAACCTTGGCAGTGAGTTGTCATACGGGGGCATCAGTGTTTCACAAACACATCTTGTTATTTTATTGTAAATCATAGCTGATTGTGGTTTGTTTTCCAGCTTCCTCTCGTCTTGCCAATTTTTCTGCTAGCCTCGAGTCTTCTGATATTAGTGCTAACATGTCTACAGAAGCCTGCAGAAAGCTTATTAGCAGTCATCCTTATCGTTGCCGGAATTCCTCTTTACATTATAGGTGTATTGTGGAGAACAAAACCTCGCGAGATTTCAGAAGTGATACGTGAGTACAAAAAAGCACTATCGTTAACGACATAATGTTGACGCTGTTATTTGGCGAAGTGCAGCAACTGGGTATAAAGATATGAAAACAAAACTCAGGAATTGAAAATTAATATCTCTTAGGATCAGTCTCAAAGCATTGGTACTCATATGTGCATTGTTTTGTTGCTTTTTTTTTTTTTAGATCGAACAACATGTTTCATTCAGAAAATCCTTCTGGTTGTTCCTCAGGACAAGAACGAAGAATGGAAGTAGATTTGATATATGTTTATATACATGTATAAATTTCCAGACTTATTGTTTTTATGTAAACGATTTTTCTTTTTAAGGCATGTATTGATTTAAAGAATCTATAATGTAGAAGAATGTGTTGTTGTTTTTTTTTGGTCCATAAAAAATGTCTTTATTATACATTTGATGGGTGTGTTCAGTTTGAATTTTGTTAAATTAAAGGGATATCTGTGTTCTTTCACTTGTCACTTCTTTTTTTTCATAGTAAACTTGCGTCGATTGCCTTTTGGAAACTCACATTCACTCTGGATAGCGCAGTTGAATTTATACATGTATTGCCCTTGGATGTTATGCAGCATTGCTTTGGTTTTATTATCTAGAACATTTCAAAGACAATTTTGGAATTGATCTTCCTTTTTAACCATTTATTGAAAAAAAAATGCACGTGTCTTTGGTACTATACCCATTTCATGCATTACCTGTTTTCTAAAACAACCGAATAATAGGTTCACGTTGTTAATTCATCCGAGTTGCTCTGTACAAAAAAAAAAAAATACTTCTGCTTCATTATGAATGCAAAGCGATATACCCTAGATAGTGACAAGTTTCAAACATATATAATATCCACAATAAACAATCAATTCAATGAAAAAATAAGATTTTTTTTTACAGTATTTACTTTTTCTAGAGCAAGACGGCAGACATCACATTTATGAACATTTTTTTAAATCATGCGAAAAGAGTAAAAAGTTTGGGGATGAAAGCAAAAATTTTGTACGTTAAATATATCTAATAATACATCCAGCAGTGTGTTATGTTTTTCCATTTGATTTTATTACGTTTATAAGTTGTGCACTGTTTTGAACACGAGAGACTGGTTGAAATTTTGCGGAGACGTTGATACACTCGAAATGCATCCATTCCTACAGAAATGCAAAAAAGTTACGAATGTCCATATAGAAAAATTTCGTGAGGGATGTGACCAAAACCATAAAAATCAATAAAACTTCAAACATCTGAACTCCAGGCAAACTGCATTTTGGCAGGATTTTGGTAAGCAATGAGCCATTTACTAAAATTGTGAAATCCATGGGCCCTGCGATCAGGGAGGACGAAAGTGGAATATGACAGAAATACCCTCTTTTAAGTATTTGTTTCTAATTGTATTTCCTTTGTACCTAGGATGACTAGCGAATTATAGTTATCCTATAATTTATATATATATATATATATATATATATATATATATATATATATATATATATATATATATATATATATATATATATATATATATATATATATATAGATGTATCAAATTGAGCAGGGTTGCATTGCACTCGGGTAACCGTTCTGGCCCATGGGGCTCTTTTAGTGAAATGACTTTTTTCGGCCCCTATTTGAAATTCAGGATTAAACTGACATTCCAAAACCTTATCCAAATCTACAGGACACCATCAATCACACTCCAAGAAATTATTTGGTTACTGGGTGAAATATAAGAGGAGTTTTGTGGTAAAACGTAAGCTCGTCAAATAGGTGTTCAGGAGAAAAAAGAAAATCTATATAAAGGTTCTGAAACCGTAGTTTTTATAGAATAATATCGTTATACATCCTGACCAGGTTTCGTGGGGAAAACAAACGTTTTTGTACCTAGCTTATAGCACGTCTATCGAACATCATCAATCATATTCCAATAGGTAAATTAGCTACTGTTTTTAAAAATGTAAGAGGAGTTTGAGTGACAGACAGACGGACCGGGATACAATATATCCGAAATTTCTATAGTTCCTACAGGCACGTTGTAGCAGGGGGCCAGGGAGGGGATGCCTGTCCCTTTTTTCAAACATAACGTTTTACATGTACTGTTGAAAATGTTATTTGAGGTGTAGTCAAATTTATTATACAGTATACATTTTTTTTTTACTCTTAAGCTTCAGGGAGACGAGCTGCATGAATATGATTATTGATTGTGGTTATGGAGTTCTCACCAAATTAAATTTTCTGATCCCTAGGATCATAAGGCAGTTTTAGAGTCAAGTCAAACTTTCAGTCATTCATAAAATAAATACTAGAACTCGCCGTAAACTGACACTTGAAAATTGAAACTAAAGCACAAAATGGCAATATTTAAAAAAAACTTTTCAAATGCTATGTGTTTTCTATCATAAAACTTCAAAGCAATATCTATATACAAATATCGACTTGAGTCTAAAACTGCCTCATGATCCTTGGCCAAACATTTCTGATGGGGCAAGAGTTGTCATAGCCTGAGAATATCATGATACTCAGTTGACTGTTAAGGCCCATTGGCCTCTTGATTTCATTAAGACCATTATTAAGAGTCCAACATGGAACGAGGGAGGGGATATATGAGTGGTTGCATTTGAAACTTGATGGGCTAAACGAGGGGCAGATGATGGGCAGCAAAGTATGAAGGGGAAGACCTCGACACTATCTCGGAGTGGATAAAGAGTTACATGTAATTTAATTAAGACGTTTAATTAAAGAATCACATTAGACAATTAAAGGACAAAATGCGGACCATAAATTTAACGCTGATGGTCTCAATATTCAACATTAAAAACAGATCCCACGGGTCACTTTTCAACTCGGGTCAAAATTCCACGTTACACCGAAAGTGATAAGAGAATAAGAAAGACTACATGTACATGAATAAAATGTTATAGTTCCAGCTGACAAAGCTTGTAACAATATAGTTTTTGTTTGTAAGGTTCATTATTACAACTGCATTTTAGAAGATTTTAATTCCACAGTCTGGTAATCCATCTTAAAATGACAGTTCCCTTTCAAGGAATACAATTCTTCACTATAATGACGTTTCAGTTTTAATTACTTCCCGTAAACGGAGGTTGATATACCGTACCTATACTGGATTCCAAAACTTCATAAAAATCTGTACATACAAGGATACATTGCAGGGTTCAGTAAATGCACAACCAAGCCCCTATCTTTATTCCTCACAAAATATAACTGCTGCGAGGAGGAACTTCAGGCGTACTGTGCTAGAGCATATACAAGAAGTGATGTAAGTCAAGTGCAGATTCTCAAAAAACACCAAAAACTTTTGAAAAATTCACAATTAGTGAAATTAAAACGTATGACTTTTCAATGCTTTATATTTATAACCATTCCTTGCGATAAATTAAATACCCGGCTTTTTGACATCATAGACAACTGCTTCTTCAATAAAAATGCAACTTTTAAATTATCTTGTGATTGATCGTATACAAAATTACGTTAACAATCATTCTGATTACACACACAAGTACTCTGAAGTTGAAATTAAAAAGAACAGAAATCCTATCTGGTCTTGAGACTAGGTCTTCAAACAATCTGTTGGAATTCCGATTGCCGTCCTGTCTTCATATTCTTAAGAAGTAAAATTTATATATATAAACTCTGTTGTGATCAGTTAACATGGTTATTTTTACTCATAGGTCGACTCGATACACCACAGTAAACTAGATACCACAGAGTCTGCCACATTTGTTTTTATATTTCTGACAATAGATGCCCATTTACAACTAAACTAAAACAAACGGGATGCTTCAGCTTTTCCATCGTCAACTTTCCCCATTTCATCGTCGGATACCCACGGGTGATATCGTCTTGTACATATCACCCGGCGATTAGTAAAAGACGAGATCACTCGTGGGTATCCAACGATGCCTCTATTTAAGAAGTAATATTCCACAATAACCTGCATATGGCGTTTATCTCTCCTAATTGTCATTATTGATTCGACACGAAAGAACATGTTCTGAGTATGATCAATTTATAAACACAAGCATCTTATGTTAGAATTTCATATAATACATTCATTACCATTCTGTAATTAAAAAAAAAACTTAAGCATAAATTCTGTTTTAAAAAAGGAGTTTTGAAAAGAAGGTGTGTTGAAAAAGGGCGTTTTAAATATCGGTCCCAGGTGGCCTTCTAGATAAATATGAAAATTCCAAAACTTCTACCGGACACGACCTTTCATATTCTAAAAGATTAGACTGCTGTGTTAAATATAAGAGGAGTTACTGGAACAATTTTGTTTTGGAAAGAAAAGACGGTGTTTTTGCCCCCCCCCCCCCAATTAGCCTCCCTTGTGAAAAGAAAAACGAATGTAAAACTTCTATTTAACAGAATTTATGCTTTGGTGGGAACCAGGTATCGTATAAAACAGCTTTTCGACCCCCCCCCCCCTCCCAATTGAACCCTAAGGTGAAACTGAAAATTCTGAAACCTGACTGCACATTTACAGGACACTACCAGTCGTATTCCAAAAGATGATTTACATGGCTACTGCGTAATATGCTAGAGTTCTTGAAACCAGACTTTCGTAGAAAACTGTTGTTTTTCCACACCCATTTAGCCATTAGGGTGAAAATGAGAACATCGAAACCTTCTTGCATATACTAGTATACAGAACAGATACTAACAGATGGACCAGGATAACAAAAATTTACCCGTTCTTGGAAGCAGATGCTAACAATATGTGGTAGGCAGCATAATATGGTGTAATACAGTATTCTTCTCCACCAATGAAATTTCAAGATATTTATTAGAGGCAGGACAATAACTGTTTTTTTTTCCCTAAAAAAAAAAAACAATGGTCCACATTAACATTTTGGTCGCTAAAATGGTTGAAACTGACCCATTGGTATTGCAGAAGATAAAACAGTTGGGTTAGGCATAATTAAGGAGAAATGTGTTCTAAGGAGAGATATTCAACTCTATAATTGATGCATCACAGTTTCGTGAAAAAAAAGGATTCTTCTCAATTTTTCCCAATTACATGGTATATATTTTAACTTTTTAAAAAATCAAAGTACTGTGAGTACTGATAGACGGTGGCATGAATGATTTTGTTTGATTGTTGTTTGTTTTAATTAAAACGTCCCTCTCGGGAATTTTTCACTCATAATGAGACGCCACCATTGCCATTGGTGGGCTGCAAATTTTATATCTATACTCAGCACTCAGGGCCATTGTGCAGTGAGGGATTTTTTTTTCTGGCAAGCACTTACTGCGACACGGGACCTCAGTTTAACGGTCTCATCCGAAGGACCGGTCTCCACGTCCCGCAGTGGGATTCGAACCGGCGACCTAAGGATCGACTCCTTACTCCTTGACTCTAGAGCAAACGCTCTAATTACTGGCCACTGGCATGAATGAATTAAATTAAATAAAATGATATGAGAATCTGTAAAATGATATGGAAATTATGAAAGTTTGTTGCAATTTTTCACAATACATGTATTTGATGAGTTATTTTATATTTGCGTCAGTATGATGAGGACGTGTATTAACTGAAGTTGTTAAACAATTTATTGCATGAAATTTTCTACATTTATTTAGTTTTATTATAAAATAATGTTTGAAGAAAAAAAATGCGCTGAAATGCCAGAAAAACGAAAGCTGGATCATTTCAATTTTTTTTCATTAATTAATCCTTAAAACAATTCATTTTACCCTAAATGTTAAATTAAGGGAATCAAAGGTTCTAATATATTCATGTGGTGACCGAACATATTTATTTTAAGATAGCTTTCTATACATGCATGTGTGGTTCCATTTAGGCGCTCTTCCAAGTTAGATGTGCATTTTTTTTTTTTAGCAGAAATGTGTTTGAGATATTTGAGGAACAGTTAATAAACCTATTGTGAGTTGCAGATATGAGCATTCAGTAAATTCCGAATTCATTGTACTTTCTTCGCATAATTTGAAAATAATCTTATCAGCATGCATTTCAGCGATATCAAGTATCAAATGAAAAAGTTAAATTTTACAACAAAAAGTGTCATGAAACCGTGGTGTTTTGAAGTTAGAAATTGTGATTTTATAATTTAAAATCTTATACTCTGTGGTTAATTATCAAATTTTGCTAATCTGGAATAAAATTGAACTCACAATATTTTTTTTAAACAAAAACTAACCTTTCTTAAATTATATGGTAAAAAGGGAAATGATGAATCACTTTTGGCGTTGTACTGTAGATTGTGCGACATAAATCATATGCTGAAAGATAATGAAATATACTTTATCTTTGGATCCCTATTTTTGCCAAATTTCCAGTAATTTACTTATTTCTATAAGGTTGAAAGACTTCGAGAATTGTACAGTAGTTTTACCTTTTTGTTTGATATATATATACTGTTCGAACAAAAAAAAGAACAGAATAACAAAATATCTTTCACCCTCTATTTCTCTTAGTATCTTAATATGCCCTGACCCCGCTAGTCATTGCGTAATACGAAGTTTTGAAAACACATGCAGGAGAAGACTGCCCTATTATCATAACAAAAATTGCAATAAAATAAGAATGTAACATATTTTGGTGTATTTGCACTATTCGGCTGAGAGAGATAACAGATGCGAAGCTCTGAAGATAAAAATAAACATAGATGCTGGCCACTAGGGTTTTACCTTTTCACCTGGACGGTTCCAAGAAAATGATTCATTAGCAGGTGGTTGTTTACTTGTTTATCAAAAGATGTATTTGGTTAGGAGGAAGGAGCAACTAATAGTATTGAAATGACCAGAGGTCAGTTGTTGGTATAAATTAGCTACAACAAATAATATTTAAAGATTATGCAAAAGATAGGAAAGGATTTTTAAAGTGCATTAGGAAATTAAAGAGTGTTGGAGGACAGAATAATAGTAATTAAAATTAAAATTCAAAAGTAGTTATTGCAAATTTTGAAGGATTTACAAATATGGGGAGGTACGACTTCAGGCATAAAACAGGCGGCCGGGATAGACACAATTTCAGTGTAAAGCTGAATTGTGACTGTCTTGGTTGCATTTTATACAGGTGAGATAGTTTTGTAGACTTGCGCGTTTTTTTGTTTTTTTTTTGTAAAATTATTATATTTTCAGATGGCTCTTTTTATTTACAGGTTAAAATATTTAATATTATAAGTAGTAATATTTATTAGAATGTTTAGTAGATTGTGTGAAATTACTTACTGTAATTTATAGATATTAAAATGGATTGTTTAATTTAATAAAGAGTGGAAAGCTGAATTGTGACTGTCTTGGTTGCATTTTATACAGGTTGGGTAACATCTCCACTCCCCAACACCTGTGAGCCGCTCTGGTCAGGAAAGGTCCTCATTTATGGAAGGTGGAATTTGACTAGCCAAGCGTCCTTTAGCAAAAATAAAAAGTGACTTGGGTCACTCCGACCAAGCTCAAAGATTATAAGAGTTATTCCACTTGGTGCGTCCTCTCACTTGCATAGCCAAAGATCCCGGGTTATACAAACAAATGCATGATCGGCCCAATGTCATTCGGGACTCTGCCTCCTCAAACTTCAGTGGTTGAGGTACAGAAAATAAGAACCATTAGGCTGGAGTCCGGAATGAGGTTGACCCGGTTATGATACTATATTAAGTCAACTGAATTCGCAAGAAAATCCTAATATTTCATGTACATGTATTTGTGTAGCTTTTTTCTTACACTTTTTAAAGGGTAAATTTTATTCAGGCACGATAGAATTTTCAAATACAAATGAAATATATGGGTAACTTTTGTTCGTCACAGTCCTATAATTATAGCTTTGATAAATTAGCATCCTTTCATTAATTTTTGTGTCCGAGATAATTAGGCAATGATTTTTGTTTTCAGATATATAGAACCATAATAAACTTTGCAAAATGGCATCGTATCTGCCTTCAACAACTCTCTTTTATGTAAACTTTAAGAGGACGTGATTTTTTTTTTCCATTCCGAAAATATATCTTTTTCTAATATAGTATCGTCAACAGATACTAGAAATTCAAATGATGAAAAGACACGCAAAATTTCAATAAACTGTATAAGTATTATTGTATAAAAATTCCACAATACGTCTCAAATAAAACATTGAAAGGCCGAGGTTTTCCTCAGGTAAGTTTGGTGTGGGGTGGAGCTTAATTGAAACGGCTGTGAAGCCCCGAGGGAACCAAGCTGGCTTGTGTATACTTACCTATATACACAGGATGTTACCTGTATATTACCTGTAAATGTTTTCCTAAGACATAGTTTAACTTCGCGTGTTGGTCAATCGAAATGTTGATCGTCAAATTTATGAAATAAAACATGCTAAATTTTTTATGTAGACTGATTCCTTTAGTTCAATTCTTTTTTTAAAATATGTTTGAATAAAGGAGACAATTTTAGTTTAATTTTTGCGTTAATAAACTTCATGCAGTTCTGCAACAAGGAATACGCAGTCCTCGAATCATGTTAAAGGCAGAGATTTTTTACCCGGTGGTAAATTCCAGGCGAGGGAGGGGCGTATTTTGTACAGGTGTGAATGCCTCGAGGACTAGCAGTCGACCGGTGGTCGTTTGTCTCCTAATTCCTATACATAGGAAGTGATTTAATACACAGTACAGTACCCAAGAAGTCAATCTTTACCTGTGTTGGGATTTTGAGATGATTTTGAATTAGAAATAAAAAATTAAATTGTAAATAAAGTTTAATCTCAATAATTTTTATTAATTTTAATTGAATGTGTGTCAAAGCATACCCACCCATGAAAAATAATTATTCAAAGTATTTGACTGTTGAGCTCTGACAAAAAATTATACCAAATTTTGATATATATTATCATATTAAAGAATATCATAATTATTTCAAATACTAAAAGCGTGTGTATATATATCATCAAGCTAAAATTCCATAGTAATCGTGGCAATACATCGTCTCTATTGTTTATACCATGTGTAGTAAACATCAAAGGATCAAAAGTTAATTTGAAAGTCACCACGAGTGCCAAACAAGGTGTACAGGGTATACACAGGGACTAGTAAGTAAATGTCAATCAAGTTCTAGCACCCAGTGATGTATCTTAATGCACTTGATTGACAGGGGTACACAGACCAGGTATTTTTGAAGGCGGTGCTTAAAATCTCTGCCTTTAACTGAATTTTCGGAAATGGAGAAATTTGGGGATCGACGCTTTGCAAGCATGGAGTATCTCGTAATTAGGGAATACCAAATTGGGAACATCTCGTAATAAGCGTTTGTCACACATCCAACAGCGAAGAAACCGCCGAGAGTGTGTTGATTTAACAATAATTATTTTATTTCCTTAGATGGTAAGGTGTAATGTGAAACCATTATCCATAAATATTTTCCCCCAGATTATTTTTTACTTTTAATAAATTTTATTGAATTTTTACATTTCCACAACGTAAAAAAAAAAGGCCGTGTGTACGAACTGACTTTTTGCATTTGTTTCATGTTCAGCAAACTTTATGTACGAATTGACTTCTGTGGTTTGCATACGAATTGATTCCTTATATACGAATCAGTTTTTGTACGAATTAACATTAAGTCGGCGTAATTTAATGAATATTCAAGAGGCGAGAAATATTATAACGACAAATATCAGGAATTAAACTTTGCGCCCATCAACAAAATGTCATTGAAATAACTTGAGAACCATGTACATTTTATTTTCGAACATCTAAACGACCCCCCTTTCATTATTTTGTCTCTGCAAAAATCGCCGCTAGGGTCCCCGTCATTTTACACAGTTGTTTATTCATCGCCCAGACCTGCAGCAATAGCCTGTGGCTTTAAATAGCCACCGTCTAAAAATTGTTCTAGTTTCTTCGTTTTGTTTTACCCAGCAGTTATAACCACCGACAGATCTTTTTCGTGCCTGCAATGACTTTCACATGGGACCTCCTTTTATTCAGGACTGGTATCTAAAGTCTGCAGTGGAATTTGAATGATAAAACAAAAAAAAAATTCATTTTACAGAAAAGGTCCATTTCAGTGGGGAGACAGTCATTCTTCCTAAAAACCATTTCGCTGAAGGGGGGGGGGGGGGGTAAAAATTTTCATTGTGCAAAATATAAAACAGACACAAGAAGTAGTTTCTATTTCATCATTTATTCCCAATAATGCTGACTAGATAATTTTTGAAGGATTTCTCTTTGATTCAATTCAAATTTTTGTGCAAGAAACAAAGTGGTAACTCAATACTAGAAAATTAATCATTAAAAAAATCATAAAAGAACAGCACTTAATCAGAAAACAATGATGAAAATTAAGTAGTCAGTTACTCCATTAAAGGCATTAAGGCAAGCATATAAAAGTATACAAATAACAAAAACTGTCATTACATATTCATAAATATATATGGTATTCTTATAATGAAATAAGGAAGTTTGATATTTGGTATTGATTTGGCAGTGGTCGAAATGAAACATGCAGTTTTTACAGAACACTATTGGTTACATAAACACTAGTAAATACATTTACTAAGTACAACCAACAACACGAAACATAAAAGCTACATATCAGTCCATCTCTGGTCCATTTCTAGCTAAATTAAATCAGGTATTTCTGTATGATCTACAGCTCTTACGAATTATGACAATTGTTTCAATTTTTTTTAATCTCTTGATTTGATCAAGAAATATGACATACTGTTCAGTGTTTTACAATCCATGTAAAATAAGTCTATGAAAAACATATTACAAATGTGTGGAAATAGAAAATGGAAGCCCCTTTTGAAATGTAATTGGGCAATTTTTACATATTAATACTGGTGCAATAACCTTAAACATAATTGGTCCCTTCTGAAGGGAAAATGAGGGATAAAGACATTAAGAAGGAGATTCAAGAATAAACGAAAAAAAAAATTGCTTCTAGGTGGAGAAAATTTTAATCCATGTTAAACTGCACAGCACTGTGGATGATTAAGGCATGTAGTATGAGTTTCACTTCTTTCCCTTCTTTCCAAGTGTTGACATCTGAGCCTGATGCTGAGCTTTACGCTGCTGAAATGCTGCCATTTCATTCTCATACCGTGCCTTGTTGTCCTCAATTTTCTTTTTCTCATCAGCATGTTTCTTCTTCAGAGCATCAAATCTGTCATGTAACTGCAAAATATAAAATTAATATAATTAAATCCCCTCAAAATTAATAATTCTATGTTACATTCCTAGCTCTAAAAATTAATTTCTGATTTTGTTTGAAAGAATTTATAAAATAGCAACAGTTTTGCTGTGGTTTGAGTTTTCTCCTTTCACTTTCTTTTGTTTAATATACAAAACTGTTATACAGACCTCTTTCTCTGTTTCTTTAAGTTGAGCTTCCTTCTCTTTGACTCGTATGACAAATGTTTGTCTCATTTCATCCTCCTTTCTCTGTAAATCTGCCAAGTGCTGCTGTCTCTTCAACTCATATGTCTCCGATAAACTAAAAAAGTACATTACTCATTGAAAATAAACTCCTTTACATGGTAGATGTGTACAAATATCCCCCAAAACAGTAAAGTATAGCATAATAAGTTTGATTTTCTATAATGTTATTATTATAGGTATTACGTATTTTTTATATTTACTGAAAATTTCGGTAAAATTGATAGGTATGCGAACTCCTGTGGCTTTATAAAGAACCAATTTATCTCTCTATACTTTAATACAAAATTTTCATATACTAAAACCTTTTGGATTCGTTTTCTGAGAATCCCATTTCCTGCAGTTTGTTCTTGCGGAAGAGTTCGTAGTGTTTGCTGTGTGTGGTTTCTCTCATGTCCTCCATGTTAGTTCTAATCAACATCTCCCTCAGCTTCACAAAGTCACAGTGGTTTTCATTCTCAACTGAAAATTAAATCGGTTCATTCACTTTGACAGATGAACATCTAATTATACAAATTGCCTTCATATTCCCCATAAACAATTTTAGAAATATCCAAATGAAATAATATCCAATGAGACAAACTGAAAGATTTTGCAGATTGATACAACCCAGACAAGAGGTCCCTGGTAAAATTTTGATCCCCTATTGTGGCTCAACTCTAAACCCTGGTGGGGGAGGGGGGGGGGGGCATTATTTGAACAAACTTGTATCTGAACTACCTAAGGATAAATGCACTTTAATATTACCGATCTTAATCCTGCTGTTCTTGAGAAGCATTTAATTAAAGATTTTTTGGCCAAACTTGAATATTCTCTAACTGAGGATGCTTCCATATTAATATGGCTTTGCTGTTCTTAAGAGCAAGAAATATGAAAATGTTCTTCCTATATATATTCATATGTAAAACTTTGATCCTCAATTGTGACCCCATCCTACCCCTGGCGTCCATGATTTGAACAAATTTGAATCTACACCACGTCAAGGAAGCTACCAAGTAAGTTTCATCTTTTTCTACCAAATAAGTTTCATCTTTTTTAGCCCAGTAGTTCTTGAGAAGATTTTTAAATGATAACACTCAGTTTTTCACAATTTCTTAAAATTATATTAACTTTTAAAAGGACATCCTTCATTTGAACAAACTTGAATCCCCTTCACCCAGGGATGTTTCTCGCCAAATTTGGTTGAAAGTCAGATGGTTCTGTTGAAAATGTGAAAAGTTTACAAAGACACAACAACACAACAGTCAAATTTTGATCAGAAAAGCTCATTTTAACCTTTGGCTCAGGTAGCTTAAATGTGAGTATTTTAAGTTTCAATTGATACTTTGAAAATTTAAACCATCAAGTAATATAAAGTCAATCTTGAAAAAGTCAACCTTATGGAACTAGTCTCTAACACAAATTTGTGAAAAAACATGATAAAGTTGAATAACTCTGATTAAGCAAAAGAAGAATTATTACATAAAACCCTGAAAATGAAAACACATATAGAATATCTGCTTGAACCAGGTATTTGAATACCCTGGATTTTGTTTTCCACTAGTTAAATGAGAAATTACCTTGAACTGTTCCCCATGGATACTGCCTGGCTTTGACCATCTTATTACCTATTTTGACCTCATCACTGCTTCCGACCACAGCAAATGGAACATGACCCTAAAAAAACAAATAATTTTATACTTTCTGTGCTCTTCTATTTCAGAGTGTAAATATTTAACAAAGTAAGTTATGGAATAAAGACATCTTTCATCTCCTTACATTCATGACTTTGTTTGCCTCTGCCACTGTTTCATCATCTACAGGGAAGCTATATATCTGGACACCATTAGAACTCAGCTCATTCATGATCTGCACAAAAATTATCTTAATTACTCAACAATGTATATGCATTTCATAAGAAAAAGTATGATTTCCATGTGTATGCATGTATGTATACACAAGTATTTTTTTTTTTTTATAAAAAACAACTGATTTCTACAATATTCTTTATCAATTAATGACAGAATTTATTAATTCAATTCATTTTTAATTACTGTATCTGCATAAACCTAAGCCAAAGATTTTTTTTCTTTAATGTGTGCATTTCAAGGTCCACTTCTTTGTTTGGAGTTTCATTTAGTATCTAGATACTTCCATGTTTCTTTAATTCTTTTTTTTTTTTTGTGTACATTAAATAACCATGAAATGCCCAGTATATTGGAAACAAAGCAGTTAAAAAAATTAAATTGGAACAGAACAAATACTGTTTATTTCCTTCTTATTCTTCATAAATCACACAGATCTTTACAATTCTATGCAATTATCACGAGTTTCCTGTGACCTAAAATGTTTTTCATATTTATTATCAGAAAACTTGCCTTTGCCTTAAATTTCTGCAACTCAGCCTTTGTGATAGTATCAGCCTTAGCTATGGTTGGGATAATGTTAACTTTGTTGTCAAGTTTCTTCATGGTGACAAGATCCAAGGCCTTCAATCTGTCATAACAATTAAAACACTGCTTAATTTAAAAAATATATCTGTCCAAGTTGTTAAATAATTTACTCTACATGTATATCACTGAAATGACAGTTCTGAACTTACAAAATGAATTCTGCAACAAAACAATCATTAAATTTTCACCAAACTGTCATTAGTCAATCATATAAGACAACTTTATACAAAATTATAAGATTTAATTATTAAAAATCAGGCGACAAAAAAAATGTGTACAAAATACAAGAAGGGTTTGAACCTCTCACTTACGAGTGTCCAGTGGGAGCCACAAAGTACAGACAGGCATGGATCCTAGTGTCATGATAGTTATGAAGGGATCTCTTTATTTTCAACTCTTCACTCAGGAAGTTATCAAACTGGGCATCAATATAGTCTACAATGGGCTTCCAACTGCAAATTTAACATAAGGTTCTATGAAGTTTTGAATACTGATTTTTACTAAATGAGAACATTTCTGTCCCGTTTCCATTTGATAAACTGACCTGTCTTCTTTGTTAATTTGGTCCCCAAACCCCACACTATCAACAACTGTCAACTTTAACCTGACGTTGCTCTCTTGTAATTCTGAAATTATAGGATGTTAATAACTATTCCAAATTTTTGTTTTCATGAATCAAGTGTAACTTATTCACGACTTCAAAGACATCAACTTAGACCAATTAAATCTATAATTATATTCAAGCTTTGAAATTCAAATTCCAAGTTGGAATTTCCAACACAATGAAGAATTTGTTCTGCTGGACAAATTGAGATTACAATGGGGCTTACCATAGGTGCTGGCCTTTAGTTTGACCCCTGGGAGGTCATGAGTGCTTGGAGTTGAGTCAAAGTGAGTGTTAAAGAGAGTATCCATTAAAGTAGACTTTCCAATGCCTGTCTCACCTTAATATAATAAATATATACATATAGCGATTATAATACATGCCTTTGATTCATTCAGTTTATTGTAACCCCCCCCCCCCTCCCCTTTTTTTTGGCACAAATCATATTATAGTGATTTCTTTTGTAGTAACTTTCCTGGAGTCAGGTACATCAAGCTTATACATGAAAATTCCATTTGCACTAAATAATGACAACAACTAGGTATATGTGTTCCACATACTCTATCCACTAAGGTTGTTTTTCCAAAGTAACATTCATTTAGTATGTTAATTTACCATATTTTTCCCCCCAAAAAATTATCATAAAAATTATTAAGTATTTGATAAAACTACTACATTTTTTTTTACCCAAATTATAATATTAATTATACTTGAGAATTATATTGTATGACACTCACCAAGACAGAGGATGTTGAAACAGAAGCCCTGAGCCACCGATTTGTTGACCAGTTGGTCAGGTAGACTGTCAAAGCCCACATGGCCATTTAGATTTAAATTTCTCACCGTATTCTGGTGGGGTGGTTTAGCAGGCTGTGAAAATATACAAATGTTTCTGATGTACAAAAATTGTATCCATGATTAACACAGCTAGGAAACAACTAAATATTTCCATCTTACAAAAACTCTACAAAACATATATTAAGTTATATCGAATAGTTACAAGCTCCTATGGACATGATGATTAAAAACATTCAAAAATAATTGCACTTGGCACAGCAGTTCACTGTCCCAGGACAAAAGTTCCCATTCATAACATTAACATCTTTATGATCACATACCACTGAGCAGGTTAGAGGAGCCAGATTTGACACAATGTGACAGGTGGATGAAAACTTACACCTTAGAGTCTGAACAGACATATTGTCTTACGGGACTCGATATAACACTGACTACATACCTCAATACCTCCAATCCCTGGCTTAGTTTGTTTATAAAGAAAGTCTCAATCTGCAAAGACTTATTGCTGCATGACTCAACCCCAGGAAGGCTTTAATGATAATAACCTGGTTATTAACCATCAGAGGTTTACATACCATGTGTAGAACTATATACAACATGCCTACAATGTTCATATATACTGGAACCAGCTGGGAAAGTTAGTAATGCTTAACAAACAATCTCTAAACAAATACAACCTGATCTGTAAAATAATAATCAAAATGTGGACAACAGAGAACATATGTGTAAAACTATTAGTAAAAAAACCCAAGAACAATTATTAACTCAGTACATTTAAATGTGCAAAAAAAAAAAAGTATATGCCCTCATCTCCCAACTGAACAAGTGCTAGGATAACCTAGAAACTGAACTTGAACAAGTGCTGAGATAACCTAGAAAGAATTCACCTCTGTGAAGTCTGGATACAGACTGGTTGTGGATATAATTGGAAGCTTGCTCCATTTCTCAGATTTCATTTTCTATTTTGTCAAACGAATATGCATTAAACACCAAGCTAGTCATTATCAATATTTACAAACTTTTAACATCAGTATTCTATATACCATGGATATCTCATCAAAAGCAAACCTACAGTATGCCTATTTGCTGAAAAAGCATAAACTTCACTGCTCCAATTTGTGTGCATTACATGTATATAGAACATGACTCATCAAAACAGTCAACATGCTCTTACTCAACATTTTAAAATTAACATAAAACATTTGCATACTTTGAATGATTCCTGTAAATAAGAGTGATACAAAAGTCCATTACAATTAATGGTATTTATATGTATATCATGTATATGTCAGTTTATCAGGAAAGGTTTTTATAAGGCAGATAGACCTAGGTCAACACTTAAATAGCTGACAGCTAGTACATGACAGGTAGCATTGCTACCAAGATAATAATCAACACAGATTCTGAGCTTGACAGGCAAATAGCATCAAAGGTAGCATATACTGAAACAAAGAATGTTTTAGCATGCAGATAGGGCATGTATTTCATTTTCATCTTAGGAACTATGAAAGGAATAAATAGCATGTACTATTGTGACATACATGTATAAACAAAATCTCATTTACATTTTGTACATAACAGGCTCAACTTTCATCTCAAAACTCTTTCATACTGATTACTCTGTAATAAATATCATGACATTTTATTAGAATGAATTTAAAAAGCACCTCACCATATTTAAATGAGCACGCATTAGACGTTAGAGTCCCAACAATGGCCAGAATATCATTGTATACTTATGTCCTGATGCAGTTTATTGTTAATTACATATACTTGTTATTGGCTATAAATTCTTCAACAGAGACTTAGATCTTTGTTATTCTTTTATGCATGTTTTAATGTCCAATACAAAACCCTTTTAACAAATGTGACATCATTAACTGAACCAAAGCCTTAGTTTTCTTCCCCAGACATAGTAATTTAGCAACCAACATGTTGCATTTGACATTGTTAATTGAATTCAAGCCTGAGATTTCCTTTCAAGAATGAAGACTCTGGCAACATGCACAGAATTAAAGGAGCATTATTTTAGGATACAGAAACAGACAGAGCTAGGATGGCGAGACTTTATGTAGGAATACCTGTTCCAAAATAATTTCCGACTGGTCAATAGACAGGTCAAGATTTTCTTGTGACAGATCAGCTGACTGATCTAATGATGTGTCTCCTTCAGACGATTGTTCAATCTTTACAAGAAACATATAACATATCTATCAGTACATGTAATACATGTATTTCTTCAAATAAATCGAACACTTAACTGGTGGAATATGAAGCATGTTTTTTTTTTTGTTTAAAATTCTTACGTCACATCACGTACACCTCATGATGTAGCTCATGAATTCTAATCAGAGGAAAGATTATCTGGTAAATTTTATTCTAAAACTTGTGGCAGGAAAACACAGAATACACCGTTAAATTGTATTGTGTTTGATACAAGTATGCCTCAAAAATTGTACTTTCGATTCCCTACGAGTAGTCAAATTTTTTATCAAATCATTAGATATGAATATCATGAATATAGCTACTACATTTACAGGTTCTTATGGATACAAATTACTAAAAAAAAAATTGAGAATGACTAAGATGGAACCAGAAAAGTCTGACAATTTCAAACAGAGAAAATATTTTAACTCTAAATCATAGCATATTTCAAACATTCATATCTACTGGTAATTTGGAATGTATCTTTTAGTAAAATGGTGGCTAGATGAGCAAGTTTTCTCCCTTGGTCTCTATTCACAATGACTTGTATTAGAAATGGAAGGAAGGGGTCAGACTGAGAGAAATTAACTGTCAACATATCAATAAAGAAAATTTCCAAAATAACTACACAGAATTCCTGAAGTATAATGTTAAAAAGACAGTTGAACATTTATCATAGACAAATTATTAATTCAATTACTATATTACAAAGAATTTAGTCAAGATTCTTAATATATGGGTGTAAAATTGTTAAACTCTCAGACTTGATAAATAGAAACAGGAAGAAGTTGTAAGTTTATGTCAATACCAATTGTACTAGATAAAATGCTCTATCACTAAAATGATAAATGTCCTATGGAGTTTTACAATAGAATGCATTCCGTTCTATCTCAATGTAGTAAAATAAATGGGGGATAACTCAAATAATGTATACACTAGGAACAATCCATAGAGTTCCGAATGTCAACATGGTGTAAAAATTCAAAGTGAGAAAAAAACGTTGATAAAATGTATTGTTTTCTGAAAAATATTTGGACTATTTTTTAGCGTAGATGACAACCAAGCTCAAAAGGTTTGTTATGATTAATTTGTTGATTATTCTCAATACAGCTTCAATTATTTTCTCCAAAATCCCTTCTGAGCAATTCTGCAATATTCTGCTTCATTTTAGGTACATGGGAGATATTCTAACTGTGGTGAGGGCCTGTCCTGAGACCCAGATAGCAAGCCCCTGTGTATCAACCCTTTACCTGTTTACTAAATTTAAGCCTTGAATTTATTTCTCTGATACATTCAAATCCAAATATTTCAGACTTGAATCAAAAGTACCCTAATTAAAGCGTATGATTATCTAAAAACTCTGATAAACCTTTCTTTCAAGGCTCAAAATCAACGTAGAGATAACTGCGAGAAGCCAAAAATGGGTGTTTCCGCCTTTGTGTGCAAATTTGGAATCCAGTGTTTAAAAACGATAGGTTGCAAATCAATATGAAAGCGATAGATACAAACTTAAAAACATAATTTTTCTCACTGATTATGCCCATAAGAACATGATCAACAATGTACCTACCCTCTGAACGTCAGGAGTTGACATTTTTTTTAGCAAACTTGACAGATTCTTCGGATTCCGTTCTTCCCTTTAAAAACCGGAAGTTAAACAGGGCTTATTTTTTATTTTATTTTTTTATTAAAAAAGGATAAAAGCATTGATATTATAAAAATCAAAATATAAAAAAAACTATAAAAACATTTCTTACGTATATTTACGCGAATTTGTTTATTTGGACACTAACATCACAAGACATTCTGATAAAAACGGAAAATGCTCGAATTTTTTAGAGTTATCTTTCCCTATCACTTTTGCAAATAAAAAGGATTTTGAACACATGAAAAAATATAATACTAAATAAATAAATAGATAAATAAATAAATAAATATAAAATAGAAACAGATAGATAAATAAATATAAAATCGAAACAGGTTCTTACAACAACTTTTTCTCCTTTAATACGGTTACAACTGTCACGAGAGTATGAAAACAATGTAAGCTATGTTATCATACGAAAGGGAAGTCTTGATCTTGTGCATTTTAAGAAAATTTAAACTGAGTTACAAACATCTTATTTGAATCTATTGATTGAATTTACTAATTGTAAAAAATGATATCATATAAGAGAATGTCACTACCCCAACGTAAAAGGCGTTTATCAATGATAAGCAAATCATTTGATGTATCTACATAAGATGTTATTCCTCTTTAAAATTCTTTTGAACTGTTGAAAGAAGGTTTGTCCCATCTTCATAAACCACAGACCTGAAGATTTAAGTGTAATAACCCCATTAGGAGAAATATTGCAGTGAGACAGGACTACTTAAAACTACAAGAGGCCCATGGGCCACAACGGTCACCTGTGTAACTTTGGCCTAACTGCTGTTCTTCACCAGATTTCCCCCCTTGTAATACTTATTGTGGCCCCAACCTACCCCTAGGGGTTATGATTTGAACAATTTAGAATTTACACTATCCCAAGAAGTTTCCACATAAGTTTCAGCTTTTCTTGCCAGTCATTCTTGAGAAGAAGGTTTTTTCATTATATTTCAATCTAAAACTTTGATACCTTGTTGTGGCCCCATCCTACCCGCAGGGGTCACGATTTTGAAAAATATAGAATCTACACTACCGGGGGATACTTCCAAACAAGTTTCAGGTTTTCTGCGCCAGTGGTTCTTGAGAAGAAGATTTTTAAAGATTTTTCCATTATATTTCATAGTAAAACTTCCCCATTGTGGCCCCACCTACCCCCGGGGGTCATGATTTGAACAATTTAGAATCTACACTACCAAATGATGCTTCCAAACAAGTTTCAGCTTTTCTGGCCCATGCAGTGGTTCATGAGAAGAAGTTGAAATTTTGAAAAGTTTACAGACGGACGGACGGACAGACAGAGGACAACAGGTGATCAGAAAAGCTGACTTGAGCTTTCAGCTCAGGTGAGCTAAGAATGAAGAAATAAGTCTTGGACAGTTTCACAATATTTGTGTATTGTTCAGTTTTGAATTTAATAAATGGTTGTCGACATGTAAATATAGTCTTAAAATACCATGAGTATATCAAAAACTTTTCACCCTGGCATATTTTCCTAAAACACAATATAGCTCCTTACTGAAATATACAGTATAAAAATCACGAGGATATGACCTAAATACTTTTCATCCTAGCCGGCATATTCTCCTATATAGACTATTCAGGAAAGCGTCTTAATGAATTATACCTGGATGGAAAGTATCAGGTCATACCTTCAAAAATATAAAATTGAAAAACATTAAGGAAAAAAAAAAAAAACAAAAAAAAAAAAACTATGAACATGTGAAAAAAGTATTATCAGTTGAGCTAAAAAAAAAAAAATGGTGTGTTGTTTTTAATTTTTGCCATATTCAATTGAATTTCTTTTTTAAAATGTATAAATTCGTAATTGAGAAAATTATATTGTATGTACGTGAAAATTTTGAGCTTATGTATATAATTTTCAATATACGGTACGTGGCATTTACTGTTTGCCATTGTTCAAGGAATATAATATTATACATTTATTGCATGATAGTGAGGGAAATATGAAGATTTATTCAGCCAAGAAATATCATATTCCCCGAGGGCTTCGCCCGAGGGGAATATGATATTTCTTGGCTGAATAAATCTTCATATTTCCCAAACATTCATGCAATGAATTGTTTATTATACCGAAACAAGCAAAAACTTTGAAATAAACATAAACTTTCAAATTCGGCACCGCTCTCAAATTCACTTTCATTTTTAACGTAAAGTTACTGAAACCTTTTGACACATCACTAATCATCAGTTTTGTGACGTAAACCAGGCTATTGTGACGTCTACTACTCTCGGGAGTTTTCTTTCAACGAACGATAACTATTGCGGGAAAATGCACTAGGCATCCGAAGAGGGGGAATATGATGAAAAGCATGCCGACGATCGTGAAATATGAAGTTTTATGGCCCGATCACGTGATAATCTAGAACCAATCAGATAACGCGTTGTGTAGAATAATTATAATGAGGTATAATAATATATGATATGATACAACAGCACATATATTTTGCAACTTATATGATATGATATGATATGATATGATATGATATGATATGATATGATATGATATGATATGATATGATATGATATGATATGATATGATATGATACAGCAACACAGATATTTTGCAAATTATTCCTTAGCAAAATTTCTGAAAAATCTTCAAAGAAATAGGATTCATGGGTTTAATAAAAATCCAAAAAAATCCGAAGAATTGTTTTAGTCCGCATCCGTCAATAGGAAGTTGTTCCGGCATCTCTGCCGAAAGTGGAGGATCTGACGCACCAACATAGGTTTCACATTGGAGTGGTACATGACAGTTAAGTAATTTAAGTTGAGCACGGAAAAGAAATCAAAAAGAGAGGTTTCTGCATTGGATAAAGTGCAGTTATGTCGCTGAATGCGACCGCCGAGGAAAAAAATGGCACGTCCACAGGGTCAACAGATGACATTCTGAAATCAACGGGGAATGACGAGCTTAAATTTGGCCTGTTGATCAGTTTGTTGAAGGTGGATCAAGTTCCCAATAAAGATGTTGTGGACACAGTATTGCATTTGGTAAGTGTGGCTCTGAGGGAGAAAGAGTGGGCGTGGCATTGTACCTGCAGAGTCGACAGGCTTCATTTACATGTTTCACGCCTAAAATGTTATAATTGCTTTAATAGCGAGCGCAGCGAGCGGCGCGAAGCGCCGCTCGTCACTGCGAGCTCTAACGACAACGCCTGGGCGAAGAGAAAATTCGGACTACTGCACATTCATTCAATAGAATTTTTTTCCGCAGTAATTCTGACCCACAATGCATCGCTTCTTGTTCTCGCTGCTAACTTCGTTCACGCGGTGACAACAACTAAAATTTCACAAAAAATAAACTCACCTTAATTAATGGCTATTGCATGCAGATAGTAGATTAATTAAACGTTCTTTGTTAAAATATTTGCACTTTTTAAACTTTGTTTATGGAAATGCAGCTAACATACGACGTCATGTGACGTCACAGTCTAGACGTTCCAAATGTCTCGTGCGGTTTGAAGAGGCGGATCTTAAAATGAAGTGAACAATGCGCTCGCCCCAACGGTCGCACCGTCAACATATTATTAATTTTTAACCAACTTTTTAGTAGAAAACTATGTTTTCTGAAATATGTTTCTGTAATATACCATTTTAAGATGCTGCTATAAAAATTTTTGCAAAGACATGTTACTAATGAACCATAATCATGATAATCTTTTTTTGACAAGTATAATGAAAGTAAACATGGTAAAGCAAAGAATCAGCCTTTTGAAATATGAACTGTGCTTAAAAATATCATATACTATGGAATCTTCATTGTTCATGGGGGACAAATGTTCATGGATTTCATGGGTCACCCTAAAACCCATGAATTTACATCCCCATAAACGTTTATTTGGAAACATATTGATTCCTTGAATCTACCATATTTAAATGAGTAACCGGTGAAATTATGTCCCCATGAGCAAGAAAGATCTTGCTTGCCCACGAAAATTGACCTCCACAAATTAAATGATTCCACAGTAGTATAATATAGTTATTACTGACTGATAAATGGCAAATTGAATTAAAATTTCAAAAATTGAAATTGAAGCATTATTGTGCAAGTAAATGCTGAGAAATGCTACCCTATAGCAATGTTGTCTTTTATACTAAGGATTAAAACATTGGATCCAATTCCAAAAAAAAAAATTCTGTACTTGATTTTACTGTATTGTGTTTCCAGAGAGCTACTTCTATATTAAAACAATATTTTAATATTTGAATTCCTATATTCTGTTCAATTGTGATCATTGTGATGGAAATATTAATTTAATTTTGAATTCTAAGACTTATGAAATATCTTTCAGTATACAATGTAAGATATTACTCTAAGTATGAACAAAATATCAATGCTTGCATGCAATATAAGAAACAGAGTATAGCGTGAAAGCTGGTCATGTCCCCATGTCTGCAAGGGAATTAACTGCATCCTGTTTCTTGGTTAAAATAGAATAGAATGGTAGATATATTTAATTAGAGCCATATAGATCAATACACACAATATTGATCTTTGTAAGGTATTCCAGAGTTTACTGCTGCACTCAAGTTTGAACAAGTGCTGACCCAGATTGTTGTATCAAATTTCCTATGAAACCATTTCATGTACCAGTGTATTACACAGTGCTAAAATTTACATTTGCCAGTGTTAATCTGGGGATATACCTTCATAATAAAATCACATCTTTCACCTTTGAACTATTTCTTCTTCTCCAAGAGGCATGGGTAAAGTTTTAATTAAATCAGTCAATTAGAATGGAGATGGGAGACAAAAGTAGGGAGAGGAAGTAACAGGACAGATTTATGTAACATTAATATATCGTACGTTTGATTCAGGCTTTTAAAGAATTATCCAAGCTCTCAAGTCTAAAAACCAAAATACATTTATAAATGCTTTACAAAATAACATAAAATTCTTGAAAGTTCCGTAGTTGTTTTATGACTATTATGATTAAACGATGTAAGAAAATAAGCTTAAACTAAACAGACATATGCAACATTTGATGCCAATTTTCAATATTTACATTTGCAAATTAACACTGTTTGAGCAATGCATATTTAAAATTGTAATGTGTATACAAGCAGGTTTGTCACATTACCACAAATTCATTTTTAAAGTCGTAAAGTTTTAACATAATGTCACAGGGACATCATAAGTGGTTGACATGTTTAACACATTCAGTTTATACCATTGAGGTTTGAAAAAATAAATCATGTCATGGGTTTAAATCCATAATAATCAAATATTTGTTATAAATCAGTCACAGATTTAAATATATTAAGTAATAAGGTATCATTATTAAATATTTATCAGGATATAAATACTGGTTGGTACAGGATCAAATCTACAATAAAACCCTTTTGGCTTTATGGGATTTGACCATGTGACCAACTCGTATTTATAACCTAATAAATGGTTAAAAAAGATTCCTTATTTCTTAAGTAAGTCATTGGCATAAATCTTCAAGGTAAGTAACTGTAAAGAGAAAGAGATTGCTAGCAAGGTTCACTCATATCTTTAAAAGAACATAGGGAATGGTTAGTAGCGTATAACCTTGTCATAGGGAATGGTTAGTAGAGAATGGCATTATCAAAGGGAATGGTTAGTATACAGTTAAAGTATATCATTGAGGGAGTTAGCAAGATTCCAGTTCCCCAAGGCCAGGACTATTTCCTGAGGTGAAGCCGAGGGAAATAGTCCTGGGCGAGGGGAACTGGAATCTCGATAACTCCCGCAATGATATACTTTTAACTGTTTTATTATACCGATACAAACATAAAATTTAGAGGATTCAGATAGCATGATTTCAAAGCAGGGATTAGCTCAATGAACTAACACACAGGGATTAGTCCATTCACATATCATACCAATGTAAATGTAAAATCTAGAGGATTAAGGATAACCAGAAATTAGTTTTCAAAGCAGGGATTAGCTCACTTGACTATCCATTCATGATGATTTCTAGGGAATTAGTCACAACTAACAATCTAATGTTATATAGGGAAAAAATCAGTGGAGGTATAATAATAGAGTATAACCTTGTCATAGGGAATGGTTAGTAGAATATAACCTTGTCATAGGGAATGGTTAGTAGAGTATAACACTGTCATAGGGAATGGTTAGTAAAGTATAACCTTGTCATAGGGAACACTTAGTAGAGTTTAACCTTGTCATAGGGAATGGTTTGTAGAGTATAACACTGTCATAGGCAATGGACAGTAGAGTATAACATTGTCAAAGGGAATGGTTTGTAGAGTAGAAACTTGTCAACCTCTTGGGGCAGACAGATTACCTCTTTGTATTTCTAAATAATTAAGGTATACCCTATTCATTTAATGTGTTTACATCAGGTTTTCACCATACATGTTTCTGCAGTAAGTATGGCTCTGACACTACTGTATGATCGTAGTGGTGTAACTTTGAATTCATTAGTCTATTTTGTTATTTGTAAAGATTGTCTGTCAAAAACTGGATTTTATTTGAAATTTGTTTTTAAAGCTGTATGCTTAACAAAGTCAAATACCGTACTGTTACTAGAATAAAGAAAAGTCTGCAACAGGTATGGGATTCAAGTACATGTATGTGAAATAAAATCATTTTCGCATTGAAATATTCTGACAATTTCAATGTTTTGATTTGTTTTTCAAACAACAAGAAAATCCAAACCTCTTGCTTTATCAAGGTGGTCTATTGACTGTCTATTTTGTAGTGATGGGGAAGACTTAGCTGCCAAAAAACAAGCTGCTACTGGGAATGTAAAAAAAAAAAGGTTTTATATTTATTGCATCTCATCAAAATGCCATGCTGTTCATATAATATTTTTTTATTGTATTTTTTTCAACTACAAGTCATGCTCAGTTAAACAGTATAAGCCAGTGAGTAATTTTATTGATGCTGCTATAAGCTATAACAGGCCATTAATAGTGTTTTGCAAATGAACAAAATAGCTGGGATGTCTTCAATCAGAGTAAATATGCATGGGGACAGGAAATGCTTCATTATATAGTAGAGCATCCCACAGAAAGTGCTTTGTCTTATTAAATGGGATAATGCACAGATATATATCTATGTTTACTCTATAAATATATGTTATTTAAGGTCATAGGATGCCAGGGTACCCCAAATCTGGAGAAAGTGGGTTTTTATCATAGCTTCTGTATTCTTTTGTTTTTACTATTCAAATTAATTTTATTTTTTGGGAATTTCAATTTTTCATGTTTTTGCACCGAATTTCAATATAGATATAAAAGTATACAGATTTTGGGAGAATGTGAAAATAAAGATGGTTTGATAAGAAAACCTCATGAAAAATAGAGTATGTGTTTTAGCAATAACAGAGCCTATACAAACTGTTTTTATAAGATTTTTTAGTATCCTATGTCCTTAAAAGTAGTTTATTTCTTATGCCCTGTTCACACGGAGAGTTTAATTCGCAGTAAATTAATGCAAAGTAAAATAATGCGAATTGAACTAATGCGAAATAAATTGCATTCATACGACAGCTAATGCAAAGTAAACTAATGCGAATTAAATTTTTATTTCTACAATAAGGCTATTCAGTAAGACTACTGTGACGTCATTTGCAAATCATGTCACATTGTGCCAAGCAGATGCATTTGACCACTGATTTGACATAATGTCATAGTGTCTGTACACATTTTAGTAATTACCATAATTTTCTGTTGTTTTCCACTCAAAAATAGCACAAGTACCTATATTTGACCACCGACATGTGGCCTGCGACTTAATTCTGCCCTTACACATGCATCAACATTTAATTTGAATTAGCTTCGCTTGGCGTTCACATGGAGCTAATGCGAAGTAATTTAATGTGCAATAAATTAATTCGAATTAAACTAATTCGCATTAAATTTTTCGTGTGAATGCGGTTCAAATTTAATTCGCAGTAACTTACATTTAATTCGAATTAAACTCTGTTTGAACAGGACATTACTAATACTTACATATAGTGAGTAAACAAGGAATTCAAAATATTCAATTACATCTTTTAGTACCAGTGAAAAAAGTAATCTGTTTTTTCTTGTTAGCTTTTCAGAGAAAACAGTTGACATAGTCTTTGATTGTTGTTTGAACTTCTAGATTAACACATACTGACCAATACTGACTTTTGACATACTGATAATACATGATATAGAGAGTTAGTGTAGATATCAGTCATAAAATGGTTATTACAGTGTACATGTTTTGTAAAGATACATGTATTTCAAATGACTTGTTTTAAGTTATGGTAATAAAGTTTCCATTTTCCCTTCAAACCCCCAAAGATCAAAAGATATGATCATAAGATGCACGCTCTTATAGCATACACAGAAATACACCGAGGAGTCATGTAGTGTACGTAAAGCATACACAGAAATACACTGAGGAGTCATTTAGTGTACGTAGGAGACAGTCGCGTACAGGCGAATTTAGAATTATACACCTTCCCAGGTAATAGATTCCATAGAGATTAAATGAACAGGTATATGCATCTGGCTCAGCATTCTGATGGATCATTGATCAGGGATTGACTTTATCACCTTGATTAATAAACCCCACACACAACAGTGTCAGCAACCTGCAGCAGGAAGGAAGGCATGATTTATTGCTGTCTGAGGAGCCATAATTACCTAGTTTAAGTAACCCCTGTCATTAGGGCCAGAGAAAGCACTGCATTTAATGCACCTTGAACTAATATAGAAATGTTTTTTTCTGTTTCTTTGGCCAAATATCTCTGTTTTTATACAGTGCAGTAATATTGAGGAAAGTTGTACATTATATTGACAGCAGGATGCCGTAGTCTCTGAAGACTGTTATCTGCCTAGGAATATCAGGGGGCTGGAGATGTTTAATGATTGATTAAGGGTCCTTCTTAGATGTATGCAATGTCCACTAAAAACTAGCTGTTCAATGAAACCTACAATCTCAGGGTACGCAAGCACAATTAAGGCAATGGGATGTCAATATTTGCAGCCCTCTCCCATAAATGTTTAACAAACTGCAAGTGATGATTCAAGATTGATCAACATTAATAACATTCATTTAGACAGTGATATGGACAGACTTTAAATCAATACTGGTTTTTCATTAATGTACCTTTCTGCCTGAAGACTATCTTTATGTGTCTAATGATGAAAATAACTCTACTGTCTTGGATTCTAGAAAAATTCCTCCTTTTTTTTTTTTAAAAGAATTGAAATGCATTTAAATTGCATACAAACCATGCTTATCAAATCAATGGATATTGCATGATAGTACTTTTCTATCATTTGATGTAGTATATTCCTAATATATTATTGATGCTTTGGTATTTGTGAAATCTTTCTGAATGACAACTATGTTTACACCATTCAATATCATCTTTGTTACATTCCTGAATGAGTCTGAAGTCTATAAATTTTCTGTAATAGAGTCCAGGGATTTGCAAATCAATATTTATACCTGTAGGTATTTGAACTCAGCCAAATAACCATTATTTGTGTAATGAACTCACTCGAGCGAGCTCGGTTTTACCTCTAGTGACTATTGACATTTTCTTTCAGTTTGTGGAATTACAGTTTTCTCATGCATATTTTAGACATTGACCAACAACAGTGAAAAACCTGTAATTATTTCATAATGTGAAATAAGCATGGATTGTCAAATTTAGGCCATTAAACTTGCTTCATCTTTACATGTGTACAATCATATTGTATTCACGATGCAGTAAAAGATGACTGATGCTAAGATTTATACCCAAAACTGTGCAGTTTTATAGGAACATTTGACATATTGCTTTTACAGGCACACTACTATAAATACAATAGGAAGTAAATTTAAATACATTGTATAATAGATTTGATGCTATTTAAGTATGCTATATTTATTGTAAGTAAAGTAGATTACTGGAATATTGATAACCAGGAAATGAACATGGGAATATAGTAATGTCTATATTTCTGGCTTATGTTTCCTGAATATTAATGAATGAATTGCCATTTTAGAGCAGTCGGAAGATGTAAAAAGATTGCAAATTACTACTCTACTGGGTCCTAGAAAACAGCTTTTGAAAATTAGTTTATAATTTGGTTAAAGAAAAGCCATCCCTGGGAGTTTTGTAATGCTAGTTAGGGAATAACTTGTAATGAGCTGTCTGTAGGAAGGTGTCTGTAGTATCATTCAGATATAAAAGCATCAGGCCTTACTTGGGTCCTCAGGAATTCATCCCTCTATAAAACCCACATTGAGCAAAGTCTTATACAGCTCTTGTGTAGAGCAGCTTCAATAAGAATGGAGTGAAATCCTTCACCATAAGCTGACAATTTCATCATGAATAAGCAGTGTCCTGTTGGTGGTTAATGGCTGATTGATTTAGAAATTAAACTGGAAGAAACTGAATTCTTCTCTCCATAATGAACAAAATTTAGACCAATTATATTGAATTATCCAAGTCTTTGGTAACAGTCATTGATTTGCAGCAAAATTACTTGGTCTTGAAGTTGAATTTTATTAAATTAAAGGAAATGAGGAGGAGAACAAATTAGAACAGTTTCCTCCGTCTTAGGACAAGTGTCCTTGATGAGACAGTTCCCCTTGATCAGAATAACAGCTTTCCTGCATACATATAGTTAATGTCTTATTTGGAATATTTTATTTTAGAAGTTTCTACATCAGAACATGTAAAAGAAAATTGTTGCTGAATTATTGCAAAATTGATCTTTTACCAATTGTGTACAGATGGATGAGTTTTATAGGTGATGTCTACATGAATTCAATAAAATGTTGTATGGATACAAATTTTCCCCAACTTAGATATTCGTTGATTGCTCCTTGACCTAAAAACAAAAATCAAATGTCTTTTTTTTTTTTATATTATTTTAATAAAAAAGAGATGATTAATGGACATACCTTTTTTTTTTATCATCCTCTTAATTTGTATATTAAGCACTCAATTTTTATTCATCTTTTATCTTGAATTGTAAATGACAAATATGAGTTCAAGTATTCAATCTAGTATGGTTCCAGTTGTATTATGAATTGTCTTTGATATCTCTTTTTTTTTTGTCAGTCCCTCTACATTCAAGATACCATGGTTTGAGTGTATTAAAATATTTTAACTAGTGAAGTAATAAGGTTGTAATAGCAGTGTTTATCTGAACTAATAAGATTTAAGTAATTTGAATGAATAAACTTAAACTGCATTGTGATTGTTTTTCAGCTGGTGGGAGGAGAGTTTGACATCGAGACAAACTTCATCATCCAGGAGCCTCAGAATATTCTTCACATGTTACGAGTCTTCTCCAGCTGTTCTGTAACGTTACAGGTACAGTGGTGTTAATTGCATGTATATCATAATGTACAGTTAGTATCGTCTCCTTGTTTTACCTTTGTATGGAAAACCTAGAGGGCACCATATCATCAGAATAGTGGCTTAAGGAACTTGTTTACATATTCTGCAGTTGTAGGCACTGATTATTTATTTACATTTCTAAACATGGAATTGTAGTGAAATGCATTGTGAGCCAGCAGGCATTTATATCTGAATTATTTTAAAGATCATTATTTATTTATCCTAGTAGCAACAGAAATATAATACCATTACACAGATGTCCCTGATCCAGAAAACAGGGAGGAAATGACTCAGATTTGTAGACGTACCAGATGTATTCACATGTACTTCTTAGTAAAACATGGAAATTTAAATCTTTTCATATAAAACCAACTTATTATAAACCCAACTTATTACCAAGAAAACCCTTAAAAGAAAACCATCATCGTAGCTTGGTAGATTACTCATTCTATGATTAGAAGGTCGTGGATTCGAGCTGGCCGGCAAACCTAAGTCCATATAATATAGGTAGTAACTGTTCCTTCACCAAGTGGTCGGTATCTTAAGTGAAAGCTACAGGTCATTTGGATGAAACTTTAAAAACTGAGTCCAGTATCATAGCAGCCTCTGGCATCTGTATAGCACCCTCACTGCTCAATGGCCCTGAGTGCTGAGTAAAGGTTTAAATTTTGAGCTCGTCACTGGCATGTGATGATGTCTCTATATGAGTGAAATAATCTTGTAAGGAATGTAAAACTGCAAACAATAGGTAAAGTTTTGAATACTTTAGTTCTGGAGCAAATGTTTTACTATAATATGATAATGTGATAGTTTTTTTAACCTTTACATACATGCATATTTTTGACAAGTACATATTTTGCAGGCTGAAATATGGAGTGTTTTTACTGCAATGTTAAAGAAGAGTCGGAGGAACTTACAGGCATGTACAGAGGTGGGGCTGATAGAACACGCACTCAATCTGATGAAGGATGTGGATGATGTTATAGCAGGTATGGGATAAATATAGGCTTCAGAAATTATCTGACACTTTATATATTCTTGATCATACATAGTGGTTAGTACACATTAAGTGAAATGAAACATACTGTAAAAGTGAATAGATGACATTGGTTTTAATTTCACAAAGTTCATGATCAAAGAATTTTCTGCAAGCCTTAAACTTTCAGAATACTGTTGACAAAGAATGAATGTAGCATTCATGTATTCATAAGATCAAATACTGGTGTGTGCTATGCACTTTAAAACCCTCTTTTCCTATTCTGTATGAATAAAATAGTAATTAAATACAAAGTTTAGTAACAATCCTCATTGAATATCATTAGGAAATATGAGGTCAGTGTCTTAGTTATAGTCACTGGATGTCTTTATTATAAATAATTTCTCATGAATTTCTTTGTTTTTAAAATTTGCAAAATTTAATTATGAGAAATCAATGACCCTGAAATTAAAACCACCAAGAAATATAGCAACATAGAAAATCATAAAATTTAAACAGGTGGAATCAAAAAACATTCACCATGTTCACAGTATTTATTTTCATTCAAAAGATGTTGCAATTTAGTTTCTCTGATACTTTGCAAAAGAAAGTTGTTGCAAAATTTCAATTTCTTGTTTATGTTTCTCCACCAAGTACCTCCTAGAATTTTACTGTTTTATCGATAGAATATAAGATGTCTGTTTGACCTTCACAGATCTGCTGGTGGACATGCTGTCTACACTGGCCAGTTACAGCATCACTGTCCGAGAACTGAAAATGTTGTTCTCCATCTTGGAGGCCTCAGAGGGGGAGTGGGTAAGTAGCTGGCTAAAAGAATTGCTGTTTGAGGCTCTTACTTGGTTTTGTTTTATATGTGTATATAGTTTATGTACAACTGTATATATATATATTTAATTTGTGATATCTTGGCTCATTTTGAGAAATTGAGAATCACCATTGGTAAGCATGTTTTTAACTTGGTGAGATGTTTCTGTTGTAATAGGATCTATTCTCTAAATATGCTATAAATATATTAGCAAATTATGTTTTGTTTGTGTGACAATTATCATCTTTTGGATAATATGCTTTTTACAAGCATTATTTATTTTATATATAGCAAAGACATGCAGTGAAGTTACTGTCTGTTTTACAAGTGATGCCTCAGAGGGAGGGTCCTGACGAGTTCTTTAGCTTCCCTGGGAAAAAGGGATCAGTATGTACTAACTTTATTTTGTCAGTTCTTATGTAGAAGAAGTGTGGTGAAGTTGTAATTTCCCAAAGGTGTGAGCTTACAGAAAGTTTATATTTTTTCATGAAAAAAGCAAAGAACATGAAACAAGAACAATACACCTTCAATCACTACCAGTAATTTCAATTATGGCGAAGCTGTTGAATTGAAAGTCATTTTAATTTTAGTTTATCGCCCTTCCTCCTATAAAAACCTGGCCTTACCAGAATGGATGGACATTTACATGCTGGTTACGACTAGACCCAGTTACGGGAGTCACGGTGGAGAGAGAAAAACCATACCTATACTGGTAAGTAGAGATCAGCTTTACAGAATTGTTGTGTATATTGATCAGAAAATTGTACTGAATATGCATTTTTCAAAGATTTTGTTTGATTTGGCTGCAAGAATATCATTTTAAGAAATGGGTATGTAGATTTTAAAATTTGGTTATTGATTGGCACTAATTATAAGCTATTCTGTTCATTCACAATTTAGTTCATTGTGTGAATATTGAAATAATACAGAATTATTTTTTACACTTTCTAGTTTTAAAACCAACAAAGGGGTTGGATATTCTGCACATTTTCTGGGAAATTCTCTGGTCATCACAACCATGAAAATCAAAGGCAAAGGTTTCCAGCACTGTGTCAAATATGACTTTCAGCCCAGGAAGGTAAATAAAATAAGATGTATTTGTATTCAGAAAGAAGGCAAAATACATTGAAATTCATTGCTCTTTTTAAATATGAAAATGCTGTTCACTCATGCTTTATATGCGATCCAGGCAATGTTTTTAAAGTACAAATACTCTTACACTGATATGGGCTATCTTGCGAATAGGTGTAATGGTTACACTAGAAATAAAAAGGTTACAGGATTGAATCAGTTAGTGGTTGGTCACATTATGTTCTAACACAGTCCTATTAACGTTTTTGGTCAGTGAAAAATTTGACTCACTAGAAACCAATTCATAACCTTATTTTATTAAGGAGTAACAAGCTGAATTTCCTATTTCAGTGGTACATGGTGACAGTGGTACATGTATACAACCGCTGGAGTAAATCAGAGCTGCGGTGTTATGTTAACGGAGAAATCGTGTCCAGCACAGACATCTCCTGGCTCGTCAGCACCAGTGATGTAAGAATCAACCAACCATGAAGCAGTTTCTCTGTAGCTAATGATAATGGGTTTAAATGTCTATTGACTGCATGTTTTATCCATATCTGTTACTGGTAAATAATGGAACACTGCTTGCATAAGAAAGGAATTTTGATAGAGATGTGTATGAGTTATTTAAGAAAATTCTGGCTGTTGAGTACTCTCTCTCCACAGAAAGATAAATAAAAGAAAATTGAGAATTTAGAGTTAAAATAAATACCACGGTATGTAATTTAGTGTTAATGACCAATAAGAGCGTAGTATTTCATTTAAGATGACATTCAGTACTTCCAGTACTTATATTTACATTTAAGATGACATTCAGTACTTTCAGTACTTATATTTACATTTCCATACAGCCATTTGACAAATGTGTTCTGGGTGCCAGTTCTGAGGGAGAGACAGATCATATGTTCTGTGGTCAGATGTCTACTGTTTATCTATTTAGTGAGGCCCTCACACCACAACAAATATCAGCCATATTTTATCTAGGACCAAGTTACAAGGTAATGTTTTAGCCATTAACAAGGTCAAATGTTTATGATTCATTGGTATCAATTGTAGTTTTTCATAGATTGCTAATTTGATCAAATGTGTCAATGTTGTATTCATGTGTATATGATACCTGTATTAAAAATACACTTTTTTAGAGCCAGTTTCGCTTTGAAAATGAAAGCGGTTTGGGAACTGTTGTGGTCAACAAAAGAGTAAGTTTGTTTTCATAATATTTTACAGAAATTAAATTATGTTTAATCATTCTTCATTCATTATTGTTTAAAAACCCTTTATATTTTAGCTGCTGTATGATGGGAAGTTGACATCTTTGATTGTGTTCATGTATAACCCTATAGCCTGTGATGGCCAGCTATGTCTGGAATCAGCACCTAAAGGAAATGTCTCCTATTTTGTCCATGTTCAACATGCTCTCATGTCTGGGGTAAGGTATTATATTGTCAAAATACTTGAATATAGCCATGTGTCTTTGAGAATTTATTGAGTTTGATTTATTTTTGATAATTTTAAATTAACATTTTTCTGTGTATTTAACAGGATGTTAAGGCTGTGATAACACATTCCATCTACAGTACGCTTCATTCACTTGGGGGAATCCAGGTTAGTAATTATATATGTAGAATTTATGTTTTCTTATCATACCTTGGAATTGAAATTCGTCATTTTATGAAACTGATGTTACGGTGATTGTACAGTGCACCCTTTATATCAACAATTTTTGACTCTAAAGTGGGGGTAAACTAAAGTACCCTATACTATGACAAAAAAAAGACACCCGCTTTTGGTGACAAATGAGCTAAAGCACCATATCCTCGTACTGAAATTTATCCCAATATCATTTTCATGTAGCCTATCATAATCTTAACAGTAGTTCTTCAGAAAATCTCAAGAATTCTGATGAAAATTAATAAAAGGTCAATATTTTGTGGAATTTTGGCCATGAAACCAATCTCTCATTTAGAATGTACATATAATTTAATTGAAAACAAAATTTAGACTTTTGAAAATTTATAAGTTTTCATCAACCAAAGAAGATTATATGATTTTGTTCCATGGGATGAATAGTCTAGTCTGCTTCAACAAATTTCAGAATTTTAGTCAAGGATCTGTCAATAGAACTCTCAGTTGACTGACTAGCAATTTCAATCAAGTAACACCTTATCATGTATGCATCTTATAACTAAAAAATTAAAATAAGAACTTTCATTTAGAAAGGAGTAAGATATTGTTTTTATTTTAAATTCTTGAGATTTACTTATGTTGTATGACAATTTTTCAAGGAAAAACTTTCCAAAAGTGGAGTGTGAACACAATGCTGATGTGTTCTTTATATGTTTGTAAGCTTCTTATTTTCTAAGATTTATTACTGTAACCTCTGTACAAAAATTCAAAATACAAGGAATGAAATTTATTCTCTTTATAGGTTGTGTTCCCATTGTTTGGTCAATTAGACATGCCAGTGAGGAAGGGAGAGAACTCCTCTAGTGAAGTGGATTACTCCATCTGGTAAAAAGATGCACATTAGCAAAAAATTTTTAAAAATGACATCAGTAGTAAAACAGAATGATTGATAACAGTGTAAGGGAGATTTAAAGATCAGCTTACAATATGTACAGTGAAACTTTAATATGAACACAGATAAAGGGAATTTATGGATATTATGAATTTTTTGGGATCCCCTGCAAAATTCTGAACAATTCCATGTAAAATTGCAAGGTTATAGGTTGTGCTAGGGATTAAGTTTTGCTACATATTCTTACAAAAAATGCACAACTTTGAATAGGAGGTCTTAATTTAAAACAAACCTTTAAGAAGTTTCCTATACAGATCTTGTAAAGCAATTCTTTATGAACATTTTAGTACCAAAATACCCATAGCCATCCAGCAAGACACTCGATTTGTTCCAGTCAAAGTCAAGCAGTAGCTTGAAAATCAAGTGCAGGGCCTAATTCCCCCACCCACCCCCAATACAGTATAAAAAAAAATTCAGCACACCCTAAATTTAATGAATCTGGTAAATACAGAAAGATTAAGTATAGTTTTTGATCTCATAAAAAAATTCAGTCCCAGTCTAGTTTAGAAATGTCCGAATGGGGAGGGAGGGAGATTCAGGAATTATTTTGCGTAACGTATTTGGTATTCACATGTATATTGTAAATTTGCTATATATGAGCCTTAACAAATTATTTATACAGATATTATGAATTTTGGATATAATGAAATAAATTCACAGGTCCCTAGGACTTTGCCATAACTGAATTTTACTGTACATGTTGGTTTGTTTTTTTTTCAGTTCCAAGTTGATGCACATTGTAAGCAGTTTGATGGAGAGCTCTGTCACTATACAACAACAGATGATGCAGAATCGTGGCTTCCTGGTGATAGGTTACTTGCTGGAGAAGGTAGATTGAGCTTTGAATTGTAACATGATGGACTGTTTGTTTAAATGTGGTTTATTTGGGTCCTCATGGAAGACAAAGATAATGACAAAATTTGACAAACACTCCAGACTTTGTTTTCTGTTTTAAAGTTATAGTTAAAATTTCAAGTTTTATCCTTAAACAGGCCAGCAGGGAACACGTGACTCCAGCTGTTCTGGAGATTTTCCTGAGACTGACCAATTATCTGGTTGCCCTACCCACAGGAAGTGTTATCTTAAAACACTTGTTTGATCATATTTTATTCAACCCTGCCCTCTGGATCCACTCAAGTGTAGAGGTATTTTACACCACTCATGTATTTGTTTTTCTAGTGATTAAAAATTAATTGAATCATCTTTCCTATAAGAAATGTGTTATTTTGCATCTGTGCATCAATGATATAAAAGATATATACAGTTGTATTATATGTAGTAAAAAAGATGCATTAATCATGTTTTGAATATTTACAAACAGGTCCAGACCAAGCTGTATTGCTATCTGGCTACGGAGTTTATCAACAATGCCCAGATTTATAACAACATCAGACGAGTCAGCGCTGTACTACAGACCATGCACACCCTGAAGCTGTATTACTGGGTGGTCAACCCCGCTGACAGGAGTGGGGTGGTACCTAAAGGGACTGGTAGGTTTAGTTTTAACATACAAATAAAGACATTTTAGCATAGCATTATTTCTGAGGAGAGTTAAAAAATCCAAGCCATGGATTGGACTGTAGGAAGTGTGTGTGACATCTTTTACCCAGGAGTGATTAACAATACTGCTTGACTTCTGTTCTCAGTTTTATACCAGTAGTAATACTCTCCTTGATATCTGACAAGAACGATGATAATTTGAAGAAAAAAATGTTTAAGTACAGTAAAGACTCATTATGTTAAATGATGCATGAACATCTTCGTGTAGTTAAGATTCAAGTTTGTTTAAAACTTCATAGTTATTGGTGGGTCCACAGTAGAAGACAGAGGTCTACATAGAAATAAATAGAGCCACAATGGCTCAAACTAATCAAGAAGCATTGTTTGAAGTGTAGATCCAAATCTGTTCAAGACATATCCCCAAAGTTTTGATGGGGACAGGTGTAGGTCCACAATAAAGAGATTCATTTATGATAATAATTTTGCAAAAGATGTAATGAATGTGAGCATTGTGGGCCCATAGGCTTAGTATTTCTTTTGATATTTTATTCTGTGATTTATTTTTAGATGGCCCTAGACCAAACTATGATGAGATTGTTAAGTTACGATCCTTTATGCTGATGTATTTGAAACAGCTCTTGTTGAAAGGGGCAGGGGTACAGGAAGAAGAACTCCAGAGTATTCTCAATTATCTGTCCACTCTGCATGAGGTGAGCCGTTATTAGGAGTTTATTTTCTAGAAATTTTGGTAGAATATTCTTTAAAAAAAATTAAAAATTTAATCAAAGAAAAAGCATAAACCATTTTTGCCCACATTTAATTTTTGCACTCATCCTTGACTTTATCTGTACTACTTGTAATAGATAAACAACTCTTCAAAATTTAAAGGGAGAGAACATTCAGGTATATAGTTAAAATAAAATTCCCATTATGCACTGATTTCTGCAGTGTTTATTGTCAGAAGTTTATGTAGTTCAATCCGTCATTCTTGTTTTTACAGGATGATAATTTGATGGATGTTTTGAAGTTGACTGTTGAGCTAATGGCAGAACACCCTATGTCTATGGTGCCCTCTTTTGATAAGAAAGGTGGAATAAGGTGATGTCTAAATTTAATCTGTGGACATTTAAAAATCTTTTCTAAATATAAAGATGTGATTTATAAAAAGACCCATTTGTTCTAAAATTTAAATAACCAACCTTTGTTTAAGTTATGCATTTTTTACATATTTGTTGTAGAACAATTTTTAAGCTGCTGGCATCCCCTTCAGAAGAGTTAAGGATCCAGTCCCTAAAACTGCTAGGATTCTGGCTAATGAGAAGTACACACAAGTAAGAACATTTTCCAGTCATCTCCCTTTACATTCCATCCCCCCTACCTTAAACTTGATATCTTGCTGTTCCTGTTGGGGGTGATAGGTGCTGTATTTTTACAGGAGATCACCTATGCAGATGATAAAAATACTTTTTACTCGGTCATCAGTCAAAAGTCACTTCAGGTTTTACATTGAAGCATTCTCTGACATTTTAACAGTGTACATGTATAATATAGTGTATGTACTGAAATATATTTTCTTGTTGTCTCAATGCTGCTTTTTGAATGTGTTTCTTCTGTTCAAGGAATAATAACTTTTCTGATCATTAAATGCTTGCGAACATCGGAAAATGATCAAAGCTATTCAAAGAAAACTTTATATTACATGTACATTTATTCTAAGTAAGGAAGTACTAAAAATAATTCATTGGCATGAGAAATTTACCGTTCTTTTGAACTTTTTCAGTATGTATATCTCTACTACCCTTATCTGAATTTCAAATGTAAATCAGATAAAATCTTATCAATTAATTGTAGAAAAACTGCATGATTGCAAAAAAATGTGATAGTAAACTTTGATATTCCATTAATGAAGAACATTTGATTTATTAAAAAAAGAAGCATTTGGAACCAAATTTTAGTAAAACAAAATATATATCATAAATATGGAATAAAGTATTCGAAAAGAAGAATTCATACATTGTAAACGAAGTGCTGAATGTATTAGCATTGTGCAGTTACAGTGATCATACACATATTTTAAAATCTTTTTCCACAGGAGAAAATCGGATGCCCTCGGGCCACACAACTTGTTCTCCTTGATAGGAGAGCGCCTAATGCTGAATGTGTCCACCATAACAATGCCTATATACAATGTCCTGTTTGAGGTGAGGATATCACTTATGATAGATTTTTCTTCTGTATGGTTCTTGCCAAAAAAAAATTGTTGAATTTATTCAATGTCATATTTACACAAGCTTTTGTTAAAAATAAGAGGTTTGTTACATTGTTAAGTGATACATTGATATGTTTTATATTTCAGCTTCTAACAGAAAGAATGACATTGGAGACTTGTACAAAAAAACATACAGAACCAGAGTCAACGATCAAAATTGAAAATTCTGGTAAAATTGCTTTTAAAAATATACAAGGAGATTCTAATGAATTACCAGAGGAATGCATTGATATTAAGTATATAACTGATGTTGAAAATAATATATTTTAAAAAAAAAATTTTGTTGGTCTTCGCCGATTACCAGTGCTGGTATTAAACTTGAGATTTGATTATGTTTGACAGCTATTCTTAAGGTGGTGGCGACCATGATCCGCCAGTCTAAGCTTAGTCCAGTTGTTATGGAGGTCAAACGCTGCTTCCTGTCGGATCTGACCATACTGTGTAACAACAACAGGGATAACAGAAGGTGACATTTAAATGTTACTGACTTCTCTCATTCAGTTAATCATTGCAATTTGCTTTGTTATAAGCCTTATTCATTATTATACTGTTAAAGTTTATCATTGAGGGAGTTAGCAAGATTTCAGTTTCCTGAGGTCAGGACTTTTCCCTGAGGCAAAGCTGAGGGGAATATTCCTGGTTGAGGGGAACTGGAATCTTGCTTACTCCCTCAATGATATACTTTTTCGCTGTTTTATAATACTGATACAAATTTAAGGTAAAATCTAGAGGATTACGGATAACTGGGAAAAAAGCTTTTAAAGCGGGGATTAGCTCACTGGACTAACACACAGCAAAATAGAGATTTAGTCCATTCACAGTGATTTCTAGGGAATTCACATCTTCGATATAATTTTATATAGGGAAAAATCAGTAGAAGTATAATAAATCCTCTTAATAATTTACAATTTTCTACTATTGGGAGGAAATTATGAGTGTTGTTGGCATGAATTTACTATTTCCATCTTCCCTTTAGTATTTCTGTTTTACTGAAGAACATTTATACTTACATGTAGCTGGTAATAAACTCTAACAAGATCCCTGTGTATTGTAGAACTGTGCTGCAGATGTCTGTGTGGCAGGACTGGCTGTTCACTCTAGCATACATCTACCCTCGTAATGAGGAGGAACAGAAGATTACAGATATGGTAATGGCATTGTTTAGGATGCTTCTACATCATGCTGTCAAGTTTGAGTTTGGGGGATGGAGAGTTTGGATTGATACTCTAGCTATTCTGCACTCAAAGGTAAATGGAAAATATATAATCTTAATTAGATGTTTAAAATCAGAACTATAAATTAGTTCTGATACAAAAATCTATGTGCAAGTTGTGACCTTATTTTGGCTGTTCTGACACATGTACAGGTTGCCTACGAAGATTTCAAAATTCATATGTCCAAGATGTATGACCATTATGTCAAGGTTAAAGCTGATGACATTGACCCCCAAGAACGAGATCAGCACCCAGTCAGTACTGTGTCTGGTGTATCAGACAGAGTCCTTAATAGACCGATACCAAAAAGTACTGTCAAGGTGACAGAAATTCCAGAGGAAAGTGAAGAAACAGAGGACTCAAATTTGAACAATGCTGGTAAGCTGACCAATGGTGAAGTGGGGGAACCCAGCGAGGAGGATCCAAGCAGTGAGGTCAAACAATTTCTGGAGGATATAATTAATGATGTTGTCCAGAAGGTGGAGGCAAAGAAACCACAGGCTGAGGCCAGAGAGCCACCACAACAGGAAGTGATAGAGCAAGAGTCGTCTGAAGGTCGTCCAACAGTCAGGAGGTCGGCATCCTTAGACAGACCCAGACCAGCTGAGACAAAGAAATATCCCACTCGCTCACAGTCATTTAGGGAGGGAGGAACTAAAATGTTTAGTACAGGCCCTCGTGCCCCTCCCTTTAGAATCCCAGAGTTTAGATGGTCATCTCTACACCAGAAACTTCTGTCTGATCTGTTGTTCTCAATAGAAACTGATGTACAAGTCTGGAAAAGGTAAGTGCATACACAAGATATCTATTCTTATTCTATAAAATTCTTTATTTGTTTCAACAGGAAGTAGGGGGAGTGTATTATATAAATTCTTCTTTATACAGCCACAGTTCAAGGACAGTGATAGATTTTGTAAATGCCAGTGAGAATCATGTGTATGTAGTGAATGTCACCCACATGATTTCCCAGCTGGCTGACAACCTGATTACATCCTGCGGAGGGTTACTTCCCCTGCTGGCTGCTGCCACCTCACCAAGTGTAAGTATAGTACTACAACTGAAGTATTGGTAACCAGGTCTTCAATTTATTGTATGACTGTGTTTTCTTAAGTTATTTGGGGAGATGTTATTTTGTGGGTTTGGCAAAAAATTCAGTTGATAAATTTGTCCTATTATACCATTACTAATTTGTACTTTATTGATCACCTAATCTCACCATCTGGCTCAACTACAAAAACCATGAAAATTGATGTTCAGCAAAATATGATGATATCACAGGATTGTAATGCTTTAGTTATCAGTAGATAAGCATGTATTTTAAACTTGACAGAAATAAAATGTTGTGTATGTTACGTTTTCAAAATGCATATCTTTTGATATCTATGGATAAAATACCAGTCACACGTACATAAATTTTTCATTGAACATACAAGTTAGTATATGATACTGAGTAGTTCTGCTCTAGCCAAAGCTTTGTTTTATACAGGGGGAAGTGGAGATTTTGGAACCTACCCAGGGCCTGAGTATTGAGCAGGCTGTCTCAATCCTTCAGAGGATCATGAATCTGACTGATGTACTCATATTTGCCAGCTCCACTAACTTTGCTGAGTTGGAACAGGAAAAGAACATGCCTGCTGGTGGAATCTTAAGGCAGTGTCTAAGACTTGGTAAAGTACTAAATTTGTATACAGTGTGCAAATTACAATTTATTTTTCCAATCTTTACTGGTAAATTTTACCTTTCTGCAGTATTTTATCAAGACTTAAAAAGTTAGGTTTAAGCTTAGTGTGTTTGCTGTAACCATGTTTTACTGTAATTGGTTCTTTCTGCAATCAAGTAACTGGTTAATCATAAAAAAGGATAACTTGCCATATAAAAATAAGATAATAGTTTTCGTTTAGGGTTCATTTCAAGCGATAACATCATGCTATTGTTACAGTATGTACCTCAGCAGTGAGGAACTGTCTGGAATGTCGTCACAGATCACACCTTAGATCCCCTCCCAGTACACCCACTGCATCCCCTTCTAGTAGTGTGAGAGGATCTAGGAATTTTAATGGGATGGATCCCATACAAGCTCTTATTATGGCTTCACATCCAACAGAAAAGGTAGTCACACACAGGAGTCAGGTTTTTTTCTTTTTTTGAATTTTCCCTTTGAATTTGGTATTACATGCAGATATGCAGATATGCCCTAATGAGATTTTCCTTTTGACTTTGATATTACATGTACATGTAGATAAATCCTGATATTCTTTGTATTCTTTGTGATTGTAGAATATTGTTGAAAATCTGAATGAGCAGGCCTCTCCCATTAAGGACTTTGATAAGCTGCTACAGGACACAGACATTAATAGACTGAGAGCTGTTGTCTATAGAGATGTGGTGAGTCTTAAACTGAAGTTTTTCTCTATTATTCATTTTCAACAAAGTTTAGGAGAAATATATTTTTATGGTTGCATTATGTATTTTAAGTATCACAAGTTTGAGCTTAGTCAATAACTAGTGAAGTGGATACTGAACAATTGCTGTACTGCTTTTATATGGCGCTGAATATCTTCTTGTATTTTTTCAGGAGGAGACAAAACAAGCCCAGTTCTTGGCCCTGGCTATTGTTTACTTCACCTCAGTGCTGATGGTGTCTAAGTATAGGGACATCCTGGAGCCCCCCAGCCCAGCTGCCACCCCAACATCACACAGAATGTCTATCAACTCCCCCTCAGGTAAGCAGATTATTATATTAGCTCACTCACCTGCTAGATATTGTATTAAATTGTCATACATAGATTAGAATCATTGTGAAATTTATCTTACTTTTGTCTGAAGATGTAAGATAAATGAAGGCTTTATATTCACACAAGAGAAATTTATTTGTTCAACAAGCTTCAGCCATTTTACAAAACCTAAGGCCACTTTTGGAAGGAACTCAAAATGGTGAAAATAAATTGGGGCTACAAATCAGCAAGTCTGATCAACAAGAAAATGGAACTAGGTTTAATGCTGAGGAAGACGACTCAGGTGAAGATGTTGCCCCAGAGCATAAACCTCTAGACAAGGCCACATTTGAAGCAATAGTAGCAGGGGATGAGGGGGGAGGAAGTGTGCTGGCCGAGATGTTGAGTGGCAGTCGGAGTTCGTATGATGAGATTCAGGATGATCCAAACACCCAGACGACAGAGACTGAGTCAGACTCAATCACCCAGACAAATACTGAGTCTGAGTCCTTTGAAAATGAGGCTCATGAGGGGAAGAAAGGTTACCTGGATGTTCATTATTGTGTGCCCCACATAGCTGTCTCAATTATTGATGAATAGCATGGATGTTGTTTTGTTGTATACACTGTATCTATTGTTTTAATGACCTTATTCTCTCACATTGATTCGAGGTTTAGTTATTGTTGTTTTCATTTGATCTAAGCTTATTTGCTTCATATCTTTCATTTTTCATAGTACTGTGCATCATTTTGGAGTACAAGTTATCTCTCTTTACTTGTTGTTACCACAACTTACTTTGAGACATAAAGTTTGCTGTATGAAACTGGATCATCATTGATTTTCTTAAACTTACTACAGATAAGCTCTTGAACAACTGTAAAATTTTATGTTAAACCTATTGGGATGAATCTTGTGTACTAGTATATTCTGGAATGAACTGTTACTATTGTTGTGGCAGATGATTATTTCATACTGTGAAAACTATCAGGATAATAGTTGCAAATGAGTACTTTTTGTCTCTTGATCCAAAGTGGGACCTTTAAATATAGAATTCTATACAAATGTTAATTAGCTTGTTTTACTTGAATAGATGAGGAGTTTGATAGTGGGGACATCACCAGTGATGGAGATGTATCAAGGGAGGTAATTGATGGAGAGGAGGCATCAGCAGACCAAAGCATGGAGGAATCTCCAAAAATGAAGATCAAAGCCAACATCAACATAACAGATACAACAGGTATAAAGTGTGAAATAGAGTCAGAAAATTTATATGCTTTTTAGATGAGGAATTGGTTTTTACTCATTCTCATTTGTTGCTATTTTAGATGAGGATTCAGCTACAAGGTCAGCTACAGGTAGTGAAGACCTTGACAAAAGTGGGGATTCAGCACAGCTGGAGGAAGAGGGAGGAAATGAGGAAGCAGAGAAGGAAACTCCAAGTCAAGAACCAAAACAGGAGGAGCCAAAGGAGGAGGAGACAAAGGAGAAGGCTAATGCTGAAGAAGAACCAGCCAAGCAAGCAGAGGAAAAGGTGGACAAAGAGGAGAAAGAGGAAAAGGAGGAAGCTGTAGATGAAGGAAAGGAGGATGCTGTGGAACAAAAAGAGGAAGATGATAAGGAGAAAGTAGAGGAAAAGAAGGAAGTTGGAGGCACATCAGAGGAAACAACACAGGAGGAAACACAACAAAAGGAACAAGGTAAAGTAAAGGGAAAAGAAAATTGTTCTAACATAAAATCTTTTCAAGTTGGAGAGAAAATATATTGTGTATATAATTAATGTTTATATATCAGTCTGTTTGACTACATCAACTTGTGTCTGAGCTTTAACTTGGTAACTCTTGATTTCAATTATTACAAAATTTAATATTATTTTGATGATGACATTATGATGACTTTGGTCCAAATAAAAAGCAACATCATATAGTTAATTTTTGTTAATTTCTATGTTCAAGTTACATTTACCCTTTCAGAAGAAGTAAATGAAGAAAAACCAAGAGCAACAAAGGAAAATGGGGAGATTCAAGAAAATCATTCTGAAGAAAAGCTGCCCGAAGAACCGTCATCAGAACCATCAGCTGGTGCTGAGGTCCATGGAGACCATAAAGAAGATGAGGGCAAAAAAGCTGAAGCCAACAAACCTATCCATGCCATATCTGTGACTAACAAAGATGACCGACCTAAACTTGAGAAGCTGCAAATGCCCAATAAGATTCATGATACTCTGGCAAACCTGCCTGCTGTAGTAGGGGAACCTACAGGATCTCTAACAGAGAGACTAGAGAAAGCCCTGGGGTCAGTCTCACCACTGCTGAGGGAAATCTTTGTGGATTTTGCTCCATTCTTGTCCAAGACACTGATTGGGTCTCATGGTCAAGAACTTCTCATAGGAGGTGGGTTTTCTTTGTTGGAAGTACAAACTTATCTCTGATGATGATCTTTATCAATGGTATATGGAAATTATGGCTTAAAATTATGTTTGTATTGTATAAGGAATATGCAGATGGGATTTGATATCTAGTATTGTGCAAAAGATCAGGAATTTTGTAAATTCTTATACAGTAAAATATGGTTGTGGCAAATTTACCATGGAGAGCTATGTACATGTAAGCATAATTTTGATATATTCTAGTTTGCTATAAACAGATCTTACTTTAAACTTACAATATTAAATGACCTTGGATTTATATTTCAGGTTTGGTGACTTTGAAACAAAGTACATCAGTGGTAGAACTAGTCATGTTGCTTTGTTCCCAGGAATGGCAGAATTCATTGCAGAAGCATGCTGGGCTGGCCTTCATAGAACTGGTTAATGAAGGAAGGTAATGATTCAGTAAATCAGTGCAGATGCTGATGAGCTTACATGAATATGTTCCATTCCAATGACAGTTAGTACAGGGAAACTATCGGTATTCTTGAAATGGTGGAAAGTTTAGTGAAAATCTGAATATTAATTGTAGGTTGCTTGCTCATGCTACCAGAGACCACATTGTAAGGGTGGCAAATGAAGCGGAGTTTATTCTGAACAGAATGCGGGCTGAAGACGTACAGAAACATGCAGAGTTTGAGGTATGACTTGAATTAAAATTTATGATTTAAATGCAGATAAAATTAATTAGTGAATTAAGAGCTATTATCAAGGTAGTCAGGGAAAGAACAGATGTCTACAATCATGTTGATGAAATGCACGAGGGTTGCCAAGGTCAATGAATGAATGCCTCAGTGAACTTTGTATTAATGCATATAGTTCATTTACTTTTGTAAAAATTAAATAAATATTAATTCTTTTAATATGATTCATAAAGGTGGAGAAATATCATTCTGCAAAACTAAATTGCTTCTTTGAAAGTGTAAACGAAAATTATAAATTTTTTTTCATAAACTATCTTAATGGTCAGTTCTTAAAATTATAGTGGTAGTGCATTAATTAATTAGGGCATTCGAGTCATCAGGTACTACCGGTATATATTTTATCTGTTGTCATGCTCTCAGTGCTGAGCTTAAAACATAACCTTGGATGTTGTTTAATTCTCGAGACCTCTCTACCTTTTTCAACCAAAGAGCTAGAGCCACGAACCATCAAAATGTGCCTTAAATTTTAGACAAAATTTAAGTTTGAAATCACTAAGCCTGTCATATGTTATATTGTAGTGCACAATGTCATGCTATCCTACATACAATTTTTTGCCACACAGACCACCGTCTTTAGCACATGCGCAGCATCAAATATACAAATGAAGTTAAAAACTGCTATAAAACGTCGATTTTACGGTAGTTATTTCAAAATTTGAATGTGGCCACACTCAAGTACCGCTTCCAAACTTTGCAGAGAGAAAAATATTACATATATGCATTTTTAAGCAAAATATCTTAGAGGTACTCGAGTGTGGCCAATATGAATTTTAGATTTTTTGAAAGATAAGCTATCAGAAAATGAAGCAAGGCCCTCCATTTTAACAGTAGTTATGAGTTCATTATATACGTAAATAGCTTAAATTAGTTATTAGTATATGAGATTTATTCTTGATAACTGCATAATCCCTAATTTGTCAATTATTTTGTTTTAGAATATCTTAAACTCACATTTAACATGTGTTGTTTCATATAAAATTTAAAATTACGTTCTTTTCATTCATGCTTACGTACATCAATGATGACGTCATAATTTGACGTTTTAGACGTCAACTGCATCTCATAGATAATTTGAAGAAGTTTGCCAAAATAATTTCAAAAGAGATAATTGAAAAGTGTCGAAATCCAGTTTCCGATTTTTTGCCAGTACTACATGTTGAACGTAATTTTTTTTTTTTTTTCAGATTTATTATATTAATAAAAATACAAATGCCTAATTCAAAGGTTATTATCTAAAATACATACAATACACAAAAATTATGCACGTTTTAGATATACATGAAGCGGAAATAGTTCGACTTGTTCACACACTGATATTTTATATGAAGAAATTATACTGTATTTATGCATTTAACATCGGTTAATTGTGTTCTCGATCCAATTATCAATAAATTTTATTTAGCTAACAGCTTACATATCATATACCCGTTTTAAAAAATAAAACGACTTAGAATTTTTTGACGAACACAAAAAGGGAAAAAAGAAAAAAAAATTCCAATGCGCGGAAAGGGGGGGATGTTTTGACAAAAAAAAATTCCCTGAAAGGGGGTGCGGGTGTAAGACACTTCTCTTGAACAAACCGCTAAATAGACTCTTCTTACCGGGGTCCGTGTTTCTTGTGTGCATGTGTGGAGGAGTGTTTTCAAGAACATCTATCGGTCATTTTATTATATAGATCTAGTAACTCTGAAATTGAATAACTCCGGAACACCCCCCTCCTCTCCCCTATAGATCCGCGCATACGTATATGCATCATTTTATATCTAAAGAAAAGTGTCCGACCCAATGTCAAATGTGTCCGAAATTCTATTACATCTGAATGCATTTTGAGGTACAATATCGAGGTGATCCAAATAAACACATAGGATATATAAGATAGTAATGCCTGTCCAATACATATTTTGGACCCTCATTTACTATTAGATGGTTTGCCTACATGTACCGGCTTTCTAAATCACATCTATAGGGTGATCAGACATAGCATGGATCGGACAGCTTTAACAAATTAGATCATTAGGGTAAAAAATTAGATTCAAAGGATTATTAGTTTAGAAGGGAATTCCTGCGGAAATGATGTAAAAATGTTACCTAAGGGGGTGACAATTAAACAGAAAGAATAAAGCTTTTGAAATATGAATAGTCCAGGACATACTTTATTTGTCAATCTATATTATATACTACCTATTTTAATACTACAATAAACGTGAAATTGGGACAATTGTTTTGTTAGAAAAGCCCTTCACTAAAGACTAGTAGTTTAGCTGGTTTAGCTTCAATTATTAAAAAAAAATGTGGCAAGGTGGTAATTTTGACGGAATCAAGGAGTAGGAGGAGAAGAGCAGCGATGAAAAAGTTTATTTAATCTAATAAAAAAAGTAGAGGAAGGTCTCCTAACATAATTTGACCCTGCCCCTTTCCCGGGTACTACTCTTCTGAATGTGCATCTTTTCTTTGTGCGATTTTAAATGATGATATTTTTACAAACACATGAAACACATATTTGAGACAAGAAACAATCATTTACTGATGTAAATACTTGAACTGTTCAACAATATAACAAAGAATAAACATACGCACTGTTTCTTATGCAGTACATGTACGCGTTTCGAAATTAAAATGCATGTGTTACGCTGTTCCGCTACGATAGCCCCGCCCCCCGAACAAAAAAAAAACACAAATGGAAGCGATAGTACAAAATAAATAAAAAAAATAAACATGATTCTGCTTTTAGGGCAAGATACATGTCTGATAGGAAAAAAAACTAAATTCAAATACGTGTATTTAGGGGAGGGGGTCAAGAATTTTTTGTTGTCTAACATCGATAATTATTTTACATGAAACTTTATGTAATTGTTTATATGAATCAGCAATTATAAGACATACCATTTATTTACAGTTTATAAATAATAGTACGTTATAATTAAATTTCATTCAACATTCATCATATTTACTTCTGAAAGGGAGGTCATGTTGAAAACTATGTGAATTGGGTTTTATGTTAGAAACACAGGCACTTGTTTCGGTAATAATTTTTTGACCTACAGTAAAATATAATAGCACTTGTTTCGGTAATAACTTGTTTTGGTATGTGCTAATACCGGGCAGAAATTTTGATTGGCTAAAAATCTGCTTCTAAAATTACATAGGATAAACATCGTAATGTTTTCAGGGAAAATCAGACTTAAACAAATTCTTTTTGTTCACTACAATATTTAAACACTGAAATTGAATTATTAAATCCACTCATTTTTTAATTTTGTTCTCTGTCCGGAACTAGCACATACCATTTCTCGGGGACACAGATTATTCTTCTATGTACTATAGGATATAATGCAATCGGTTTACACTCGCGCGAAGTTATCGCATAAACTGCAATATGAAGTCAACACCTTTCTTTGTTGGTTTTTTTTAAAAAATATATTGGTAAAATGATCATGATGCTGATTAGATACTTCTCTATTCCAATTTTAAGTTTATAAATGTGTTCATATAATTGCAATCATGGATTTTTTACGACGTTACGATGTAACATAATGACGTTACGTTACAAATAATGATGTTCCTCACGCAAATTTCAATGAAAACAATACCATAATGTAAAATCGCTTCTTAAAAAAGTATAATAGATATCTAAAAAAGAAAAACAGTAATGAAAAGCTAAAAGTCTCTACTATCTATATTGAAATCCTCATTCATTTTTGAGTTAAGGCACATTTTGATGGTTCGTGGCTCTAGCTCTTTGCTCTAAAGCATCCTGAGAAATCAGAATTCTTGTTTGTTCAAATTGGAGGGCCTTATCATTTCTCAGAAGGAAATATTTAGTGGAAATAATTAGGAGGGGTCATTTAAAAGTCTTTTTTTCACATGACCAGAAATGAAAAAAAAAAAAAAAACAGTCATAGTGAGACTTCAAGTTACATGTACTATATGATAAATTTTCAAATGTAGCTTAATTAGCTGAAGTGCAAGATACACAATGTCATAGAAATTTATATAGGCAGGAAAATTCTTTAAAAAATCCTCTTGGCAAGTATTTCACCAGCACAATATCAAAATACCTAGGGTAAACTTGAGCATATGTTTGGTATTCCAAGGATATGACATGCAAATGACTGTGTAATAGTGACTCTTAGAATCTCTGTTGATGTTTGATTGTGTTTCCTCCCTGAAGCTTTAAATGTGCAGGAAAATTTTTCTTCAGTCACTTTGTGCTCAGACCATGCTGGACAGGAAAGAAGAGGAAAAAATGTGTGACCATCTCATCAAAGCAGCCAAACGACGAGACCACACGGTAGCCATTAAAACCCGTGACAAAATACTCAACATCCTTACCAACAAACATGGGGCCTGGGGCAAGCCTGAGACTGAACAGTAAGTCATTACCTCTTTGAGCTTGCTATAGATAAACAACAAAAACTCAATTTCACTGATAAAAGGGAGGGAGAAGGGGGAGAGGGATAGTGAAATTCTGATTGAGAGGTCATGATAGGGAAAATAAGTGATTTTCACAGTGATGTCTTGTCTAGCTAGTAATATCAACTTATTTTATACACAATATTCTCAACAACTTCAGTAAGAGGGAACTTGAGGGAAAATGTACTTAGAATTTTTTCAATTTAAAGATAGTGGATTATGATGTGGAATGTCTGTTTAATCATTCAGATGAGATTTTTTTTTCTTACTTTATCAGCGACAGAGATTTCTGGCGATTAGACATCTGGGAGGATGATTCCAGAAGAAGACGGAGATTGATTAAGAATCCATATGGATCCACACATCCAGAGGCCACACTGAAGGCAGCCTTAGAACATGGTTAGTAAGCCTAGGAGTTCAGCTAAGTCTAAAGTAATGTATGACCTGGAATAAAAAAAATTATCTTTATAAGCACTGGAATAAAGAAATAAAGAAAATGATTACGGCAATATACACTATCTTGATATGAGAGTATTATTGTAGGAGAGAATGAAGATGCCATTAACCAGGCCAGAGAGGCCTTCCATGCTCACCTGGCTAAGCTGAAGAGGTCACAGATTCAGCCAGATTACACTGACGAGGAATTGCTAATGGAGGAGAGAGACATGGAACCAGAGTTTGCTGGTAGGTGGTGCTATCCCATGGTTTTACTGTGCTGCGTTCAACATCATAGCACTTATCTGCTAGGCAGATATCTAGGTCTATTGAACCCTGTGTGTAAATTAAAACTTGTTATTTTTATGTAGTGGCTAGCTTAATGTTGTTCAAGTCCTTCAAGATCATAGCTCTATGTAGACCTATGCAGCTGCTATGATCTTTAAGGCACCCCGTTTTCACATCAGTAAATGGTAGAAATATTCCATTATATAGATAACATTTTAGAATAAAAGTATTTCAAGTATATTGTTTTAAAAATAAGTGTTTCACCAAATGATAATTTTTTTTTTTTGATTTGGACAGGCCCTGTTGCTTTGTCTACATCCTGTAAGCTTATAGCCCCGGGAGCAGCCATTAATGGAACCATGTCCATCACTAAAACAGAGATGTACTTTGAGATGGATGAAGAAAATGAAGAAAACAAGAAACTTGACCCTAAGGTATTGACTTATGTCAGTGTTACATACCTGTATCAGCAGTAGTAAGTATGATCAGCTGATACAGGCGTGCAGTGTTCAGAGTAGGTATATAGGTAACAAGATATCAGTTGTTCTAAAAATGGAAGACCGATATCAAGGTGTTTTGTACAAGACATCATTATTACATGAGAGTGGCAGCAGTAGTTAATCTTCAGGGGCTTCTGTAATATACATGAGAACCACAAGATTTTTCTGCTGTACATGACTCCATCTGGAACATTGAGTTCTGGTTGTGGACAAATATGTGTATAAGTGTTTGCCTTCCAGGGTTTTCTTGAGTATTCTTTCAGTTTGTATGGCTGCTGATGGTGTAGAAGACAACTTTTTGGATTGATCAGAGATCATCTTAATTGATGAAGTCTCCGAGTGAAGTTGAACATGGCTACAGCTCAGCACTGAGATGTGACTAGTTACATATTAAGGACAAAGGTTATCATTGTTCCACACTGGATACCATAGTCTGGAATGACAAAGTCAATGGTGTGACAGTCCTTTGCCTTCCAGGAATCCCAAAGCATGGAACTGAAGTTCAGTTCCTCAATGGTAATATTCTAATCACAATACAAAAACAATATTGTGAATGCATATTCCTAATGCTAGTTGCCAACCTACCCAATTATGTCAGGTTACACTTGATTTTTCAACCTGTAGCCAAGTTTCGCTTTTTATCAGATTTTTCAAACAATTCATAAATCTTCCTATTTCCCGAGATGTTTTTGTACCTTAGTTCATACTTGTAATTTCCAGTTTGCAATACAAACTTAGATCTATGTAAGCAATGGCTATGGATTTGTAGAGTATGTACAGATAATAAATTATCAGTGCAGGTGTTAATAATTATTAGTTAGTTGTTTTAACAAATCAAAGTTTCAAGTTATTATGGCTTCTGATAGGCCTAGCACAAGATCATTCACAGGGCCAACAGAAACAACATCAACAACAAAAAATGATGTACATTTCAAAAAATCCTATAAATTAACTTTCATTGAATAAAGTAAGTGATCAAAGATAGCATGAAGATAGTTGTACATTATGTGTAACTTGCACTTGTTTAAAGGGTCTGGAAATTGAAATGATCTTTAAAAACCAAGATTTGACATACCTTCAAAATTAGCTCAAACTTCACTTTTTCTTCCAAACAGCAATGCAGATTTTGAAAGGGCTTTCAGAAAAAAAAAACATAATTCAGGTCAAAACTACACAATAAAACCATAAATGCCTCTTTATCATGTCAATTTTATCAATGAATGTAATCATTGAAAAATTCAAATTTTGCTATTGTAAGTTACACTGCTTTTTATTCATTAAAATAATATTCAATACACAAATGCTTACTGTATATATGCATATATGAAATGCAATATAATTATAGTAAATGTGAATCTTGCTACCTGTTATGAAAAGTTTTTTTTTTACTTTAAAAAGAGGGTCATGTCCCTGTTTTTACATGTTGGAGGTTGGCAACAATGATTATACAAAAAGAAATATTCCTATCACCCCCCCCCCCCCCACCACCAAAAAAAATGAAAACTTCAATAGAGAAATTACCATTAAAGTTTGATCATGTAATCATATGTAGTTAGTATAATTGTTTATAGACTTCTTTTGCAAAATTTGCATCAACTCTGTTGAGGAATTGCTGATTTTAAGAGAGGTTTTATATATGACAATACTGTGTAAAATCATTTACATACCCACTGCCTCTCAGGTTAATTTCAAACCAGTGGCAATTGTCAATACTATAATTCATAACAGAATTCATGCCTTAATATATGCTAGACAACATGTTATGAAAAAGGCAATCATTAAATGAAATAGCTTCTGTGGAGAAACTTTTTCAGGAGAGTGAAGTAGCTGATTATTTGAGAGACTTAAAAAACTTGTACCTGAGTATCTGTTTCGTATTTGGATGTTTTACTTACTATGGACATAAATCACCAACTGATAACTAAACTATGTGACAAATGGAATGACTTCAGCTTTTCCATCGTCAACTTCTCTTATTTTTGTAACAATATTCCAACATCACCTGCATATGGTGTTTATGTCTACTATTTGATACGCAAGAGCTCCCTCTTAATACAATCATTTTTTTAAACCAAGGCAAGCTACTAACAAACAAGTTGATGTTACAAGGATTTCAACAACCCTGTTTCGGCTTTTCGCAAATTCTATTGTCGTTATAATTACCTTGTTTGTAAATACAACTTATCGTTGGGCCATATTTTGTCTGACATGACACGTTTCATACCATTTGGTCATTGTTTTACTGAATTTGACTACAGTGTACTCCGTCTAACAGATCAATACATAGGGCTCACAGTGGTTGTGACTGGTTGACAGTGGATGCTTACTCCTCCTAGGGACCTGATCCCGCCGCTTGTTTCCAGGAGTCCATATTTTTGCCTTGGTCATGATTTTTTTGTTCATGAGGTTGATTCATCATCTTCACCTTTTACATTCATCATTGGTTCTTAAAAAAAAATGGGAGCTTTTTTTTTATTAAACACTGATCATAACTTAAAAAAAAAAGTTTAAATACTGGAAGGCCAAGTTACGAAAATCTATTTGATGGGCGGTATGTGAGCATTTTGTTGTGTAGCAAATTATGCAAGACAGAAAAAAATTCAGATTTACTTTATAAAAACAGAGTATAGAAGATTATGAAATAAGAAAAATGCCAACTGAATTAACAGAATTGATTCACTGAAGTGACTGAATATAATATTTTGTGTCAGGATGAGGTAAAATGGACGGTCATGAACTAAAGATAATTCATTATCTTTTTAAGTATATGTAAGGTCAATGAAACAGGATCTACTGTGCAAATATGTTTTTGTTTCCTTATTAGCTTTTTAGCTCACCTGAGCTGAAAGCTCAAGTGAGCTTTTCTGATCACATTTTGTCCGTCTGTCTGTCTGTCCGTCTGTCTGTCTGTCCGTCCGTCTGTCTGTCTGTAAACTTTTCACATTTTCGACTTCTTCTCAAGAACCACTGGGCCAATTTCAACCAAACTTGCCACAAAGTATCCTTGGGTAAAGGGGATTCAAGTTTGTTCAAATGAAGGGCCACGACCTCTTTCAAGGGGAGATAATTAGGAATTAGTTAAAAAATAATGGCAACATTCAAAAATCTTCTTCTCAAGAACCATAGGGCCAGGAAAGATGAAAGTCATATGGAAGCATCCTCAGGTAGTGTACATTTAAGTTTGTTCAAATCATGACCCCCGGGGGTAGGGCGGGGCCACAATGGAGGATCAAAGTTTTACATAGAAATATATAGGAAAAATCTTTAAAAATCTTCTTCTCAAGAACAGCAAAGCCATGATGGTCATATTTATATGGAAGCATCCTCAGGTAGTGTAGATTCAAGTTTGTACAAACCATGACCCCAGGGGGTAGGGCGGGGCCACAATGGAGGATCAAAGTTTTACATAGAAATATATAGGAAAAATCTTTAAAAATCTTCTTCTCAAGAACAGCAAGGTCATGATGAGTCAGATTTATATGGAAGCATCTTCAGGTAGTGTTGATTCAAGTTTGTTAAAATCATGACCCCCGGGGGTAGGGCGGGGCCACAATGGAGGATCAAAGTTTTACATAGAAATATATAGGAAAAATCTTTAAAAATCTTCTTCTCAAGAACAGCAAAGCCATGATGAGTCATATTTATATGGAAGCATCCTCAGGTAGTGTAGATTCAAGTTTGTTCAAATCATGACCCCCGGGGGTAGGGCAGGGCCGCAATGGACTATCAAAGTTGTACATAGAAATATATAGGAAAAATCTTCTTCTCAGGAACAGCAAAGCCCAGATTGTTCATATTTATATGGAAGCATCCTCAGGTAGTGTAGATTCAAATTTATTCAAATCATGACCCCTGGGGGTAGGGCGGGGCCACAATGGAGGATCAAAGTTTTACATAGAAATGTATAGGAAAAATTTAAAAAATCTTCTTCTCAGGAACAGCAAAGCCTTGATTGATCATATTTATATGGAAGCATCCTCAGGTAGTGTAGATTCTATTTTGTTCAAATCATGACCCCCGTGGGTAGGATGGGGCCACAATGGAGGATCAAAGTCTTAAATAGAAATATATAGGAAAATTTCTTCTTCTGAAGAACTGCAAACCATGATTAGTCATTTTGATATGGAAGCATCCTCAGGTAGTGTAGATTCAATTTTGTTCAAATGATGACCCCCAGGGGTTGGATGGGGCCCATTGGGGGATCGAAAGTTTTACATAAGAACATATAGAAAAAATATTTCTTCTCAGGAACAGGAAAGCTATGTTTAGTCATATTGATATGGAAGCATCCTCAGGTAGTGTAGATTCAAGTTCAAATGATGACCCCTGGGATAGGGAGGAGCCACAATGGAGGATCAAATTTTACAAAGGAATATATGGGAAAATTTTTTTTAAAATCTTCGAATTCTCAAGTACAATAAAGCCATTTGTTATATTGACATGGAAGCATCATCAGGTAATTTAAAATTCAAGCCCCCCACCCCCCAGGTAATCTTTTCAATACTGAACTGATTTGTGCTTTTGCCTAGCCAATGTGCTCAGGTGAGCGATGTGGCCCATGGGCCCCTTGTTTTAAGGAAGGATTCTTGTCTGGTTTGTGACTAAATATTTAAATTATATTTCTTGAATGACTTTTATACTGAGATGTTACGAATTTAAAAGATCATATTTTTCTTTCCTTCACGCAAATATACATTGACTCGGAAATGAGAAACTGAGTTTAAAATCTAGCAGGTATTACTGGGTATATTGGCATAGGAAAATATCACATGGTCTGCTTTTCCAAATAACTACAAAATACTGAATTTAGTTCACATTTTTAAACAATCAAAAGCTTAAAGAATTTTCTGAAGTAAATGAAATGAATATTTTTTTTTAAAATTAAATTTAAAAATAAATAAATATTTATTTCCAGACAAACTACAATCCTTTTA